TATTCACATATTTAAATAAATATAAGTATTATTTCTTAATATATTCCATATGACGAATATTTGTTTTCATTAGCTCTCTGCTAATCTGTTACAAAGTCTTTATTTCTAACTAGTTATTAGCCTACTACCTTGTACGCGTTGAATTCAGAAGTAAGAGACCCAATGAAATGAACTACTTCTAGATGGTGTATCAAGATGAACATACATACATACATATCCGTCACACCTGTCTCTCATTAGGATAGGCAGAAACAATGGAACGCCCAATGCTTCGGTTCAAACAAACCTGTTTCGCTTCCTCCACATTCATCAATATTTTCATACACGCTCGCCGGTTATGGATACTATTAATTGGGCCCTTCTTCAGCACGTCGCCTATTTGGTCGCTATACGTCCGACTAGGGCAGCCCCTACCGACATCTCCATTCATTCTTGCTTGATAAATCTCTTTCGTAATTCTTCTTTCATCCATCCTCTCCAAATGACCGCAAACCAACGCAACATTCCTTTTTCCATTTTTGTTACTACATCATCTTTCAGTCCACACTTCTCTCTTATCACACTGGAATATACGCCAAATTTTAAGTTAGACCTTCTGAAACAAAACTGTGAAAAAATCGCATGTAATTCGATGCAGTAATTCTCGCGTAATGTCGGAACAAAGATGCAGACAGACAAACGAAACTTTCTAGAGGGAAGGGATTATTAGAAATGCGAACTACCAGTCCCATTGCTAGCAATATCCTCAGTCAGGTCAACATCCACATGGTTCCCATTGGAAACCATCGTGCTGAATTCCAAGCGTATTCATCACGGTGGACTAATTGACCTGTTTTTTCATTCTCACCTGTCATCCCTCACTGATGCCCCGCCAGCGTATACCGTTAGCGCAGGCAGGGTTATAGTTCCATTAACATGCGTTAAAAATAAAATTCTGCAACCAATAATCTTATTAAGATCTCTTATATCAATTTCCCTAAAATATCTCCCATGTACACTTGTACAGACATACTTACAATTTTATTATATTAATAAGATAAGATTTTCATTTATTTTTCCTAGCTAACTTGACAAACGCCGTTCTGTCAAAAGTTAATGCGGGAAAAAATCTAATTTTACGTTTTACTGAGCAATTTTGCCATTTTCGTCTTCATAAGAATTTTCCTGGGACTTCAACCAATATTGAAAAAAATACATTAATCGTAACTCGAGTTTTGCCTTTAGCAACACATTTTGCCGTGTGATCCCGGTTTGGATTGGGCCACCCCATTCCTTTCCTTTGGGTGTCGTAAAAGGCGAAGAATGGAACTTAATGATCGGGAGATGAGCAGCAATGTCACTTTTAAAATATCACTAAAGCCTAGCTGCGGTTGCCAACCCGCCAGTGAAGCATGGCAACTACTAGCAAACCCCCCTCCCCCTTATGGGGAAGGCCTATGTACAACAGTGGACAGTTAATGACTTATACAATAAAATAAAATACAGTACAATACAGTTGAAAATATAAAAATTATATAAAATTCCATCACTTTCTTCTTTGTTTTTAAATACAGAGGGGGACTTTGTACAAAAGTCGTTTGCTTGGGTACCTCTGGCCCATTCGTGTTTCAACCGTAAAGCAGTGGTGTTTACATGACTGTGTTTCGGTTTAAGTAAGTTGGGAAGGGTGGGATATGGCGTAAATTTACAGGGTACAAAGGAATAACACCTGAGTCCTCAGGAAAGGCAACGCATTTTATCATAGGCGAAACAGTATACTCTGTTATGTCCATGGTACTGCTCATGTCTATAGGCGACGGTTACCACTTTCCATCAGGTGGGCCGTTAGCTGGTTTGCCATTCTAAGTTGTATTAAAAAAATATATTGTTTCTTTTGAATTAATTTTTGAGACTATTTCAGAAAGGAATACATACCCAATTTATCTTTATTTTTCGACCGACTTCAAAAAGGAGTAGATTCTTAATTCAATTGTATTTTTCATGTATATTATCTCCTAACTCCGATAGATTACTCCGATAGACACAGTGTACCCAAGTTGTCATTTCTGAGGACTAAATAGTTGATTTTTTAATTAAAACTGACATCAAACAATGTGTAGGAGTACAGGTGGATGTATTAGAGACGAACCAACCGGATCTACCAAGCATACGTTAATAATCATTTACAAAACTGCGACTGACGTCATTGTGATGTGTAAGGATTTGTGTACTTAGAATGGCAAACAAGCTGACGGCCCACCTGATGGAAAGTACCCAGTAAATGCACGCCATATCCCACCCTTCAAACCAAAACACAGCCATGCAAACACAACTGCTTCACGGTAGAAACACGAATGGGACAGATTTGGCCAAGCAATCGACTTTTGTACAAAGTCTCCTTCTGATGGACACTTTCAAGTCCTACTACACGACTAGTCAGCCATTCATTTCAGTGCAAGGTAAACAACTGCAGAGCGTATATTTTGTCAGTTTGCTTACAAGTAACTTTCTAATCCTTGCATGTAATAATAAGATTAGAACGAAGCTAAAATTATACATGAAATATGTTTTAGAATGTAATTTGAGAATTATATATATATATATATATATATATATATATATATATATATATATATATATATATATATATATATATATATATATATATATATAAGAGATCTAATGAAAACCAGCGCTGTGCAGCTGTACACATTGCACTGGGACACTCGCAGCATCAGCTGAGCCGGTTCCTTTTGCCAAATATGAGACACTACTTATATATAATATTATAGTTTTTTTCTGTTGTAAATATGTGTTTTTCTGGCAATAAATATTTTCTATTCTATTCTAATCAGATAATTCTACATATGCCAATACTAATATTATTCTCGTCGTCCTCCGTGGCGCAGCGGTCAACACGCCTGCCTGCGACGTGGAGGCCCTGGGTTCGATCCCCGGCCAGGTCATGATGGAAAACGATCTTTTCCTGATTGTCCTGGGTCTTGGATGTTTATCTATATATGTATCTATTATAAATATAGCATCGTTGAGTTAGTATCCCATAACACAAGTCTCGAACTTATTTTGGGGCTAGCTCAATCTGTGTGATTTGTCCGTATATATTTATTTATTTATTATTTATTTATTATTATCTGATACTTTATTATAAAATTTCATAACAGATAGCGACTTCGACCGTACTCAAACAATAAATATTTATCACACAAAATAATTATTATAAATAATAATATATATATAAAAAAAATATAAATAATAAATGTTAATTTTATCTCGATTGAAATATATAAATATATAGAATATAGCCGAGTTGGCCAACCGGTCGATCGCGTCTTATAATCCAGTCGAAGGCAAAAATATAATATTTTGCTAATCTAGCGGAAGATGTTCAGACGCAATGCTTACACTAATATAAATAGGTTACTAAGAATAATTTTCACTATTATGTTTTCCCCTTTTAAATGAAATAAAAAATACTACAATACCACATAATTGGTTACTCAACTATGTTGTTTCATTTGAGATTTCAAGAAGTATGGTAATTGGTAGAGCGCACAGGGTTTCGTCTGTAAACAATAGATCTTGGGTCTAGTCAAGTCGGCCACCCCTAGAATGCATCATTCCTTTGTGTTTCAGATCATTATATCCATGTTTATCTTACTCCAGATACACAGTACGATATCTCGTTTCTGTTGATTTCAATTGAATTTGTTTAATGTTTACTTAGCTTTGTTATTCTACGTACAGATTATTGTTTTATTTGATTATAGTTGTTTTGTTTTATTCCATTATCATTAATGTGTGTTCACCAGAAGTTCCACGACCTTTCAATTGGCTATCAATCTCCGACTGTTATTTTGTCCACGCACGTTTTGAGATACGTATGGGATAAGCTTATATCCAGCAGAGGAAGACTTTGTAGAAAAGTCGATTGCTTGGGTACCTCTGTCCCATTCGTGTTTCAAACGTAAAGCAGTTGTGTTTGCATGGCTGTGTTTCGGTTCGAAGGGTGGAGTACGGCGTGAATTTACAGGGTACAGAGGAATAACATCTGAGTCCTCAGGAATGGCAACGCATAGAGGGTATCATGGGCGAAACAGTATACACTGTTATGTCCATGATACTGCTCATGTCTATAGGCGACGGTTATCACTTCCCATCAGGTGGGCCGTCAGCTTGTTTGCCATTCTAAGTTGTATAAAAAAAAGCAGTAGACATTTAATGGCTAAAGTAATAATAATAAATAATAGACTAGAAGCCTTTTTATTATTATTCCATTATATTAGTATTACAGTCATCATCGTCATCATATCAGCTGATCACTGCCCACTACCGAACATTGGCTTTCGCCATCAGGGTGGTTTTGCCAGTAGTTGCCACGCTTGGCAGACGGGTTGGCAACAGCAGTTAGGCTTCGGTGACGTTTTAAGAGGTATGTTGCTACTTATTCCTCAACCATTAAATTCCCTTAATCGCCTCTTACGACACCCACAGGAAAGCAAGGATATTACAGTCCTACCTACTCGTGTGGGGGGAAAGGGATTGTTAGTAATGGAGACTGAGAATCCCATTGCTAGCAATATACCCAACCAGGCGGACCTCCTCGCGGTTCTCCCTGGAAACTATCATGATTAATTCCTGATGAATTCATCATGATGGGCTAACTGACCTGTTTTCATTATTATCTATCACCCTTCACTGGTGCTCCGCTAGCGTATCCCGTTAGCGTAGGCGGGGTTACCATACCATTTTCACCCATCAAAAAAAACCTATATTAACTATTAGAGGGTTTTATTGCTCTTTCAAATTAAGAAATTAGTGCAAAAGAAAAAAAAACAAAACAATAGCTAATATGGATTTATGAATGGTTTGTTTTTATGAATAAGGGGGTAGACATTTAATAATAGGTATGTTTACATCTTAAGTAAATAAATAATAAACAACATTATTTAAAATAATAATACTACTACTTAAAGATTATTTATATAAATTAAACCACTTACTTAGGTAATTTAACGGAGACTTTGCAATAAATTGCATTTAATCGCATCCAATATTATATTAGCACTGTTTACTGTTTATTATTCCTTCTCACAGGTTAATAAAAGAGAAATCAACCTCGAGTTCAATAAACTTACACATATAACAACACTTTACAAACATTTAAAATGTCACATTTTGCCGCCAAAAACAGATAAGACGAGTTCTGTAACGGTTGAATTATTTTTTTAAATTGATCATTGTGTCGTCGAAAGACGAGAGGTCAATTCAATTTATAAATTTTCGCGCGATTTTAAACGTCAAGCGAAATCGATTCGACAAAGCGTACGCCGCCATACGTAGTTCACAGCGAACTAAAATAAATTATTGTCAGTCTGTACTTGAGTTCAGTAGGTAAAGTGAGCATGCACAATCAAATCGAAACCGTCGCTCGATTATTGTTGTGACAATCATTTGATCCAACATTATAATCCTGCCGAATTAAATAATCACAATATTTAACTGGAACTTTAAAGACGCATATTACTTCCATTTTACCCGCGTAAATCCTTTGTTAGCTTCATTGAATGAGGCCTTAGAAATGCCTACAGCGCTGTACCACGTATTTGGTTCATGTTTTGTTAAAGGCGTAGGTTCTAGTTACCTGCTATGTGGAAGCGACAATTATACTTTTCCTGTTAACATTCTATTAATTTTATAACTGTAAAAGTTTGTGAAATGTCAAATATTTATATGTTCATTGCAAAATCAATAGAGTATTTTATATACAAATTTAAATAGGAAAAACCGTAAAATAAGAGTATAGCTACCAAATTACGAATAATACGAACTTTATGCAATTAAATGGCTTATTGTTATCATTGCAAATTATCGTTCACTATTTAACATAATTAAGCCTCTTTTTATACTCACAGTGAAGATATTAATCAAGCATATGGCCCGCCAGACCAACACAGGAATAAGAATCAAGAAGAAAAAGAGAAGAAAATATGTTTTTTTAATTCTGATATTTAAAAACAACAAAAGAAATTTAAATCGTTGACACTTTGATTTTAAAACCAAACTACAAAACGATTGTAAATAAATTTCTATGGTGTCAATCTGGATATCTGGATAATATATCATCAATATGGATATCCTTTTAAATAAAAAAAGAAAGGCAAAATAAAAATGTTCCAAGATAAAAATTAAAAAAAAAATAAAGAATTAAGAACCTCGTTTACGCAGCATGGTCTCCGACCTTATCCACAACGGATCAAACGTACTAAAAAAAAGAACGTTTTTTTTTTGAAGTCGTTGAAAAATCAGAATTGGCAAAAATAACGGACTGTGGAGTCTATTACTAAATATTGAATTTTTTTCTGTATACAGAACTATTGACAAATTATCGTTAGACTAAATATTTGTACAGTTATTTAACAAATTGCCTCTGTCAATAAAAAAAAAAACATAAATCGATACAAAAATAATAGGACTTAAACAAACTCTAATCTAGAATGACGAATATCCAATTATATTAATATTCGTAATTCATTTTATTAATTTAAGAAAATACTTCACTTTTTTTAAATAACTAATTTTTTTTAATAAATTTAAAAATTAACTGGATAGGTTATTTCATGACTAGATAAAAACATAGAAAATTCTCCCACATTTTCCAATATTTGAGGAAGTAAGTAAGTGGCCCATATACAATCAGAAATGAATTAAAAATCCTTGTATTGATATTTAATAATAAACACACTCAACACACTCACATTGATGAAAGACAAGGTAAACAAGCTCTTATACCCACTTTCCAAAAATGGCGCGTTACTTTTTTCACAAGATATTTTTTTCTTTTTATAAAATAACAGTGTATTAAATTTATTGTAGACTTTATATTTATTAGTTGTATTCTTGTTTTCCTAGTGATTTTAATTTGAACATTGTGAGTTATAAAATAGGAACTAGTATTGTGATGAATTGAAAGTAACACTGCTTTTATCCGATTATTTGCGCGGGAGACGGGAGACCATAGGCATAAACATAAATAGATATCCTATGAGTAAATACCTACATTAAACGCCTTTTTCTCCGTTCTTTGATTTCTTCTTAAAAAAATATTGCTTAGTAAATGTAATAACTAAATTTGTATGATTTTATAGTATTTGACGGTTATTATTAAATTATGTGGTATACAATGAAATGAGACATTTCTATTAATATAGACGTGATATGTGTTATTAAGTGATAGTTTGTTATGAAATAATATGGTAAGTAATATTTACGTATTGTAAACAATGTTATAAACTTAAATACGTATTTAGATATCTATTTATCTTCAATTATTATAGGTGTACATAATTAACCATTACAAATACCATACTGCTATAATCGACTGTTCCCAAAAGCTATCCACTGATTGAAATTGTTCACAAAACTGGATTAAAAACTTAAAACAGCCAGTACCGCGTCATCTTAAAGATGGCGGGCATTTACTTTTTTTAATTCGATTAAAAAAATGAAAGTACAGGTAAAAGTAGGTACATCCGGGGACAGACTTGAGACCAGTAGTGTGATATTTATGCTTTTTTGTAGTAATTTTGTCCTTATTCTAATTTAAAATTTTATACTTACCTTTATAATTACATTTATATGCATTGGTACATTGTTCTTTTAATGTATAACAATGGAATGCAAACATTGCCTATGCTATAAGTATACGCTGACGGGGCACCAGTGAAGGATGACAGGCGGATAATGAAAAAGCAGGTCAGTTAGCCCATCGTGATGAATACATCTGGAATGTAGCACGATGATTTTCAGGGGTACTGCGTGGAAGTCGACCTGACTGGGTATATTGTTAGCAATGGGACTGGTAGCCCGCATTACTAACAATTGATTTGAAAGTTAATATCTAAGTACTACACTAAGACTATTTTATTCCCTTGTTTTTATTACTTTTTTTAATATTATTCAGATAGTCTCATAACAATAATAACAAGACCGCAGACGAGCTAAGCTTCGTCCTAAAAAAAATTATAAGTTGTGATTTTTTATAAGTATGTTTCATAACATTATTATTTAATATGTACACTACCTATAAATCTTCTTCAACTCGTACTTAGTACGAGTACGTACCTAAAAGAAAATGTCAATAATCTTTAAGTTCTTTTTTTACGATGTTTAAAAAAAGCGCCAAAAATGCAAAAATTTCGGAATAGTCGTTCTTAAACCAAATGACATCTTAGCGCCATCTACATTAAAATAATGTACTAAAAGTAACGTGACGAAAAAACAACTGTGGCGTCATCTATAAGACAATCTAATTTAAATGCCGTTCACTAGATGCCGCTAGTTTAACATTGAGGTGTTCACACGGTGGTAAAGTTGCATGCATATAGATAACAATTTTATACCGTTATTCGTACCTACGCAGACGAATACATACAACAATAACCACGTGCGTTATTGTAGTTTTAATAAGTGTTTGAGATGACTAGCAAACAATAACTGAGGTTCCTAAAATTGAAATGTAAAATGCTGACGAAAGAGGGGTGTATCCGCCCCAATTAATTTACCGGCTCCCTAATATAAGGCGCATCCCCTTCGCTTTGAAGTACACTCTACCTACCGAGATTAAGGGTTCGCATTGTTAAAAGCGGATCCAAAAATCAGTAATGTAATTTTTGTCGGGCTTCTTTTCGGTATGCGAACAGATGCAAACATGATCCATCACATTTATCTCGAATTCAAGTCTAGACTTTTCTAATCAAATGTAGCTAGTATGTAGTTATATACACATGTAGATATAAATGAGATTGTGTTCCACAAAAAATCTATTTGAATTCTAGCAAAATTGATTTTAATAAAATTGCCATGGGATCAATCTGCAAGTACATCATTTCAGATAAAAAAAGAATTTTTCAAATCGGCTTACAACTGACGAAGTTATGCGGTAACAAACAAAACAAATACAACCGAATTCAGGAAGTCCTTCTTTTTGAAGTCGATTGGAAACATTTTACACTTCCAAGACTCGAAACCGTTATGTCAAAAGAAATAGTAAACAAACAATCCGATTATTAACACAAACTCAATCTATTTCTTCACATTTAAAGTTTAAATAATGTAAACTGAGAGGCATTGTCAATGGCCACCAATATGTTTAATGTAATATTGCTACTTTTTTAGATAATAACTCTTTTTTCAGACTTAAATTGTTTTCTCATTGTGATTATTTCTTATAATTATTTATATTTATAATAAGGTTACTATTGTAATCTTTTGGAGGAAACAATAAAGAGTATCTATCTATCTACATTACCATTTAGATAAATTAGGCATAAATAAAAAAAAAATTATCCTTTTGTTATAAAACAAAGAAATGGTAAGTTACTGTTGCTGATCTCCTTGGTGCATTTCCTGTGAGACGCTTGAATGGTAGCCCTTTGTAACTAGGTACCTATTATTAGATTCATCTTTTAACACGAACGGTTATTACCAGGCACTTTTAAGCTTGATACAAATATTATTAGATGTAATTAAATTCTTTATCAATCATTAATGTCGTTAATGTAAACCAACATTAGCAACCCGCCCCGGCTTCCTACGGGTGGAATGTAAAATGTAGTGATAATGTGGAGTGATTAATAATATAGCTGTTTTTCTCGTCTAAATAGCTTTCCAAACTCCATATAATTAATATCCGATTTTTTAACCTTTTAATCGTTATGAAAATCTATCCATATGATAAGGCCAACGTTTTTATAAGCCTAATAAAGCCAAACAATGTCATCATACATTGTTATATTTCAAAGAAATATAACATTTTCAAGGAAAGCTTTCAGTCGACTTTTCTTCCGACATCTTGAACAGTTATCATCATATTTTTGAACAAATTAACACCAATATCAAATTATACGTATAAACCTTCCATTGAATCACTCTGCCTATTGGTAAAAACCACATTAAAATCTGACGAATAGTTTAAAGTGTAAAGACGGCTGGAAGCGACTTTATACCATATAAAAATACATACATAAATACAAAACATCGTATAACCTATTCTTACTGGTAGTTTTCTAGAAACTCATGAATCGATATCACTATAATTCGATTATAAAAAATATACAGATAAACGTTTACGTAGTTTTATTATTATTGCATTGGAAGAAGCAAATGTTTGTGTAAACACATTCTTAAATCCTTTAGTGATTTAGTTCACTGCCTATACCAATAATGGTTTACTTGGTACACAAGTCTACCCCTCAAGTCTTCTGACGTCTGAAGATAATGTATTATCATTAATACCGATATGGTACGCACACACTTACCGTTGTGAACGTGACCGAAGAATTGCGCCATATGCAAATGGCGCCATATTTATTTTTATAACGCTGAATATCTTTAAAGTTGTCGACTCGATATTAATACACCTAAAGTTTTCATACAGGATCGTTTTGGGACAAATAAATAAGCTTAAAAACAAAATAACGTTTTACTTAAAATCGGTTGTATTTACATTTCGTCCATTGTAGAAAATCAATAGTGTTCAACATCACAAATAAATAAAATCGTACTAAGGTATTCACATAAGTCGTACAGCGTACACAATATGCGACAGCTCATTCTTTCTTACCACAAAATGAAAAGGCGGGACGATAGGATTTAGTCATAAGTTAATTTTATTGATTTCAATGTCAATTTTTCTAATCGAAATACATTTTGCTCCCTTTGGTATTCAATCGCCAATGGAACAATCCGCTAAATGCTTTCCTAAACATCTCGCGGTCTTTCCCGGAGGCCGGCGATAGGTTAAAAAATTATCGATATACATTGCATTCACGCGTCTGTCGAGTCGAACCGGCGCCCCGAAAGAGACTGAACGGAGTGAAAACAGACATTCAACGACAAGTATCAAAAACAGTCGTGTTACTAGCGGCGTCTAGGTGACCGGACGCCCGCCTCGCCGCCACCCGGCCCGTCGCTCTACGCGACGCGGCGATGTATAGCGCGCAACGAGTGATTTTCCACGCGGAGGAGCGCGTTGGCGTACCGTGGTGCGAGGCCGGCGTGCGGGCGCGGCGGCGGCGGGGGCACGCCGCGCGGCAAATCGAACGAGGCCACGCCGGCGGCGGGCCGCCCCCGCCGCCCTGCCCCGGCCCTGCCGCGCCCCGAGCCCTTCTCGCCCCGACTCCCGTAGCGTCCTCTCATAAAAAATGACGTACATCCTAAATACTAAATCACTTTAACCTAGGAATCTCTTACTTCGAACCGTGAAACAGTGGAATACCGAACTGAGGACTCTATCCTAATTAACAATTATGGACAAAAATTACAGGCCGGTTTTATAGTACGTTTGCAGTAGTGGAGCGACGCCCGTCGCGCTCTCTTTATCGGTCGACCGGAGAGCGGGCGGCCGGCGCACGGTGTGCACGAGATAATGGCAAAATTGTGATGTTTTTCTAATAAACTGTGAAATATTGATAACAATAAAGAATCAATTATTCACGAACGGGGCTCGGCTTGCAGACGGGCGATATTGTCAGACATTCGGGCCCGTTCTAGTCTTCGACGGCAGATATGGGCCGGTGCAAAACACTACCCCGTAAGAGCCTAAAAAAGTCCCGAACGGTAGTCGATCTAAATTTTCTTTAGCAACTAATCCATTGATTAAAATTCAGATCCAGAACAGTTTTAGGGTCGTACGGGGGATAGGTAGGACCGAATATTGAACAAGCTTGTATTTAGTATTTGTTAATGATTTACTGAAATTAAATGTAGAACAACCTGAATGCAACAATCACACTATGTTACATTACTGATCAAAGAATCACAGGCTTCACTTACGCTAAATATGTACACGCAAACTCTCATCAACAACAAAAATATGAAGAATTGAGCTTTGTGACTAAATTGCTTATTTACTATATTAGTACTGTCACTGGCATAAAATCTATATTTATTACAATTGGATAGTTTACTATTTGTATAGAAAAATATCACAATTTCACCATTTTACGGGCTTACAGGTAAACCTAGAATACAGAGTTGGGTTTCACTTAGAACAAAGTTTACTTCCGAAAACACATTTGTACATTTCATGACAAAATTCAACAGCATTCTACTAAGTCTTAAATTACACGTTTCGCGCCCGTTGCGACGAGCTTTACAAAAGTAAAGATACAACTTCGGTATCAAACTTAAACACTGTAAAAAATTGAAAATCTGCATTGGATTTGACTTAATTAATTACATTTGTCATTTAAATAGAACTTGCACCCGTTTAGGTGGGAGCGTGGTCGGCCTCGCGTGTTCTCAACTGTTGGTGCTGTTGGTACTGTTGCTGTTTGCTGTGGGGAGCGTCGCTGGCGGCTGGCAGTTGGGGCGACGCGAGGCCGCGCTAGTCGGGCCGTCACGAGCACAACACATCACTGTGACATTGTCCTTATAGAGAGGCACGAGGCGTATTACGCGTCATCCTCTTCTTCTTCGCCTAATAATTCCTCCTCTACTTCTTCATCTGTAACAATTGATAGTTTCCATATATTAGTCTCAATGGACAGAAACACTATCAAATATTGCTTCTCCTACTGTTTTTTTAAACCCTTCCATCAAATTTTTATGTTCTTAGAATGGTTAATTAGAAATATTTTTAAAGATGTCGTATTGTGACATTCGAAATTAAGTACTTACAAGAATTTTAAATAATGCATTATTTATATTATAAATCATAATCGAATTACAACATAAACAGTGAATTATAATAATTAGATGTCAAGAGAAGACTGTTAAGAATTATTAGACATTTAAAAGGAGTTGAAACAATATTACAGCGACTATTAATTGACTACATAGTAATACGGTATGTGATAACTTGGTGCATTTGTACTGCAACAGGGCGATTAGCGATGAAATGTATTTATCGCGACCTTATGTTGTCTAGGTACTTTAGATAGGTAGCGTTGCTCGACTCTATCTATGGCACCGTCTTATTTTACGACGCGAAAATTAAAATATATAAATTTAAACTACCGACCCTCACCTTCGAGATCGTCATCCTCTCCTTCTCCTAACTCTTCGTCGTCTTCTTCACCTTCTTCACCCTCCACTTCTTCGTCATCATCGTCTTCACCTTCGCCTTCTCCTTCTAGATCTTCCTCTTCACTGTGTGGTTCATCTTCTCCGCCGCCTCCGTTCTCCTCCTTTCGCGGCTTTTTCGCTTCTGTTGGTTTCTCCTAAAAATAACAGGAAATTATTTGATGGGCAAATCAACATGTTTTTGCTACTGTCTATAAGATAAGTGCTATAATATTTGAAAACCCTTTGACAATTTAAATGCATACGACTCGTATTAACTGGCTATTAGCCAATTGACAACAATTCTAAATACGTAATTATTATAAAGTAAACAATTAAAGTGTAAGTTATCATGAAAAGGCTACAGGTTATATACGAGGTAATGAGACGCAGGTGACAAAGATTCGTAACGATAACGAAGCGTGGGTCATTAGTTGTGTGGGGGAAAGAGCGACGGATAACGCGGCCCGGCGTCGTACGGCCTATTTTCCTGTGGCAAAGTCGAACGGAACGCGGTCACCGCGCATACATAACCGTTCATAGAGCCGCTTGGTAGACGCGTGGAGACAACTGAAAAATAGCCTAAACGACACCGTAACTAAACTTGCAGACGCATCAATTCATTAGCGTACGTTATATGGAGAAATGGAAATGATTTCCAAATCTGGCACTCTTGTATATACGCGGTCTTGCAATAAACAAGTCATCGTGCGTAGTATAGGTTATCATGAGTGAAAGAGACAGACAATATAAAATATTCCCACCACATTTGACCAAATTATATAGTTTTTAAGATTCCCGCTCAATTTAATATCGTTAACAACTCCATATTTGTTAGACTTTATACTATTACAGAGTAAGAACGCACTTATAGAACAAAGGAAACGTTTATTATACAAAACACCTACATGCAAATAATGCCGGGTCATTGACTACTTTTCTGTGTAAACTACCGAAATAAAATAACAATTGTGCAAATGTTGCAAACGTGACTAATTCATGGCATACTTGAATTTAATAGAATATAGTCGCTTGATAAAAAGATAAGTATAACCTAAACCAAACATCACAGCGGCGGCGAGTGTTACAAGCCAGTACAAACACTGACATTTGCCGGCCATGTTACTCGTCCATCTAGCGTCACGCTGCCATGAACATAGTGACTGTGAAAGTCCGAAATAACCATTGATTTCAATAAAATCAATAACATATACAAACTATAAACAGCTAATGGCGACTACACAATAATTCTTTTAATAATGATTTCAGACGTAAGAGCGTACATTCTCGCGCCATGTTTTTTTTTTCTGCCAAGGTCATGCCTTAGTATCGAATATGAGTAAACAAAGCTACAGTACTATTAAATAGCAATGCAACTCAGGGAACTTGCAAATTTAACATTATAGACACCATAACGTATCATGATATTGACTCATCGATTACCTCACGCTAACCATAATGTACCATAACTGGTTAGAAATGATGTCCCAAAATACGCCGGTTTGTAATCGCGACTACGAGCGTTAATACATATTTAGCACGTGGGGTAAAGTATCAAGATACATGAGGATAGACAAATTAATACAATGAGGCATATAACATAGCGTTCAATAAAATGGCGAGCGATTAAATGTATACATTTGTGTGACATGTGCACTCACCTCTGCTGCCCTTTTCGCTCCTTTTAGATCACTTTTCGCGTCCGCCTTCTCATCTCCGACCTTGTCAACGGCCACTTCACTATTATTATCTTTGTTGCTCATGATTGTTCTGATTTTGGTTTTAATTACTAGAAATAGATAAGTTGTTTGGTTGTCCAAATCCGACGCGCGACTGACTGAGCGAGTGAGCGGTGTGATGAGTTTGAAAACGAAGATGGCGCGGGCTTCTGCACGCCTCTGTCTGATTGGTCGAGCCGGCCGGCCATTAGCAAACTTTGACTAGCATGTGGGTGCAAATAATTCAGAACATTTTCATAAATGTTAGCTTTAATCATTAAGTATCTATTGCATATTGTTTTGAAACCGATTTTCAATAATTTGGCATTAAAAAATTGTTATTTGTGTTTGTAAATAAAGTTATATATTCCAAAGTACGGTTGCGTCGGGTGTATTGGTTCCAAATATTACCACTGCGTGGCGTTAGGAACAACGAATTAAAAAGCGGGAAAATAAAAAGTTAGGTACCTAATCGTATACAAGCATGGACGTGCAATTCATACTAAAGCAACTAATATTATTAAACCGTAAGCGATATGTAATTTGTTATATTAACGTACGTCTGTATTTATCTCATTATATGGCCACTTTTTACTTTATAGATTACTTGCAACGATACTTACGGGGTATGTACGCATATAAAATTAATTATATTACGTGTACTAGTTGAATTTTATTACGACTGAAGATATTGTTATCATACTTATATACATATGAATATATACTAACAAAATCCATGAAATAAGTACCTACCACCTACCTACTTAGTGAACATTCGTTATTAAATGTATCTGAACCGAATCCGCTAAAATCGGCAAGTAGCATGAAATTAGTAAAACTATTTTAGATGCACCTTTAAACAATTAAAGTCATATTAATGAATGAAGTGTTATTACATTTCTATGCCCATCATTACACCCATGCTTTAAAAGATGCATCCTTAAAAAAATTCAAATAATTTCTTGCACTGGATTAAATTATTGCTGTTATCTCTGTCTGTTCTATACCTCATGAGAAATAGTGTTTAATAAAAAACAATGTCAGAATTTTGTTTATCAGCATTTATCATTAGTTTGTGTACAATTTACGTTGGTTTCCAGATAAATCGCCTATTCTGATACTGATAAGACGATAGGTAGGTTCCGAAATATAAAACAATCTTGTAATAAAATCAAACGTACCAACAATATATGAGTATGTATATGTATATAAATTTGAAAATGATATTTTTTTTTTTATTTATTACTTTATAATTATTATATACTCTTATATTAAATGAATACTTAATATGTAAAGAATTACTGGTAATCTGATAAGTATCCAAACAATATCTTTTCGTAAACTGAATTTTTGGCTCAAAACATTTTAACACGGTATAAAATACTAGAGATTGGCAATTTCCTCTACACAACTAAAACAATAATTAGAATTAGTATTTAAGAAATTTTTCATTAACTTTAATTTATTGATGTACTATATAATTTTAGACCCCCTAGCAATGAAAACTAAAACACGCTCTATATTTTTAAATATTTATAAATAAAGTTTACTTACAACACAGATGATTCTTCCGATGAAACCATAAACCAAACCAAGTTACAATTTACTATAGAAGAAGGATGCTAACTGCGCTGTGCAATATTCCACCAAATAATTTATGTTCAAAGAATAGTCCGGATAGCGAAGTTCTAATAAAACGAGTAACACTCAGGTCTAACCAATACGCATTCTTAATACTTCATATGCACAATGGCCCACAATGGTGAGGCTAAGCGCAGAAAATGGAGTCTTTTTCACATTCACAAGGTCTAACCAAGGACTTTACTCCATACAGTTATTTACATAAGAATCGCATATTCTAGGCCCATTAGTTTTCTTTTTATTGCAACTGAATCTGGCAAAATAACTTCCATGTAACACTAAGAATTTTGCTCCAAACTACTCTTTTAACAATAAAAAAAGTGGCCACAATGCGATATCCACCGCATACAAAATAAAACAAAAATCTATTACATATTTAAAATTATCATTTATTTATACAATTGAGACTAACTTTACAATTTCTTTTTCTCCGTTCACATTTGGAGGTAATCACAATTAATATTATAATAATTATACATATTTATGAATTTTTACATTTATATAAAATATGAACAAATCATCCTTGCAGTAGGCTAGGATTTCGTTGATTTATTCTCTTCATTAATAAATTAAAATAAACTAATTAACATATTCAGAACTAATATAAATATATCTACATATAACAAATAGGCGATTTAAAGTTATACATAATAATTAATCCATGAAATAATCCACAATATTATAAAAGTATTACCTAATGCTATAAAGAAAAATAGTAACAGAATAATATAGTAAACATTTGTTTTAATCATCACAAATGAATCGTCAAATTTCAAACTTAAATTATGTGCCAATTTTAAATAAATAACATTGTATGATGGGGCGTACTGCCAACCGCAGTTAGGCTTTGGGGATGTTTTAAGAGGGACGCTGCTGCCCATCCATCGCCATCCCTTAGTCAACTTTTACGACACCTAGGGGAAAGGCATGGTTGGCCTATTCTATACCGGGACCACACATCTTTTTTTTTATTGTTTCATACAATAATTAATAAAAAAAAATCTTAAAATGTGTTATTCAACTTAGCCTCTGATGTCAGTGTACATTTTCCAAGCGATATTTTTTTTTTAATCTGTACATTTGCCCTTTATTCTCCTCAATTACCAACTTCTTCAATATATTTATACTTCTTTTTAAGAATAATAGCATACATCGTCATAGTGGTAGAATACTGACGGATCTATATATGTAATATTCGTCAGATCCGTCAGTATTCTACGACTGTGACGATATAACTGTATAAATATTTTTGGATTTCAATAATTTAAATTAATGGACCAAAAAAGTCCGAAATAAAAATGTATTATTATTATTATTAATAATTAAAATAAAATTGCCATTCCTAAAAATAGATTCAGGTAGGTCATGAATAAATTATTTCCTGTTTTTTATCAAATAATAAATTTGTTGAAACAAACATCTCGATATAGTTGAGTGATTTCCATGGTTGTATTTATGTTCCCATTGAATTCATAGTCGGCGTAGGCGAAGAAAACAATACAATTTTTGTTATTTAAATATAATCGTAATTTATTATTTATTTTTCTATATTTCTCTGCCATAATATATAATAATATTAGAATAATTTTACAATCAATCTTAATATAAAAAAAAAATAGGAAAATATATCAAAAAAAAAAAAACGCCACAATTAACTCATATTACGATTTTATGGCGTTTCACTGCCTTTGATTTTATAGGCCTCATTTGTAGGTTAATACCTTGACAAAGAAAAATATAACATCAGTTGTAAGTTAACAAATCAATAATTATAACAAATAGAATTGACCTGTCCCTACAAGGAGCATCCGTTCACGAGTATGACTATTTTAAACTGACATTTGGTTCATTATATAAACACTGACACGTCAAATTCCATACACGTTGGTAATCGTAACGCCCATCATATATGTAAACTTTTTGTCTAGACAGTGGAACGGTTCTTGACCCCGCGGAGACGTAAAAGCGAACAATCCTTCGCTCTATGTCTCCGATATATCAGAGTGAGAAATGCTGTCTCAGAATTAGGAGCAATCGTGATGAAATTCGAAATGCTCGGTCCGGGACTTTACGTCGCTCACTACGAGCAACTCTCCAAGTGATAAAAAACTCCTTCTTTTCGAAGTCGGTTAGGAATAGATTTGTACATTTTAATGTTTACGAATCAAACGATGGCGGCGGGGAGCGGGGGGTGAGGCGTGGTCGGTTAGAAGGTGGTGCAGACGTTGCCGTCGAAGTCGATGTTGCCGCCGAAGGGCGGGTCGCCGTCGAGCGGGTGGCGGTCGCCGCGCCAGGCGCTGTACAGCGTCGGCAGGAAATCATGGAACAGCGGGCTGCGCAGCGACGTCGTGCTGTTGTCGCGCACCACCTGCATCACACAATTATTTATTTATTCCATCAACTGGGCGAAGTTCCCAAAAAAGGGGTTATAAGTTAATCCCCCGTCCAGGAAAACATCAGTATCATATCAGCTTTTAACTATCCGCTGCTGAACATAAGCCTCCCCCTGGGGGGGGGGGGGGGGGGGTTAATGGATTGTAAAAAAATTGGATTAATAGCCCCATTGTTAGCAATATACACTGTCGAGGGGGGGGGGATTGTTAGTAATAGGGATTAGTAGCCCCATTGCTAGCAATATACCGTCAGTTCGACCTGGTTGAGTATATTGCTAGCAATGGGATTCTCAGTCTCCATTACTAACAATCCCTTTCCCCCCTCGCTATTAATATTATAAAGGGGAAATATTTCATTTTTTTGTACATTTGTTTGCAATGGATAAACTCCAGGGGAAAAGGGATTGTTAGTAATGAGGTCTAATGGCCCTATTGCTAGCAATATACCCTCTTAGGTCGACCTCCACGCGGTTCCCCATGGAAACCATCATGGTTAATTTTTGTCGAATTCATCATGGTGGGCCAACTGACCTGCATTTAATCTCACCTATCATCTTCCACTGATGCCCCGCCAGTGTATACTGATAGCGCGGGCGGGATTACCATTCCATTATCACCCATTAAAAAAAATGGATAAACTCAGAAACTGATCAAAATTATTTTAAAAATCCTTCACCTACAGAAAGCCACGTTACCAACGAGTAACATAGGTCCATATAGTATTTAAAAAAAGAGATCCTTCAAAAATTACAATGATGTAACCAAAACTATCAAAAATTGGCTTATTAAATTAGCTAATATTAAATATTGGAACGGGTGAACACGTTATTTATTATTGAAAATTGTGTGTATTACAATATTTAACAAAAAAAAAAAAAAAACAGTATTATATCATATCACTGGGCCACTCATCGTCTAACTACTCTCCCGTTCGTTAGTCGCGAACTTTCTCGAAACGCGAGAGGCGCGCTCCTATTGGTCGGTCGCGCGGTTACCGCGCCACGCGCCTGCGCTGTACGTTTAGATGGGTCTCACGGCGTAGGTACTTACTATGCATGCGTAATATATATACTTTTCCGTGTTACAATATTAATTTATCTTTCTGTCCATCTATCTAATATAATATAGTGCAATAAATATATATATCTAGTATAATATATAATTGTGCATCTGGAAAAAGAGGAATTCCTATTGCTTACAAAATTTTAGAACTCATTCATAAATTAAACCTAAGCAAAATTGATCTAATACTGCAATGGATTCCAGCACACGTTGGTTTACGGGGCAATGAAGAAGCAGATCGTTTAGCTAAACTGGGCATAGAGAAAGGTAGGTAACATCAGTCATTACCACATTTTACTGATTATATATCTAAATTCAAAAATCAATGTCAAAAAGATTGGAAAGAATATTTTAACGAAATTTCAAAAGAAAAAGGCATTTGGTACAAAACTATTCAGGCTGAACCACCACATATTCCTTGGTTTTGTGGAATTAAAATCAATAGGTACTGTATTAAATTAGCTGTTCGTTTACGTTCTGGTCATTATCCATCAAAAAAATTTGCACATATGATGGGAAAGTCCTTGTCACCCCATTGTCAAATTTGTAATACCATCGATGATGTGCATCATATTCTATTAGAGTGTCGTATTAACACGAAGGAAAGAGAAGAATTCATGCGCCACTTTAACTTAAATAAATTGAATGTTGGTCTTATTCAAACTATGTTAGCTGAACTTAAACCAGAAATTTTTGAACATCTCTGTAAATTATTGATGCCCATTAATTCTTCTCTTTCCGCGTCTAGGGAAGGTAGATAAAGTTTTGTTGGAGAAATCAGTTCAGGGTACAATAGGACTGATATACCTGAAGAAGGTAAAAGCCCTTAAAATATTAAAAAAAAAAAAAAATATTAATTTATCTTTCTGTCCATCTATCTAATATAATATAGTAAATGTTTAATATGAGGAAACAGTTAACACCTTTGTGTTTATTTTTTTTAATTATACACAGTGTATAACAAAATACATAAATTAGAAAAGCAAAGCAGCTGGTTTAGCTACTTTTTATTTCATTTACTTTTATTTTAGTTTGTTTACTAGTTTATAGACATTTAGTGCAGTAAAAAATAATTCCATAATATATGTTTACAACTATCAATGTTCAGACACCTCATATATAAGATTCCAACTCCATACATACCCGTTCTAATCCTTCAAAGTCGGGGTCCTCCTCTCGTTTCGGTATCCAGATCTTTACGTCCTTGTCAAGCCCACTTGTCGCCAGGACGGGACAACGAGGATGCGCTTCTATACAATTTACCTGCAAAAACATTTTTTTTTCTTTTTATTCAGGTCAACAAACAATATATAATAAATATGTTTAGAGGGGGAAAGGGATTTTTAGTAATGGAGACTGAGAATCCCATTGCTAGCAATATACCCAACCAGGTCGACCTCCTCGCGGTTCCCCCTGGAAACTATCAGGTTGCCTGGTAGAGATCGCTTTTTGCGAAAAGACCGCCCATTGTTTTCCCACTGTTATTATTTCTTGTAATTGTTTGTATTTATAATAAGTTTACTATTGTAATCTTTTAGAGGAAACAATAAAGAGTATCTATCTATGTAATTCACTAAAATATTTAATAATGGATTAATTTAAAATATTTATATCCCAATAATCTAGTTTTTCTTTTATTTTTCTCTTATTTTGCCAGTAATCCTCACAACTTTCTTAAAAAAAACAAAACCAAAAACAATGACAGGGCCCAAAGTGTTATTTACTATATAAATATCAAAATGACCCTTTTACAATGACAGAAGAATCTTCACACACAACCAATATGGACCTCATATTTTCTACTAATATTATAATTTAATATAAAAATTGTAAAAATATTTGTTTGTTACTCAATCACGCTTAAATAGCTGTACACATTTGATTAAAATTCGAAACATGGATAGATTATATCCTCAGTTAACATATAGGACACCATATACTGATTCACATGAACAACGCTGCGGGTTTTAAAAAGTTGAAATTAATAAATATTGCCTCACTCTACGTGTTCTACCGCTTTGTACAACAGACTGTGCTCAGAGTAATATCAATATGATGCTCACAGCCACTATCTACCATCGTACAGCTCGCCATCGACAGGGAACTCACCCCTATACATAGTCTAAGATGGTCGCGTACAGCACGGTTTCAGAGACATTTCCTCCCACGAACGTTCGTTACGATTGTGTAAGCTCGCTATCAAGGTTTTTCCAAGAGACTAAAGCATGAGGTTGTACAAAAAAGGAACATAGAAATTTCTTTAGGGTCGGCAATGCGTACGTAATGCCCGTGGTATTATACGACGACGTTTATAGACTATGGTAACCGCTTACCATCAAGTAGGCCGTATGCTTGTCTGCCACCTCAGTAGTACTAAAAAAAAAGTGTATAAAATACGATTACTCTAAAAATAAAGGTGTACTCACAACTCCGTTAACGTCTCCCTGCATCCACTGCACTATGGACTCGGAGTTCTTCTCCCATATGTAAATGTAGGAGCAGTCCGAGCCGGAGACGATGTACTCGCTATTGGGGCCGAAGAATGCGACGCCCTTGAAAGTGGCGCTGTTCCGGTGCCCGCTGTACCGGTGCGTGAAGCCTTGCTTCTCGTCGCTCGTTTCTCTGCAACCGTTTATAAAAATATTTTAAGAAATATTCAAATAATTAACTTGAGAGACATTTCACATTTAATAATTTTAGAATTAAAATTGAGAAATTATAGAATTAAAATTTAAAAATTTACTTTGACTTTGTACAAAAGTCGATTGCTTGGGCACCTCTGTGCCATTCGTATTTCAACCGTGAAGCAGTTGTGTTTGCTTGGCTGTGTTTCGGCTTAAAGGGTGGGATATGGCATGAATTTACTGGGTACAGAGGAATAACACCCGAGTCCTCAGGAATGGCAACGCATCGGGGGTATCATGGGCGAAACAGTATACTCTGTTATGTCTATGATACTGATCATGTCTATAGGCGACGGTTACCACTTTCCATCAGGTGGGCCGTCAGCTTGTTTGCCATTTTGAGTTGTATAAAAAAAAAGAAATAAAAAAAACTACTCACTTGTTATAGATGTCGTTTTTGGAATCAAACAAGTAGACATCCTCGTCGTTGTAGGAGCCGAGGATCTCGGAGCCGTCGTGGTTGTACACCGCACACGTGAGGTGCATCATTGATATCCGCGGCGTCTTCTTCAGGTTGGCCTGCAAAAAATATTCATCGCTAGCTTTTTACCCGCGGCTTTATACGTCTGTATGTCATTCTTCATTGCAGTAGGCATGGATAATATAGATACAGAGGGGGGAAAGGGATTGTTAGCAATGGAGTTTGACAGCCCCATTGCTAGCAATATGCCTTATTAGGTCGACCTCCACGTGGTTCCCCTTGGAAACCATCGTGAACAATTCTTGCTGAATTCGTCACGATGGGCTAACTGACCTGCTTCATCCTCACCTATCATACTTCACTGGTGCCCCGCCGGTGTATACCGATAGCGCGGGTGGGGTTGCCATTTCATTATCATCCATAAAAAAAATATATATATATATAGACACAGAGAGGGGAAAGGGATTGTTAGTAATGGGGTCAAACAGCCCCATTACTAACAATATACTCTGTTAGGTCGACCTCCACGTGGTTCCCCCTGGAAACCGTCGTGACTAATTTTAGTTGAATTTGTACTGAATTTCGTGAAACCTGCTTTCATCCTCATCAGTCATCCCTCATTGGTGCTCCGTCAGCGTAACCTGTTAGCATAGGCGGGGTTACCATACCATTTTCACCCATCAAGAAAAAAACTGACCCATTGTTAGCAATACCCTATCAGGTCAACCTCCACGTGGTTCCTCCTGGAAACTATCGTGACTAATTAAATCTGTATCTTTATATATCTGTAAATTAATATCTGTAAATATATACTTTCCAATAAAAAGAGAATTTTCCACATCGGTTTAGAACTGACGGAGTTATGAGGTGACAAACACAAAAAAAAAAGTAGAACTGAGACCCTTGTTTATGGAGTCGGTCGACAGAAAAAACTTGAAGTTCAAGTTACACTTACAGTCTGGGTGAAGTACGATGGGCAGTACATAAGGAGTGGTTTGGTGGACTTCCGCCGGTCGTACATACGAACGAATTTGTCCCGACCGGCCACGATCAATTCGCGAGGATCCAACGGGTGCCCGTTGACGCTGTACAGGGGTATCGTCACACCGCGATCCTTCACTGTGAACAATCTGGAAAAAGAGAGGTTTCACTCACCAATCATATATATCTAATATATACCATAAAATTCTCGTGTCGCGGTGTTTGTTACCAAACTCCTTCGAAACGGCTTTACCGATTTTTATGAAATTTTGTATGCATATTGGGTAGGTTTGAGAATCATCCAACATCTATTTTTCATACCCCTCAATGATAGGGGTGACTCACCTCTAAATATTTTTTTAATTTTTTTTGACAATATTTTTTATTTTTATTTTATTATGATTTAGCATTGAAAAATACATACAAATTCAAATTTTCACGCTTTTACGATCAACCCCTGTTGTTTAATCGCTATGTTTATATGCCACAATAGGATTGCAAGATGACAATCGAATATAATAATTGTAGTACGATATATTTTCATGTATAGTTGTAGAAATAATGTATATGGTAAAACAACGTTTACCGAATCAGCTAATATATATATATATATATATATATATATATATATATATATATATATATATATATATATATATATATATATATAATTCAAAGTAAAATAGTAATGTTTTTATATAATCGTGTAATCTTCATTATTATGTTGTTTTGTTATATGTAACATGTATAATTTATATTATTTTTTCTTAAAGAGCGATTGTATTTAACTAATGATATTATTTAAATGAAAAGTTTGTTTAGTGTATGTGTAAATAAATAAATAAAATAATTACTCATAAAATAAAGTTTATCATATAAGAAAAAAATCAATTTTATTTACAAAATACGAAAAATCCCTAAAAGTTAAAATAAAAAACGCAATTTTAGCGTGAAGCTGGTGGAATAAAAAGAAAAAAGGCTTGAAGTGGAAAGGGTTAAGGGACATGTAAATTTGTCTCACTTTTTAAAAATATTTCACTTGCCCAGTGTCTCAGATAGATATCCAGGTATAAATAAATACCAGTCTCATTTAAGGAGGATTTTATTAATAGAGGTTCAAAAATAGTCCAAGATGGAGAGGTGATACATTAACGTTGTCTCAGTTACAGAGGTTTATGCATATAAATAGATAAAAATTGCCGTGTGGTCCCGACATAGTAGGCCACCCCTTCAATTCCCGTGAGTGTCGTAAGAAGAGGCTAAAGGAGGACGAGGAATGGCCAGAGCATCCCTCTTAAAACATCTTTGAGGCCTAACTGTGATTGCCAATCCGCCTGTCAAACGTGGCTTAGGGGTGGCGCCGAAATCTAAGGGGGACGGCAATATAAGTTGTCGGACCCGGCATAAGTGACATCGGAATGGATGACGACATTTTACACATGAATGATGACATGGATTTCAGGAACCTAGTTTCACATATCAAACCTGGTGTAGGCGATATCCAACAAATGATAAGTTTTTAAGGTCACCCCTTTATTTATTTATTTATTTAAGGCAAACAAACAGCTAAAACAATACATAATTATATACTTAAATAATAATTTGGTAGCCACTAAAATTTGCATAAATAAAATGAAACACAAAATTTATCAAAAACTTGTTTAGGATCGTCATACGTACTAATAGCGGTCCTAGATAGAAACCTTGGGTACGCATTTCATAGAGTCTGAAGTGTAAAAGCTTATGCGTATTCTTTTCTGGCGGGGTACTGGTCGCGGCCGCTTCCTGCGTGCGGTTACCTGGCGGGGTACTGGTCGCGGCCGCTTCCTGCGTGCGATTACCTGGCGGGGTACTGGTCGCGGCCGCTTCCTGCGTGCGGTTACCTGGCGGGGTACTGGTCGCGGCCGCTTCCTGCGTGCGATTACCTGGCGGGGTACTGGTCGCGGCCGCTTCCTGCGTGCGATTACCTGGCGGGGTACTGGTCGCGGCCGCTTCCCGCGTGCGGTTACCTGATGGGAAACTGGTCGCGCACGTCGCACTGCATGGCGAGCCCGTCCTCGCCGGCGGACACGACGAGGTGCGGCTCGGAGGCCCACACGTGCAGCTTGTGCGCGGCGCTCGAGTGCGCGGCGAGCCGCCGCCGCACGGCCGCGCCGCCGCCCGGCGGGCACTGCAGCAGCCGCACCTGCACCAGGGGGCACAGGGATTGTTAGTCATGCGGACTACCACTCCTATTGCTGTTAGCATTTTTTTTTTTGATGGATGAAAATGGTATGGTAACCCCGCCTGCGCTAACGGGATACGCTGGCGGAGCACCAGTGAAGGGTGATCGATGAAAATGAAAACAGGTCGGTTAGCCCATCATGATGAATTTATCAGGAATTAACCATGATGGTTTCCAGGGGGAACCGCGTGGAGGTCGACCTGATTAGGTATATTGCTAGCAATGGAATTCTCAGTCTCCATTACTGACAATTCCTTTCCCCCCCGCTGCTAGCATTATACCTTGTGTCTTTTTGACCTCCTCGCGGTTCTCCCTGGTAACTATCATGATTAATCCCTGATGAATTCGCCATAATGGGCTAACTGGCCTGTTTTCATGCTCATCTATCACCCTTCACTGGTGCTCCGCCAGCATATCCCGTTAGCGCGGGCGGGGTTACCATACCATTTTCACCCATAAAAAAACAGCCCTGTTGCCACATATCAGGTCCACTTCCACGTGGTTCCCCTGAAAACCATCATGGTTAATTCTCGTGGAATTCTTCACGATGGGTAACCGACCTGCTTTGATCCTCATCTATCATCTTTCACTGGTGGGGTACCAGCGCCAGCGTATACCGACAGCGCAGGCAAAGAAACCATTCCATTTTCATCCATTAAAAAAAATTCACCTAATCGTACCACGTCCTCAGGAATGACAACACATGAAGAGCATCATGGGCGACACAGTATACTCTGTTATGTCCATGGTACTGTTCATGTTTATACGCGACAATTTCCATCGTCCGTCGGTCCGTCGTCTTATCTGCTATTATAGATATTAAAATAAAAATAAAAAAGCCTTACCTGCCCATCCCTGGCACATGTGACAATATTCAATTGACTTCTCGCATTTAAATGTAGAAATCTACTTTGGAAAACGTTCGATTTGTGACCCGTTTTGATGGACTGTAGCGCGATATTCCGCGCCCAATCCCATACTATCACGTTTGTATCATCTGAACCTGATGCTAGGAGATTTCCTAAACACAAAAAGAACGTGTATTTAGACCCATAAAAATAACACAAAATAGGAGGTGTCCGTTAATTACGGAAGGTTGTGTCGCCGTGTAGTCCCGCCATAGAGCGGGCAATCCCTTCTTTTCCGGGGGGAAGGGATTGTTAGTAATAGGGCGGTTAGACCCCATTGCTATCAATATACCCTATCAGGTCGATCTCCACGCGGTTTCCCCTAGAAAACATCGTGACTGATTTATCGTTGAATTCGTCACGATGAGCTAACTGGCCTTTTCATCCTCACCTATCACCTCTCACTGGTAGCCCATCAGGTGTATACCGATAGCGGAGCAGGTGTTACCATGCCATTTTCACCTAATAAAAAAAATCCCTTCCTTTCCCCGTAGGTGTCTCCAAAGCCTGACTGCAGTTGCCAATCCGCCTGCCAAGCGCGGCAACTACTGGAAAAACCTCCTACCTATATATATATTATACATATAGATTAAATAAATAATATTTTGTAGTAAAAAACATACCTTCAGGGTGAAAATTTATTGAATTAACACAGCCTTTGTGTTCATTTAGCTGGTGTAATTTGTCCAGCCTATAGATGGCATGTAGTGAGCCGTAGAACCTCTTTTCAAACATAACATCATGTTTCGCTGATTTGCCGCACGGAAATATCAAACCCATTTCACGATTTATTATCTCTGCAACATACCGAGATTACATGCAAACTACAACTCTGCAATCTCAGCAACATGCTAACAAATGAGATGAAGTACTACTGGGTACAGAGGAATAACATCTGTGTCCTCAGGAATGGCAACGCATGGGGGGTATCATGGGCGAAACAGTATATTCTGTTATGTCCATGGTACTGCTCATGTCTATAGGCGACGGTTACCACTTTCCATCAGGTGGGCCGTCAGCTTGTTTGTCATTCTAAGTTGAATAAAAAAAAAAAAAAAAGGAACCTAATTCCTAACTGTTGTTTCATGAGTGTAGTACAAAATTGTCAATGGCAATAGATTGGATTGATATTGGTATTAAATTCAAAAGTAATTCTGCTGATTATTTTAAAATTTAGACTTGTAAATTTAAATCCTAATAACTCAGGTGTTATTCCTCTGTACCTAGTAAATTCACGCCATATCCCACCCTTCAAACCGAAACACAGCCATGCAAACACAACTGCTTCGCGGTTGAAACACGAATGGGACAGAGGTACCTAAGCAATCGATTTTAGTACAAAGTCTTCCTCTGGTAAAACTACTATTTCATTTAATCATTTCAACTACTTTGCCCCGACATGAAACTTTCTTATGGGGACAAATTTTGGGTGAATTAAAACTTTAATTACCTTTACATATGTGATAATTATGTTTCGGTCTCGACTTCAACAGTACACTAGGTAGTTTGCCTTTATCCTCTTCATCATTCTCGTTGGCCCTGGACCAGAGGCCTTCATCATCGCTGTCCGTGTCGCCCGAGTGCAAGCCGATCATGTTCACGCTGTCATCACTGTTGATGTCATCATTGCTGTCCGACGAATAAGACCTGTACAATAAAGTGATCATACAGACATCATCAGACAAGTGAATGATATATCTATCTGTATAAATAAAATAAAGTCGGTTTCGCCTGCGTTAACAGTATACGCTGGCGGGTCACCAGTGATAGATGACAGGTAAGGATGAAAGCAAGTCAGGTTTTTTAATAGATGATAATGGAATGGTAACCTCGCCTGCGCTATCGGTATACGCTGGTGGGGCACCAGTGAGGGATGATAAATGAGAATGAAAACGCAGGTCAGTTTATTGTAATGAATTCACTTGGAACAGAACACGATAATTTCCAGGGGGAACAACGAGAAGATCGACCTGACAGGGTGTATTGCTAGCAATGGTCACCCCATTGCTAAATAATCCCCATTATTAAAAATCCCTTCTCTCCCCAAGTAAGTTAATTAACATATCGTAATATCTATTTATCTGTCTATCCTATTTAAGAGTTACGCTCTTGTCGGTGGAGCTCTTGCCACTCACTACGATTTTCAGCGAGTCTCTTCACCTCTTCATACGACACGACACCAACTCCATCCTTGATCTGTCTGATGTAACTATGCCTTGGTCTCCCTCTTCCCCTCTTTCCTTCTATCTTACCTTCTATTATAATGTTCATTAGTTCGTCCTGTCGTATCAAGTGTCCTAACATTTTTCCCCTTCTGTCCTCAATATCGTAATATATTCAACAAGAATTAACCACAATGGTTTCCACGTAGTGGTCAACCAGATAGGGTATATTTTTAGCAATGGGGCTTTTATACCCCACTACTAACAATCCCCCCAAAGAAAGTTGGGTTAGTTACACCATTTAGAACTCCAGAACGGCTGGACATATTTTGATGTTTTGTGATATTTGCTGGATTCGTCTCCATCCCGAATAGCGGAATAACTATTAAAGAATATCAGAAAGATTCACGTAAAAAAATATAGAAAAAAAAATTAATTTAGACAATTAAGCGGTACGAAATTTGCCGAGTCAGGCGGTCTATTTCTATGTACATATAATAAAAATGTAGAGGTCGAATGTCTGTACATAGAAAAAAAAAACGTTAAAAATAGACTCAGGAGGATGTTAGAAATGAACAGATATAGATTTTTTCAAAATTTTTGTTTCTCTGTCTGTTTGTGCGGGATAATTTCCGAAACTATTGGACCGATTTAAATGAAATTTTGCGTGGTAATACCTTACGTTCTCGGTCCACATTTTAGATATTTTTAATCACTTTTAAAAATTAAAGCGTTCCCGTGGGATAGTTAAAAAACTATAATAACTTATACAGCTTAGTATACAACCTTATTAGCTTATTTTGACCTAAGGCATAGAGTGAAAACGACACGTCATTTGTTAATTTTGGTCTAGTGTTCCCGGACATAATAAATAGGTAGGTACATACATTGATACATACTAAACGGGAATAACAAATACTACGCAGACAAAGTCGCGGGCATCAGCTAGTCTATACTTTTAATAAATCTGTAGAGAGGTCAATTCTGTACATGAAATATATTTCCAAAATAACTATCAGGCGGTGATTAGTAATCGATACTGATGCCAAAAATGCAATCAGTAAAATTTTTGTCTGTTTGTCTGTATGTTGGTCATGTAAACAAAAACTACTCGACGGATTTAAACGAAACTTGGTACAATTATTCTTCATACTCCTGGGCAGGTTATAGTATACTTTTCATCACGCTACGATCAATAGGAGCAGAGCAGTGAAGGGAAATGTTCGGAAAACGGAAGAAGTTACTGTATTTTTAAGCTTCCGCCGCGTGTGCAGCCTTAATAGCCACTTTTTAAAATGTAATAATGTCCACCAGTGCGAAGCCGGGGCAGGTCGCTAGTAAATAAATAAAACAAAGACAAGTAGACTTTACTCAGCCAAAAAAAACGGCCACTTCAATCTTGATAGAACAAGTTGTTTTGTAAGCACGTTAGATCAAAAATTCAAATTTAGAACGCAAAGTCACGTGTTTACAAGTACATTTTGTTTTGCAACAAGAAGTATTTTTTTTAGTCTGTACGGACAGCAGCTTCAATCACACACGTCTCACGATATAGAATAGAATACATTTATTAGCAAATATGGTACTAACATATGGGGTAAATCTCCAATAATTGCAAAAAATAATCATCAAAACTGATATTTTTTACACAATAGGTAAGTTTGTTTAATGGGTGAAGATGTCATAGTAATGTAGTATGTATGGTAAAGTGTGTAAAAAAAGAAAAAGCTTAATTTGATGTTAAAAGAAATTTTTAATTTTTAAGAAATAAAAACGAAACTATTTTTGCAATTTTTGAAACCTTAAAAATGTATAATAACAAGTTTTAAAAAACAGATCGCAATCACTAATGTACTGTATATTACCAAATTAATGTGTTATTATAAACCGCACGTCACGTGTACGTCATAAGTGTACGTCACGTGTACCTCAAATTGCTGCATATGCTATAAAATTTGTTTATACAATTGCCTTTGAACACCTGGTATTGCAGGCGTTCATAGGCTACGGTAACCGCTTACCATCAGATGGACCGTATGCTTGTTTGCCGCCTCAGTGGTATAAAAAAAATTTGCGTTGATCAATGATCCACAGTTCTTTTCCAATTTTTTATGGATGACAAGTGAGGATGAATTATTAGGCAGTTATTTTTTTATAGGTGAAAATGGCATGGTAATGTAGTATGTATGGTAAAGTATGTAAAGAGAGAAAAAGCTTAATTTGATGTTAAAAGAAATTTTTCATTTTTAAGAAATAAATACGAAACTTTTTTGCAACTTGCAATTTTGAACGTCGAAATAGCTGGCGGCTCTAGATTTAGCTTTTTTTATGGGTAAAAATAACATGGTAATCACGCTTGCGCTGTCGGTATACACTGGCGGGGTACCAGTGAGAGGTGATAGGTGAGGATGAAAAGGCAGATCAGTTAGCCCATTGTCACGAATTCAATGATAAATTAGTCACGATAGTTTCCAGGGGGCACCGCGTGATGGTCGAGCTGACAGGATATATTGCCAATAATGGGATTTGTAGTCCGCATTGGTAACAATCCCTCCCTCCTCCTAAAGCAGTCAGTTGGCCACGTGGAGGTTAAATTGAGAGGGGTATATTATTCGAAATTGGGTCGCTGATGTCCATTACTAAAATCCCTTTCAAGAATTACAAGAATGACGTATAACAAAATATTTCGGTTTGAAGGGTGAGATATGGCGTGAATTTACTGGGTAGAGAGGAATAACACCTGATGGCAACGCATGGGGGGTATCATGGGCGAAACAGTATACTCTGTTATGTCCATGGTACTGCTCATGTCTATAGGCGACGGTTACCACTTTCCATCAGGTGGGCCGTCAGCTTGTTTGTCATTCTAAGTTGTATAAAAAAAAATGTAGCACATTGATGACTAACAAAAAACAAATCCGTGTCGTGTGACGCGAATTCACGCGCAGTAGGCAAAACGTGTGTTCACAATTGCTGAATTCTCCTTTAGGCACGTCGAGATTTTAAAATGGGCAAAATCTTATAAATTCTGATCACTAAGATGCTAATAATTCATAATTGTCACTTCTGTCGCTAGATAGTTTTTTCTTCAGTCTCTCAATCTCGAATTTTGCCACGCAGAGCAATCATTGTCTAGCTCGTTGGCAAGCTATTACTTGGAGCCAATTATAACACAACTAGATGGGTACAATAACAAAGAGAGGTAGGGCACAGCGGGACTCTCGCTCATAAATGGAACCGCCCGCCTGGGGAAGGACCTCCACCTTGCAGAAGTTCGCAGCCAAACAACGCTGTTTTAATAGCGTTGTGTTCCTGCGGTGAGTAAGGTTTCCAGTTCCATCTTGGGGAGGGGTTGTGCCGATATTGGAGGGACCAGCGTGTTTTAATACTGTCGTGGGGGAAACAGTTGGGGTAAAGGATTGTTAGTAATGGGAAAGTTAGTCGCCATTGCTATCAATATACCCTATCAGGTCGACCTCCATGCAGTTCTTCCTGGAAACTATTGTGACAAATTTATCATTGAATAGGTCACGATAAGCTAATTGACCTGAATTTTCATCCTCACCTATCACTGGTACCTCACCAGTGTATACCAATATCCCAGGAGGGGTTACCATTACAAAAAAAAACATATCCCAGTCATGCAGATGGAGTTTTTTTTTTAATCAAATTTTTTTTGAGGTTTTAATACATCGGAGTGACCATGCCAGCCTCATAGAGATTGTCTGAAAGTCAGTCTGTCAGTCCGTCAGGGATCAGCCAGAGTTGCAAGTAAAATTGACCCAAAATTGACTGACCCAAAACTAACATTTTTTTTTACAACGCAAGGGGCAACTGAGCTTACCAAGTCAGAATATAACTTAGATATGGACCAAATTAAATTCAAATCTGTTTAGTTGTTTTTCCATGAAAGAATAACAAAATATAATTTTTGACGAAATAGGCGATGTGCTGAAGAAGGGCCAAATTAAAAGTACCCGTAACCGGCGAGCGTGTATGAAAAGATTGATAAATGTGGAAGAAGCGAAAGAGGTTTGTTTTAATTGGAGCATTTGGCGTTCCATTGTTTCTGCCTACCCTAATGGGAGACAGGTGTGACAGATATGTATGTATGTATGTAGTAACAAACATTTATACATTTCACACTTTCACATTTATAATAGTTTACAGTAGATTTTGTTTGTTTGTTTGTTACACACTTTATTGTACAGTAGTCTTAAATAATAGGATAGAGTTCTTATGAAAAGAATGAATACTTCAAATATTGGACTTATTCCATAAAAGGGATTTCTTCCAGTCAACCTTTCCATGTCTAATAGAAATCACATTTAACAATTTAGTTATAAAACTGATAACTTGTGTTAAAGATCTTGGCCTTTACATAGACCCAGCACTCAGCTGGTCACATCAAGTTGCGGAGGTGAGTCGCTCAGTTGTTGCTACGCTACGCTCCTTATATCGCTTTAAAAACTTTTTACCTATCGCTACAAAAATTAATCTTGTTCACGCACTTATTATTCCGATTATTGATTATGCTGATGTGTGTTATCCAGATCTTAATGAAGATCTTCTCGATAAGCTGGACCGTCTCCTCAACCAAGCCATACGCTTTCTCTTCAACCTCCGGAAGTTCGATCACATTTCTTTATATCGGTCTCAGCTCAAGTGGCTTTCCATTCGTCAACGCAGAAACGTTAGAACTCTTTGTACCCTGTACACTCTTCTTCGAAACCCCCAGTCTCCTAACTACTTAAGGAGTAAATTCCAAAATCTTTTTGAAACTCACGAACGTAAGCTTCGTTCCAATAATACTCTCCAATTATCTTTCCCCTCTCACCGTACTGGTTACGCTTCAAACTCTTCTCTTCTACATTCTTCACGACTCTAGAACGCGCTTCCTGATACCATTAAGAGACTACCGACTAAACCGTTTTTCAAAAAAAGCGTTCACACTCACTTTTTATCTTTATCCGAGCAGTAAGTGCTTCAAATTATTCCCATATTCGCGTATAATATAGTATATATCATATGTGTAAGTAAATTTGTTAGTCATATATATTTATACGTTTATATATGTAATTTTAGTATGTATGTATATCAATAATTACTAGTATTGCATTCGAGTATTCTGACACTTCCCTATGGTTGACTAGGAGAAAATGCTTTTAGCATTAAGTCCGCCATGTACACACATTTGTACTGATGAATAAATAAATAAAAATAAATAAATTGTGAATCAGTGGAGACAAAACAATAGGTAATTAAAAAAAAAAGTAAAAAATAATAGGTAACACAAGCATAACCTTGATATTGGACATAACACTTCTGGGGGGAAAGGGATTGTTAGTAATGGAGACTGAGAATCCCATTGCTAGCAAAATACCCAACCAGGTGGACCTCCTCGTGGTTCCCCCTGGGAACTATCATGATTAATTCCAGATGAATTCATCATGATGAGCTAACTGGCCTTTCATTCTTTCATTCTCATCTATCACCCTTCACTGGTGCTCCGCCAGCGTATCCCGTTAGCACAGGCGGGGTTACCATACCATTTTCATCCAATAAAAAAAAACATGACACATCTAAATAAATAACTAAAAACATTATTACTCTATGCATAACACTTCTAATATTCTAAATAAGGAAGTACATAAATCTTATGCTTAAAATTTACAAATAAACAATATACACATATAGGGGGAAAAAGGATTGTTAGTAATGAGATCTAATAGCCCCGTTAGGGGGAAAAGGGATTGTTAGTAATGAAGTTTGAGAGCCCCATTGCTAGCAATATGCCTTATTAGGTCGACCTCCATGTGGTTCCCTTTGGAAACCATCGTGAACAATTCTTGTTGAATTTGTCACGATGGGCTAACTGACCTACTTCATCTCCTCACCTATCATCCTTCACTGGTGCCCCGTCGGTGTATACCGATAGCACATGCGGGGTTACCATTCCATTATCATCCATTAAAAAAAAAACAATATAACTTATCAGGTCGACCTCCATGCGGTTCCCCCTGGAAACCATCTTGATTGTTTTTTTTATAAATATATCATTATAAGCCAACTGACCTGTTTCATTCTCACCTATCATCCTTCACTGGTGCCCTGCCAATGTATACTGTTAGAGCAGGCGGGGTTACTATTCTATTATCATCCATTAAAAAAAATATACACATAATAGATACATATTGTTAACCAAACATCTGTAGAATAACCAGAGTGTCTTAAGATGGGGCTTTAGGACATATAATGAACAGGGCATTCTTAAATTCATTGGTAGGGAGTATTAACATCACTACTTTGACAGTTTCAAACATAAAAACAAAATGTAATATACATACCCGCTTTGTGAAACATCTGAGAATGTTCCCATCAACCTTTGCTCAGCATCCTCGCTTTCAGCTTCAGAATTGCTGCTCGTTTGTTGTCTAGTACTGAGCACTGTCTCCTCTGCAGACAAATCATCTGAATCTCTGGATGAGTCATTACTGTCGGAATCTCTGTCGGGCGTTTTCCTTTTTCTATAATTTCGACCGCGTTTAGGTCTTCTAATATTCAAAAGAATGGCACGAACATTGCTACTTGAAGGTGCTGCGTTCACGAACTGATTAGAGGGCCCCTCGCCCGGCCCCGCGACTCGATCGTCGCTGCTAGTGCTCTCAGACTTGTCAGCAGACACGCCACTATCCACATTCTCATCCTTCTCACCTTTATTAGCAGATGCAGCTTGAAAGAACAAAACAAGATTCATTTACGTCACAGAAAACACCCACTTAACGATCATACGTAAATAAAAGTTACCTGCATCCATGATACTGTCCTGAGAACTCCCATCATTCAATTTCAGCTTTTTACCACCTAATTTGGGACTAAGTGGTGAATCTTGAACTTCGTCATCACTCGATGGGTCTTCCATGGCGACTTAATTTAAAAAAATTGCACTAGAATAGAATGTTTACAACATCGGAATAAGAAAAGTAATATTAAAAAAATATTAGTTAATTCGTGTGCAGTGTGAAATTTATAATAAAAAAATTGAAACAGATGCTAAGAAGAGAATGGAATGGAGGATTTTTCTAAAATTTTTATCACAGAGTACATCGATTTTAAACAAAACACAGATGACAGAGATTTTTTTAATGTACAATTTGACAGTTAACTAAATATTGCCATATGTATTTAATTATTATTCATGTTTTAGTAATATCTGATATCGATTAACAATCTGTGAAATTTATCGTTGTTTTTTAAAACATATAAAAAAGTCTGTCATACCGATACCGGTCATGATTGATAACATGTTCGACTACCTAAGTCCATCTTTCGACTGAAAAGTCAACGAACGTACGAGCAAATGCTGTGTAGGATGACCCCCCACTAAATAGAGCGACGACCTTAAATACAGTGCAGAGTCAGTGGATGCAAGTGAAACAGAACCGTTCCTTAATCTTAGGATCTATTGGGGAGGCCTATGTCCAGCAGTGGACGGATAATGGTCGAAATAATGATGATGATGAACACCACCGTTAAGAATTGTAACTTTAATAAATTTCGCGTAGCAACAATATCGTAAATAAGAAAAAAAAATCTTGTCTATTGTTATCAAATATGTTGGTAGAACGCGAGTTCGTTATCGTCGTTCTCATTTTCGAATATTAACGCGCGCGTGCATATATTGCCGCGAATATGGTATAAATAAATATATATTGTTTCGTATCGCTTTTAATTATATAATATATAACCAAGAGGCTGACTGAGAGAAGGGCATTGCACTGCTAGTCGGTTCAAGGCGGTGGATAGGTAACCCGGATCTAAGGGTAAGTTTGAACGAGCCAGAAGTTCTGGGAAGCCTAATGCCAGAACTGAATCCTGCTAACTACAAAGTTTCAGGTCAGTGGGCTCCACCTTCATTATCCTCTTGTGTTCATTATTTACCTACCATCATCGTAATAATTTTCATACAAACCACTAATAACCGTTGCCCAATGATTAATTTCAATTTGTAACATCTTATTTTACGAACGGTTAACAACCACAAAGTATACCGTGATGCTCACGATACTGTTCAGACGTTATTATTCCTGAGGACGAAGTGTACAACTGTGACTGTTGAATGATACATTTATCATAAAATTTTCTATTTCAAAATTATACATAACTAGACTCTAGAAGCTACTCACGTATGTAGGCTTTGTTCTAGAGACTTTATGCATGATCCTCGGGTGGTGCTAAACGAGTGACAAAGCCCAGAAATAGGTGGTGGTTAAGTATTTTGTCTTCTCACCACACTCCTCTTCCTTAAAAACTCAGAGTTCAACTTGCAAATCAGTCAAAAAAAATTGCTGTGAGATCAGACTAGACTTGATAACCGACGCCCACTAATTGCCAATTTTATATATATATATATATAAGGTAAGCTATTTTATATTATCTAATTATGGACAATTGCTTTATTTATTTGAAAGAATCAGATTGCGGATTACAACAAATGGTGACTGTAATAAATGATGCGTATGCAAGAAAGTTTGTAAATAAATGCGATGAAAACGAAAACGAAAGTAATGAGTTTGAGAGAAATTAAAGTTTAACGATATGTCAGATAATGATGTGAGATGAAAGTGTAGAGCAAGTGAGTGAGTATCTATATTTAAATTCATTGTTTTTAAGAGAAAGTGTGAGGGAGATATTGAAAAGAGGGTAAGAGCGGGAAATAGTATTAACGATACACTGCCCTCAATTATGACAAGTAAAAATGTTTCAAGTAAAGCTCGCCTTGCCATAATTCAGGGAATACTGACAGCAACTCTCATGTATAAAAGCAAATCGTGCGTATGGAATATATGGTATAAGAAAAAGCATGATAGAAAAATAAATTCTGTACAGATAAACCTCTGAGAGGTATGTGTGGTATTACATTAAAGGATAGAATGAGAAACAGTGTGATTAGAGAGAAGTGTGAACTGAAAAATGATGTACTCGTAGTTACAAAAATCGAAAAGGGAATGTTGCGATGGTTTGGCTATTTAGTGAGGATAGATGAAAGAAAAATTACGAACAAGATTTATCGAGTAAGACTAAATGCAGATGTCGATAAAGGCCACTCTAGACGGACATATATTGATCAAATACGCGACGTGCTGAAGAAGGGTTAAATTAAAAGTAACCGTAACCGGCGAGTGTATATGAAAAGATTAATGACTGTGGAAGAAGCGAAAAAGGTGTATTTGAATGGAAGTATTTAGCGTTCCATTGTTTCTGCCTACCCTAATGGGAGCCAGGCGTAACCAATATGTACTCAGAAAGTATTGCGAGAAAAAGTTTTATGTATGTGAGACTGACCAGTTATAATTTATTTAAAAATATGATTACTTATAAGTAAAAATAGGTACGTTCTAAATTCAAAACTTCCAACATTTTTTGCAAGCTAATCAAAATTATTGTCTTATTGAAAAATGGATTTGCGTCGAGAACATTTTCGCGCCATGATTGTTTTACGATTTTAAGTGTCACCTGTAACCGGACGAATCGTACGATAAACTTCAAATAGCATTCCTCACCTTTTGACGGCTGTAATGGAAGAAAACGTGCTAGCAGTGAAAAAGTTGGTCCAAGACAATAGACGAATTACATACCAGAGATTCAGCATATACTGCAGGTTGGATCAGGAAGCCTTCACGAGATTCTACATGTGCATCTACGGGTGCGGAGGATAGTTTTACGCTAGGTGCCGCACGTCGCCGGTGAATGTTGCCATGATATGATAGATAAATTTGAAGCAGGCTCGACTCGGCGTGTTTACAACATCGTTACAAGTGAATCCTGGATTTATCAATACGATCCAGAAACAAAGCGCCAATCGACGGTTTGGTTGTTTCAAAACGAATCAACGCTTACCAAAGTAAAGCGACCTAGATGCGGGGGGAAGATTTTGATCGCAAACTATTTCAATTTGATTGGCTACACGATATCATTTTTTTACCAAACCAAAGGAGCATTAACAGCGATTGGTATACTACCAAATTCTCGGCAGAAGTTTTCTCTGTCAACAAACGACCAAACACAGGGCTCCGCGGGCTACTACTCCACTACGATAATGCGCCCGCCCACACCGCAATCAAAACGAGGGACTTTCTAAACAGCACACCGGTCAAACTCCTGGGTCACCCTCCTTACAGCCCTGGTCTAGCACCGTGTGACTTCTTTTTATTTTCAAAAATAAAAAATCAGCTCAAAGGGATACAATTTTCGTTGCCGAATGATGCGCTCTCAGCGTTCGAGCAGGTTGTAAATGAGGTGTCTGCGGCAGACTGGTAAAAGTGTTTCGAAAACTGGTTCAGACGCATGAAAATTTGTATAGAGGCTGGTGGAGAGTACTTTAACAAGATGTAATAAAAATATATTCACATATAGAAATTTTTTTTAGTGTCGCAAAACTTTCTGATTGTACCACGTATTTGTATACAACTAGATCTCTATTTTTGAAGATTTTTGATCCAGTTTCTGTGTATCCTCTACTAAGTAGTTAGACATTTCTATATTATTCTGTATAATGTCTAACTACTTAGAGCTATTGAGAACATTATAAATTATTCCTGTGTCCCTACCTACCCGTTTTCTTATAGTAAAAAACATTCTTTTTTTACTGTTATTTACAAAATATCATATTATTACACGAAAATATCAATATATCATTACAACACTATTATTATCGCTATAAATTGTTATATAATTCTTGTCATTTTGCTTGTTTTATTTACTTTATATGCTCGTGGACGAATCACTGTCTTTAATTATTGAAACTATGAACTATTTTTCTACATGTTATAGACAATTTCACTATGTATTATTCGAAACGATTCTATATTGTTTTACTATAACTATAACAACTATTTTACCATAACGCTGCACTCGAAAGATACTATCACTATATATAAATATAACATGTAGCGCTGATGCAATTGTCCGGAACCATCTTTACAATATAATTTTTCCAAATGCCCCGAAATGACATGAAGTTTTTATGTTTCATCATATTTTAATAAAATGTGTTGTAGTAGTTCATTTTATTTTGATCATTTATTAATTTTATGTAATAATTTGTTCTAGTTCATAATTCTGGGAGAATATGGTTGAGATCTTTAGTCGGTATAGTGCAACTTTCGAAAAAAAAAAATAGCAAATGTCAGACAAATTGACATTGACTTTTTGTTTGACAATTTTCATTTCTTTTCCATTGCATGTAATGTGTGAACGAATCTCGCACAAATTTAAAAAAGTCGCGTGGCGAAATTATATTTTAAATTTAAATATAATATACCTATAGATACGGATTAATTTGTAGTCTCAATTTTATTAAGTTTAATGAGTGTTTATAATTATGTTTTCGAACAAATTAACAAATTCATATAAACAAAGCCCTGATGCTACCGACATGGATGTGCTATCTTTTTTGGATTTACTAGATTTAGACGAAGAAATCGTCGATGCAAGACTCCATATTTTAATGAAGAAGCAAAGTCATACAAATAAACATCTCGCAAATGTATTACAGTTATTAAACTATAAAAATTTAATTAATACCCAAGAAAACAGTGAGTGTTCGAATAGTGAAGAGTATGCCTTTGTTGCTAAAATTATAAATCAAATTCAAAATGATAATATTGATAACATATGTAAAATAATAAGGGTAGCACTCAATCTTAACACCAAGACGTTAGTTAGTAAATCTGAACACTTATTGCAACAAATCCTATCTATGATGGACTTGTCTCCTGAGAAATTAAATGAGGAAAGTGCCTCTAATCAAGCTTTATTAACTTTCCAACTCTGCGACAATATTCTTGATTTAATTATAAGCCATGGTGAAACAATATGTTTACCTTTTTATGAACTACCTGTAGAAAACATATTATTTTGTAATAATGATAAACTAAAGGTAAATTTTTTAACTAATACTGTTCCAAAGTTTTTACAAGGAGTTTGGGGATTTAATATACTGGATGCTATCTGGACATGTTTAAAAAATTCTGCACAGCAATATAATGAGTTTGTACTGAATATATTGAGTTGTTTGTCTGATTATTATTTGCCAGCACCGGATGATAGAGGCATTCTTGCGTATGAATCACAAGTAGTGAGGCAAGTGGAATTCTGGAGCATAATTTTATTTGGATTAATGTCATTGAATCCTACAGTACGCAAGATTTCACTTTATCTCAATAAACGAGCTATAGATTGCTTAAAGGCTATGAAGAAAAATATTGTTGTACAGTTTGAAAATGATATTATTCTTCACTGGGATCCTGTAAAGGAATTTGATTGCAAAAATATGTGGGAAAACTACTTTACTCTTTTCGATAGTTTAGAAGAGAAACAAAGTAATATAGTACTGCCCTCACTACAGTTATTTCAGAGTTTGGGTAACATTGGAGCTGTTTGGTTAAACTGCTTATTTCATATTGGCCTGAAACATGACAACATTCAAGTCAGAGTCAAATGCATCCATTACAAACTAGACACACCTTTCAGTAATCAATCTGAAGTAGTAGTTTTGTTGGAAGCACTCAATGATATAAATATTTATGAGAATCCCACAGAATATGGAATGATTAAAGAGAAAATCGCTAACTTATATCATGATTTGAAATTTTTCATTTTATTTTATCAAAGTATCCCATTTGTGAATTGGTCTCCAGTGCCTTTGTATCATGTAAGCAATATTATTACTCTAATTTGTCCAACAAATATAATCAAAACGTCTCAAGAAATAGACTCGGCGCTTTGTAATCTCTCAGGTGAAGAAATAGTTCAGTTAATAAGGTATTTACTGAACATACCATGCAACATAGTCACTCTGAGGAAAGCCATTCATGTTAATATGGCTTATTTTCTTAAAATCTGCTGTTCTAAACTAAAGTGGAATCATTTATTGGGTGTGTTCTCATTGTTTCAAATTGATTTCTTTGAATACAAGTTTATTATTGAGTTTGTTAAGCAACACATTTTATCTAGAATTGACAATAAGACTTTCTTCCTGGAGTCCCTTATGAAAAGTGTTAGTGACATAGATTTTATGATATTCTATTTAGAATGTGAGAGTGATGATTTATTAATATTTGATGAGTTGTTGCATAAGAAATTAAAAAATATACAAGACGTAATAAACAGGCAATATTCTAATAAGAGGGAATTTCTGGATGATGTTATTTTTATTATACACCTATATAATAGAACTCTTAACAAGGAATTATTCAGAGCGAGAATTGAAAGGGATCAAAAATTTATTTTATCTTATATTTTTACACTATTATCATGTGAAACAACATTAACAATTGAAGAAATAACACCATTTCTGAATGAATATCTAAGTTCTGTTAAAACTGATTCCGACAATAAAGACATTTTTGTTCAATTATATATAATTTCTATTATGCTCATAAAGGATAGAAACACTGATTTGGCTAAGGCTGTTCTTTGTATGCATATCATAAATAAATTACATAAAAATTTTTCATTAAAATCTGAGAGTAGACAATTGATGATAAGTTTGTATGACATATTGAATTTAATAATGAGTTTTGAAAATACACAGAACATTGGGAGGTTAACAAATGTCTTCTATGAGAATTCCTGTGAATTATTATATTATATGATTAAAAGTAATGATGAAGATATAGTAAAACATACAAAAGACATCATAGTTTATATAGAAAAGGTAATAGAATGTGGTGGTTATGGATGTCTCATATGGTTATTAAGAATAATAAATTTAATTCTCCCCACAATAATGGGAAAAGAGGAAAATTTTAACGTAATGGTGTTTTTGAATAGAATGTGGAAAGAAATAGAAGAATTAAAGTCCAACAATCAATATTCGCCATGCATTGAAGAGTTTATTAATTTATTAATGCAAGATTCATTATTAAATCAACCAATGTATAATAATATAATAATACTATACTGTAATAAAATAATAGAATATGGCCCTACAAAGAATTTTCCTTTGTTTTGTCTTATAAAAAAATTAAATACTAAAGAAATTATATATAAATACGGGCATCTCATATATGTTTTAACTGAGATATTGCTATATACACCTGTACCAAGAAAAGACCAAAGGTGAAATAAATACTAGTGTGATATGATATAACAGTTGTAAAGAATTTAAATGAAGAACTAACATGCTATTTATTTTGCAGGATCGTGGAGAACTTGGTTGTTGAAATATTGCAAGATCCAACATATGAAATTTACCAGTCGCAGTAAGTTTCTAAAATTAATCTTACCTATCACTAAAATTGGAATGTTCTCGCTCGGCGGCGAAGAGAAGTAGATGGAGACATATTGCGAGGATCTCAATCGCGAAGGAGAGCCTCATCGACGATCCACTGTCATTGTGAAAACCACGACCACTCTGTCAAGAGTGTACGACTTTAGAGGGAGATCACTAACCAGTGACATGGACTTTCGCAAAATAACACCTAAACCACAATACATTACATACATATTACAATACAAAAATATTGCATAATTATGATTTATTATATATTTAATTTTTTTTTATACAACTTTTATATAACCCACCTGATGGAAAGTGATAACCGTCGCCTATAGACATAAAAATAGTAATATGTCTCTCAATAGTTATATGTCTACTCTGTAACGCCATCTACCGCTCTCATTGGTTTCACAGATAATCAGCGTTTAGGTGTTACGTATGAATGCCCAAACACTTGGCTGAATGGTGACCATTTTGGTCTCATAATTCCTAATATAAGTTTTTTTTTTTTGTATTTTCTTTTTCTTTAAGTTTATAATTGTTTATGTTTTTGTTGTAACCCTTATTGGTATGGTATATAGAGTCTTTCTTTGCGCTTATCTATAGCGCTTTGTAAGCTATTTAGTCTCGTGTTGTAGTCATACTGTCTACATGATATCCATACAACCAGTTGTGGTCAACATATCACCCGTTATGTGTACACTGTTGAACATAGGCCTCCCCCATAGACCGCCATAAGGAACGGTTCTGTGCCACGATATGCTGTTGTATATTGTGGTTTTATATTTATTATATCAATTAATTATTTAATATTATTGGGAAGTTGAGTCTCTGGAGCTGGTGTACAGGCTTGAGATGAACCGTGAAGTTCATGAAACAGTAGACATATGCAAGGATACAGGTCTTTGGTACCTCAGTTCTCTCTGCCTACCCTGCAACAAATTTGGCATGATGATAAATAGAAGAAATTAATTTTTATTCCCAAACAGTTTTTTTTATACAACTTAGAGTGGCAAACAAGCTGACGGCCCACCTGATGGAAAGTGGTAACCGTCGCCTATAGACATGAGCAGTACCATGGACATAACAGAGTATACTGTTTCGTCCATGATATCTCCCATGCGTTGCCATTCCTGAGGACATATTATAGTATATTAATAGTACAAATTAAATTGTTTCTTTTTCCAGCGACGTAATTACTAATTTGCAAATTCAATGTTCAGCTGTTATGACCTTAAGCAAAATAGATTATTTAGAAATTCTATCAACTATTACTTCGTTAATTATAAAGAAAATAGATGAAATATTTAAGAACACACAAAGATATCATGCTGGCTCAAAACCACATAGAGCCGTATTTATGGCTCTGCAACATTTTCTGGCTGTGTTTTTGAAAACTGGAGGCGAAGATACCAGAGTAATTAAGAATTGGTGCTTAGACTTCCTGAGCAAATTACCACATCAACCAAACGTCAGGATATGCTTGGAGTGGTATATTGCATTGTGTTGCTATGTTCAGGTTAGAATTTTATATTCTACTAGATGTCCCTGTGAACTTTGTATCATTTACAACGCCATCTATTAAAAATAATCCAAAGTAGCAATGTCCATACAAAATTATCAATTTTAATTATTTTTATACTTAGCTAAACTTTAGGGGTTTTCAGACTTTTTTTTTTATTTTAAACTACTCCTGTATTGTAACGAACACAACAAAAAAGAATAATTCAAATCGGTCAAACTGTTTTCTAGTTTTAGCGAAACTAAATAAAAGAGCTTTGATTATAATTTTTCAACCTACTTTACAAAGGAAATTCTTAATTTAGTTTTTTTTTTAATATATTTGTTACCTTATAACTCTGTCTGTCTGTGTGTAAATCGGTTTAGAAAATTCTTTTATTAACTGAAACCATATACTTTCAGATGGGTCTTGTAGGAGTCTTATCAAAATCGGTTCAGTAATTTAAGTTTAAAATCAAAATAACTGGTTTTGCCACAATTGAAGTAGTTTTCTTTTTATGTTCCACTAAAAACCTCTTTTTAATATAATTAATTCTTTTTAAAATTGGGCTCAGGAATTTTTCAAATCTAGATAGATAGATAGATATATAATTTATTTGCATTACTTACTTACAGCACACAAATTACAACATAGATATACAAAAAAGCGAGATAACATAAATGATTAAAAAAAAATACATAATGACTAATTTAATTGTACACATTCCTTTCAGAAAACTAAAGTGAACAAAGAATTTCTACAGGAACTTATAGACAAAAATGTTCCATTGACATCTCAGCTAGTTATACTGTACTGGGTGTTCAAGAGGAAATTTTTAAATGGCACATCCACCAAGCCCGAATATAATTTTGTTATGGACACCTTACTATCTAATACAATGGGTCAAATGTTTAACATACGTCTACACGCGCAATATATGTCTACAAAACTTCATACAATGAATGAATCCAATTCAAAGAAATATGCTTACACCATAGATATTATAAATAGAACATTAGATGAGAATAGTAATGATAAAAATTTGATTAAAATGAAAAACGATTATTTTATTAATCAATTTGATATTATGGCTGATTTAACGTTTCCCTTTATATATAATTATTTGCCGAAATACACGGATATTAAACAAGAAATTGTTAATATAAACTACATTAATGACATCATGAAGTCTTTGAATGAAATTGATGTAATGACCGATAGTACTTTTCATAAGGAGTGGAAATCATGCCACAGACCAGATGAACAAGATGCTCATCTCCTTTGTAGCAAGTATAGTTTCAATAATACTTCCGAGGCTGAACCTGCTGAACCTGAATTGACGGGAACAATACAGAAGAAATATATACCCTGGAAGAACATGAGTGATGTCAATGTATATGAAATCAAGAAGAAGGTATTAAATTTTTTTTAAATATTTTAGTAGTGATATCATGAAACCATGGACAGATTCTTGAATGCCATGTTCGAATGTGTATATTTAGCGCTTTGAATGCTAAATTAACCTAAGTTTATAATATCCATATATACTCCTTACATCCATAAAATACTGGTTCATATCCGGCTCGAAGGACCAAATCAATGCCAGTTTTATTACCGTATACATGAAAGAAATATATCGTTAATTAATGTCTAACCATAAATATCTTATTATTTAAATTAATTTCGTTAAGATTTCTCCTCCACTGTTACTGTAACAATTTCTTGATCATTGGAAGTTGTATTAAAAAAACAGAACTTTGACAACTTAGGAGTTTCAAGTTTAATGTAGATTCCAAGTACTATGAACATCACAGAATATACTATGATGCCCGTGGCGCTTCTCATACCTTAGGTTATGCGTCCGTTCTGTACCTTCTTATGGTCAATTTATGAATTTATCAATCAATCCTCCACAGAGAGAGAGCCCCAGCGACCTTATTGTCATTGCTTCTCTGATCGACAAACTGCCTAACCTGGGCGGTATGGCGCGGACCAGCGAAGTGTTTGGCGTGAAGACCTATGTCGTAGATAGTCTGCGCCACTTACAAGACAAGCAGTTCCAAAATCTGAGGTGTGTACCATATTTTTTTTTATACCACTGAGGTGACAAACAAGCATACAGTCCATCTGATGGTAAACGGTTACCGTAGCCTATGAACGCCTGCAATACCAGATGTATTACGCGCGCGTTGCCATTTTTGAGGACCCAGGTGTTATTCCTGTGTACCCTGTAAATTAAAGCCATATCTTACCCTTCAAACCGAAACACAGCCATGCAAACACAACTGCTTCACGATAGAAACACGAATGGTAGTTAAATTTATAATCAATTATGGGTTATTAATGACTTGTAGATATCATTATTTGAGCGTTCCCTATGCAAAATGATTTATATCAAGAGGTAACTTACCTTAACTATGTAATTCATAGACAGATCAAAAGAGGGGGGGGGGGGGGGGATTGCAAGTAACAGGAGCGATTAATTCGTCACGATGGGCCATTTCACCTGACTTCATCCTCACATTTTTTTCGTATTATTATTATATTAGAAGACGAACATAAGCATTCTTCATAATAGTAATTTTACCAGTAGTTATGTCACAAGTAGTGCCACGCTTGGCAGGCGGGTTGGCAACCACAGTTAGGTTTACAGATGTTTTAAGAGGGACGCTGCTGCCCATCCCTCCACCATAAGCATTCTTGGTCGCCTCTTACGACACCCACTTGAAAGGAAGGGGTGGCCCATTCTATGCCGGGACCGACACGGCGAGTCATCCTCACATCATACCTTATTGACCAGCGTAAATCAATAATGGAAACGGAGTTAGCATTTTTCACCTACAAAAAAATCATAGACCACAGATGTACACCGAAACTACCATAGGGGATACCAGAGGGAGACTTTGTACAAAAGTCGATTGCTTGGGTACCTCTGTCCCATTTGTGTTTCAACCGTGAAGCAGTTTTGTTTGCATAGCTGTGTTTCGGTTTGAAGGGTGGGATATGGCGTGAATTTACAGGGTACAGAGGAATAACACCCGAGTCCTCAGGAATGGCAACACATGGGGGGTATCATGGGCGAAACAGTACACTCTATTATGTCCATGGCACTGCTCATGTCTATAGACAACGGTTACCAATTTCCATCAGGTAGGCCGTCAGCTTGTTTGTCATTCTAAGTTGTATAAAAAAAAACTCTAAATACGTTGAAACCTTCAACTTGCAGCGTATCTGCCGAGAGATGGATCGACGTGGAAGAAGTGAGACCAGGCATTGCTCTCAAACAATATCTGATGAGGAAGAGATCTGAAGGGTATGCTGTGGTCGCAGCTGAGCAAACGTCCAACAGCTTCCAATTGCAAACTTTCAAATTTCCTAAGAAGACATTGTTGCTACTGGGGTAAGTTGTTTCAATCTATTATCTGTAATAATAATGCTAAATTTATTTTTCTCAAACATGCTTGAAAATGTGAGCATTATTTTGACAATCTTCTTAGAGATAAATCAAAATAGTCATACTGGCCAGATACATGCGGGCAGCGGCCGGCAAAAGTTGTATGAAAATGCATATCTGTCGTGTTTTGCGGCCAGATAAATTACTATATAAACTCATATCTGTCCTGTAATTTAAAAATGGAATGACCTTTTACTTAGAAACATGGCTACCATGGAGGCATATCCTCATTTACAAAAGCCATTTGCATAATTATCTCTATCCTATTTCCTCTGTACTATTTTCTCTCGAATGGATACTAGTTTTTTTGCCATTTCTTTTAATTTATTTTAATTTTATTACAATACCGATACAATATTTTCCATCAAGTTAGCTGACCAATCAGCTTGTTTGCCAGTATGTGTTGCATAAAAATAATGTAAGAGAACTGTCACATCATTGCTATCATGAATTTTTTGGTTTCCAACAAAACAAAGTAGAAATTTGTAAAAGGATCCTGTAGTGATACATATCAGTTAGTAAATAGATAGATAGATACTCTTTATTGTTTTCTCCATAAGATTACAATAGTAAACTTATTATAGATACAAAATTTTTTTTTGATGGGTGAAAATGGTATGGTAACCCCGCCTGCGCTAACGGTATACGCTGGCGGAGCACCAGTGAAGGGTGATAGATGAGAATGAAAACAGGCCAGTTACCCTATCATGACGAATTCATCAGGAATTAACCATGATAGTTTCCAGGGGGAACCGCGAGGAGGTCGATCTGGTTGGGTATATTGCTAGCAATGGGATTCTCAGTCTCCATTATTAACAATCCCTTTCCCCCCTCGATACAAACAATTAGAAGACAACAATGAGCGACCTTATCGTTAGAAGCGATCTCTTCCAAGCACTTAGTAGGCCTTGATTTAACTATTTTACCTCTCATGATATTTGCTAGGAAGAGAGATATATTTTCCATTCCATTTACATGCCTTGCCATGCCGATTGCCTGCAAGAAATATAGTCGTGAGCATATATTTTTATTGTTATAGGCACGAAAAAGAAGGCATACCCTGCGATCTCCTCCCTTTAATGGACTACTGCGTGGAAATACCGCAGCAAGGCGTGATCAGATCTCTAAACGTGCATGTTACCGCCGCCATCTTCGTGTGGGAGTACGCCAGGCAGAATATACTGTGATTTTAATGTTTTATTTTTGATAATTGATGAAAGTAAAGACAATTTTAATTATAACGCATTTTATTACAAGATAAGGCGAGCGTAATATAGTAAGAACTATTAACCTCGCAATTCAATCGCACTCGACAGGGAGTTCATCCTCATGTCCTACAGCCTCAATGGTCGCGTACTGCGCGATTTCAGAGATGTTTCCTCCCACGAACACTCCCAAGAGACTACAGCATGGGGTTCTTCAAAAGGGGGTTAAAGAGGTTTCTTCGGGGTCGGCAACGCACGCGTAATACCTCTGGTATTGCAGGTGTTCATAGGCTACGGAAACCACTTACCATAAGGTGGGCCGTATGCTTGTTTGCCACCTCAGTGGTATAAAAAAATTAAAGTTGCCATGGGCTGAGTGACATATTCAGCCTCCCTAAATAAGTGATAAATCCACCATGAAATGAAATTCCAAAATTTCGGACTCAATTTCGTGTTTTTGGCTATACCAAAATCGGACCAATGAATGGGGAACGAAGGCTTATGTCCATAAGACTGAAATATTATAAAAACATGGTATAGAAAGTATTCGAATATGAATAGTAAGCTATGCGCGCGCGTCGCTAAGCGCTATGATTACTAACTTCAGCTTGTAAGCTGAAGTTAGCAATGTAGTGAAGTTGATAAAGCAATAATTTTTAAATAATAAATAAAGAATGAGACCCTTCACTCATGGCCGCCTGCGCTATCGCTATACGCTGACAGAACACCAGTAAGCATTAAGGGATAATAGGTGATGATAAAACAGGTCAGATGACCCATCATGACGAATTCACCAGGAATTAATCATGAAGGTTTCTGGAGGACCGCATGGTGGTCAATTTGATAGGATATATTGCTTTCTTAAGACGATGTAGTGACAAAAATCGAAAAAGGAATGTTGCGTTGGTTTGGTCATTGGGAGAGGATGGATGAAAGAAGAATTACGAGAGATTTATCGAGCAAGAATGAATGGAGATGTCGGTAGGGGCCGCCCTAGACGGACGTATGTCGACCAAATAGGCGACGTGCTGAAGAAGGGCCAAATTAAAAGTACCCGTAACCGGCGAGCGTGTATGACAAGATTGATGAATGTGGAAGAAGCGAAAGAGGTTTGTTTGAATCAAAGCATTTGGCGTTCCATTGTTTCTGCCTACCCTAATGGGAGGCAGGCGTGACAGATATGTATGTATGTATATTGCTTTCTTAATTGCGCTTTAGGTATACGCTGGCGGAGCACATGTGAGGGATGATAGGTGACGATGAAAGCAGGTCTGTTAGCCCATCGTGACAAATTCCACTGGAATAACCACGATTGTTCGCATGGGAATCCGCGTGGAGGTCGACCTGATAGGATGTATTGCTAGTAATGGGAAAATTAGACCCCATTACTAATCTCTTCACGCCCAGCATATTGCCAGCAATGGGGCCATGCGATGCCGTTATAATTCCTTCTCCACCAGTAGGATAGTATAATTTATCTGCGCGAAAGGATCTAAGGTAAAGATAGCATAAGAAGACAACAACAAAGACAACAGTTTTAAACATTTAATTGTGGTTTACAGAACAATTTAATCACTTTCGGCAACAGAGTTATCTTAACAGGTTTAACTTCAAACTCCTCCTTGTCTATTTCTAGCATAACTTCATTCGCTGTATCCTTGGGAATCAATTCCACTGTCCGTACAGGAATGGTGTGTGCTTCACATCTTTTCTTTTTCAAACGGTTCCAACCTTCTGCCACAAACTCTGTGTAGGAATATGTATTCTTACCTACCAGTATATTGATAGCGGGTATTTGATTTTCTTTGTTTTCAGTCTGTATTTTTAAGTCGCACGTTTTGTAACACAATTCCTGTGTAGTGGTACATTCAGGGTTTAATTGTTTTGTTTGATCTGATTGCGGTGCTGCTTGCGTACTGGGAAAGAAAAGGGACCACTTCCTCTTGATTTCTGGCTTCTTCTGTATGCAATTGCTGCAGCCGATACAGGGTGGTGTGTACCGGATTGTGCCACTGCAATGCCATGTCAGAGATTCCTTGTAACCGTTGAACAAAAATGAAGCATACTCTCTTAACGGACCACAGAACCAGTATTTGTCTCTTTTTGCTAATGTATCTCTAAATGCTCCACATTCTATTGAGGACATGGCATATATTGGGCGGTTTGGTACTTCATCTTCTTTCGGAATGGGTTCTATTTTCATAGCATCTTTCCATGTTGTGTTTCCTTCGATAATAGCCATGGATGCGTCAATAAGTTGTTTAACTTTTTCGACACCTTGACCTCCTGGAAATAGGCTGTTGCCAAATGTATTGGTGCGGCCAAGAGGTAATATACCGAGTGGAAACTGGTTCGCACCATCATTCCGTCGAAGAAGACCTGTAAAATATTATTATTAAACAAAACTGATGTAATCGATTACTTGCAGAAGAATTAATACCAGAGGGAGACTTTGTACAAAAATCGATTACTTGGGTACCTCTGTCCCATTCGTGTTTCAACCATTAAGTAGTTGTGTTTGCATGGCTGTATTTCGGTTTGAAGGGTGGGATATGGCGTGAATTTACTGGGTACAGAGGAATAACACCTGAGTCCTCAGGAATGGCAACGCATGGGGGTATCATGGGCGAAACAGTATACTCTGTTATGTCCATGGTACTGCTCATGTCAATAGGCGACGGTTACCACTTTTCATCAGGTGGACTGTCAGCTTGTTTGCCATTTTAAGTTGTATAAAAAAAAAAGTATGTTTAGAAAAATAAGAATATGGAATGCTCATTCAGCAATGTTCCAATTGCTAATAGGTGAAGTCATTGACTTGGAGTAAAGAATATCAGTGATAGAACCCTAATGTCTGTGATAGTATTAGTGACCCACTATGGCAGTGTGAGAACAGATCTTTCATTAAAAAAAATATATAATACAGCCTGTTATGTATTTATTAGAGATGTCTAATGACAGTTGATATTTGTTTTTTTTTTTATACAACTTAGAATGGCAAACAAGCTGACGGCGCACTTGATGAAAAGTGGTAACCATCACCTATAGACATGAGCAGTACCATGGACATAACAGGGTATACTGTTTCACCCATGAAACCCCCCCTTGCGTTGCCATTCCTGAGGACTCGGGTGTTATTCCTCTGTACCCTGTAAATTCATGCCATATCCCACCCTTCAAACCGAAACACAGTCATGCAAACACAACTGCTTCATGGTAGAAACACGAATGGGACAAAGGTACACAAGCAATCGACTTTTGTACAAAGTCAAAGTTACTGAGAGTAGAAGATAAATAAATCAGTTTGCTTATAATCTCAACTTGGATGTATTCTTTATAGTCCATGTTACTTGCTGATAATATAGATTATAATATAAAAATTCTTAAAACATTTTTTGAGACCATAAATAACTTAAAGTTTGAGTTCCACAAAAACCTACTTCAATTATGTCAAAATCAGTTACTTTCATTTAAAAACTAAACTACTGAACTGATTTTGATTAAATTTCTATGGGACCAATCTGTGAGAATATACCCTTTCAGATAAAAAAAGAAATTTCCAAATTGGTTTACAACTGATGAAGTTATGAGGTAACAAACATAAAAAAATACCTCCTTTTTGAAAAAAAAAAAAACAAATATTTTTCTTTGTAATATTAATTTAGAATATAATTAAGGAACAAAATACATTGTATAAGTTGTATACCTGTAACTGTTTCGGATAGTGTCCCATCGCCTCCAGCCACAATGATCGCCTCTGTACCATGCAGTGTCTCCACTATTTCCTTAGCATTTCCCTCAGATGCTGTCTGTATAACATTCACTTGTAATCCAGCCAAATGAAGTAGTGGTTCACAGTACTTTTCAAACTCCTGTTTTGCCTTCCTCTTGTTTGCGACAGGATTAAGTATCACGGTGATGGTTGTTGGGTTCCTGTCCATTGGAATCAATGCGTCGCCATACACTGCGGCTTCTTTACACGCCGCTCTCATTAAAACATTGATCCTGTAAGGAAAATAGATAATTTTAATATAATACAAGAATAATTGTGTTTAATTTATTTAATAATTATTTAATTACAATTGAAACAATAATGTTAATAGAAGTTAAATTTTTTGACTGAAAATATTGTAATTTGTGGGAAATATGGAATACAAACTAATTTACGGCCTATATCTTGAAAATCAGGATCTGTACTGGATGGAGAGTACAATTAAAAGTATACGTAAAGTGATATGAAATTTTGGTAAAAATTAAAATAGTACTTACTGATATTTTTCCTTAACTTTTGTGCCACCATAATATAATGCGATCACACCAAACACTGACTTCTTCCAATTATTACGTATTGTTTTAGAAAATTTAGCAATTTTGTCCATTTTATGAAATTTAATTATATTGTAAATAAATATTTTTAGGTTACATCAGCTGTTCAAAATGTACTATGCTTGATCTATGGTTCGAATACAGTATAATAATAAAAGAGCTATGCATGAGGGACTAAAAGGCACGCCAAAACTCAAACTCTATATACACATTCACACTAATACAAATACAGAGACGAACTTAGGGTACATGATTACATTAATTAGCAATTTTTTTTAAAAGCTATCATAATTTTAGCTTGATGAAATGTGACGATATCGCACATAAAAAGTGATCTGCTTACAAACTAAAACATTAATCGTGTAGTAAGTTATTAAGCTATCACTGAAAATTTGGATATTGATAGCAAAAAGGCATATAAAAAATTTTCTTAGTAAAATATTTAGGTACATACTTTTTAATGATAGATTTATAAGTATCATATTCTATGATTAATGATTTTAGTTCATAGGCAGAATATTTTTTAAATATAACTGATAATTAAACATTTGAGATGGAAACATTCGAGAATCCTCCTCCTCCTTTTTTGAAACGGCTTCCACGGTAGGGTGATGATTTTCCGCCATTTAGTGATGGACGATATACATCGATGTATTTTAAACACTCGATGTATAGAAACGATGCATCATATTGAACCCATGTATTCGTAATACTTCAGCACTGAATATATATCGATGTTTTTCAATCGATGAATTTGAATACGCAAATTATTAAAATTGCTCTTTAAAATAACTTCAGCTGTTATAAAAGATCCCGTAGCGAAAGAGGTGCAGAAATTTGCTATTAATTAAATAAATAAAAGAATGGGTCCAGTAGAACATATGACTACTTTTGCTATCGCAAGTATTTTAGATCCACCGTTTAAAAAGATGCACTTCAATGACGTGATAGCTTAATTTTAGCTTTCGATACAGCATCGAATGCTGTATTGAATATTAAAGATTTAATGAAAATGAATTTGCAAAACAATGAATAACCTGAATCCGATTCTGATAAGTCCGATAAAAATGAAGAGATCTTTTCATTATAGAGTGATCACCATAAATTAGTGCATAATAACTGGAAAAGTAACAAATCTGAATATGTTTTGTCTGACGAACTTTCAGTTTTTCTCAAAACTCCTGTTGGAAGACTTTACGAAAATCTGTTAGAAATCTAGAGGAATTATAAAATACAATTCCTGAAGTTCTACAGAATAGCTTTTAAGTATTTAACAAAGGTTGGCACTATTTACTATTAAATAATATTAATACTATAACAACTATTATTCATATCGTGTAAGAGGTGCTTAATATGTGTCTCCATAACACTTTATCCATAGATAAAAAAGAAAACTCAATTTATTTGTGTAATTTGTCAAATTTACTTGCAGACGGTTTCTTGGTTTTATGGATTTCTAAATGTTTTGTACACTTTTATCTTGCGATAATTCGACATGAGCTCGAATAAGAATGAAGATCTCAAGCTTCCCGACGGGTGGGTTCAGTGCCCATCTAAATCAAATCCAGGCAGGAAGTATTTTTTCAACAAGAAAACAGGAAAATCTTCATGGACGAAACCGCAGGTAAATTTCGTAATTAATATTATGACAATATTAATATTATATTTTAACAACTATACTTTTTTTCATAATACAAAATAATACAAACATTATCTATTACTCTCTAATTGTTGCATTAACTGTGAGTAATCAATATTTTGTACAATTTTTTTTCAAGGCTGACGAAAGATATGCTGGTGGCAATAGTAAACAGAGAACTAAAAAGGAGAAAAAGAAACAAGAAAAGAGTAAAAAAGAAGACTTTCCAAAGAAGTCATTGAAGCGGAAAAGCGACAACAATGAAGAGGGTTCAGGGAAGAAGAAACCCAGAGAAGGTAATAATCAATTTACTGTTTACATTTGTTAGAAACTTTACGCGTATTATCTTATAGTTTGTATTTGTTTATCTTTATGTGTTATATATTTTAATAATTGTAGATGTCCAAATAATATTGTTTTATACATTTATAAAACAATATTATGTGTTAAATAATAATTGTAATATTTATATTCACAGATACACAAATCTATGATAACTCAAAAAGAGAGATGCGTACTCCCGTTAAAAGGCCAGAGAAGCAGAGTCCATCGAAAAGTTTGAGCTCTAGCAAAAAAGGGAGTCCAACAAAGCCTCTTAGCAAAAACATTGCTAACTCACGTCTCTCACAGTTACGTGCACAATTAAATATTGAAGCAGAAAAAGAGGAATCGTCCAATTTGGACAATTCCCCACAAAGAGTTAACCTGAAAAGGGTTAGCCCTAATTCTACACAAACAGAAATGCAAATTAAAATGGCCAAAATTGAGACTCAGAATCTTTTATTAAATGATTCAAAGTGCACCACAACCACACCATCACCGAGCAGTGACGGTGTTCAATCTGCATCATCACCATCACAATTTTTTGCAGCAAACAAAATCATATCATCAATGAAAGCTCAGTTACCTGACCAGTATTGTGAGAAATCAACACAGAAAAACACATTTGCCGATATTGAAGAAGGCATTTGTAATCAAACTCCCGAATATCCGTTTTTAAAGCATCCAGCTACACCGCCCCAGTTCTCTGAAGCCAGTAAACTGATGTCTGCCATCAAATCAAAGCTGTCATATAAGATGCCAGCTAAAGACACTAGTGTAACAAATTTTAGTTCAGCCCAGGACAGAATGAACAATCTGAGAAATAGATTGAGCAGTGAGATAGGAATTGACAATGATATTAGTATAAGAGATAGGGTGAATAATGAAAATGTATATTCTGGCGAGGCAATGGATGTTGATTATGTACATAAAGAGGTATGTTTTTTTTTAATTGATAAAGAAAAAATTGCAACACTTTCTGCTCTATTAGTTTACACTGTGAATATCAGTAAGGAATGATAAGGTTACATTTGTTTGGATATTGTGATAAATTAATCATCAATCATATTGCTACTGGACAGATGATGGTATTTGCTACTAGCATTCCCGCTGTAGCTAGTCTACATTATAAATCATCCCTTCTTTTATTTTTAAATTTTTTTTTTCATTACCCAATGTTTGAGCCAAGAAAGTTGTAGTTACTCTTTTGTAATCAATTAATTAGTATGTTTTCTTATACAAGTCTAATATGTTGGACCAATTTCAAATCTTAGAAAATGCTCTTGAACCAAAGCATAGCAAAGTATATTGTTTATAATATAGGGACATATAAATCTTATATATTTATATTTTCATTATTTTATGCAACTTAAAATGGCAAACAATGGTCCACCTGATGGAAAGTGGTAACATAAACATGAATGCTACCAATTGCTAGTGATTCTACCCAGTTGTGTCTGGATAGAGAGATAGAGAGATAAATTGGTATTTTATATTAGCTTTAATAATGAAATTTTTGATATCTTGAGTTTATAATTTTTTTTTTAATAATATATAGTCTATATCACTTACTGATAATGTAGCTTTCTATAAGTGAAAGAAATATTTAAATTGGTTAAGTGATTTTTGTCTTTATCTATTACATACAAACATACAAGAAATCAAATCTTTCCCCTTTATAATATAAGTATTTACTCTACTTTTTGACCTATGTAATTATTATTATTATTTTCAAATAATAATTGTATGGTTATTACCTTTATACATTCGACAGTTTTCTTTCAGCTTCTCAAAGGTTGACTGTAAGAGATCCCTTTATCGGATAAGTCCGCCATTGTATATTAAATCATTTTTCAGTGTTCAATGTGAATTATGTTTTTTTTTATACAACTTAGAATGTCAAACAAGCTGACGGCCCACCTGATGGAAAGTGGTAACCGTCGCCTATAGACATGAGCAGTACCATGGACATAACAGAGTATACTGTTTTGCCCATGATACCTCCCATGCGTTGCCATTCCTGAGGACTCAAATGTTATTCCTCTGTACCCTGTAAATTCACGTGAATTATGTACAATAAAGATTTTACAGTACAATACTATTTTATAATATATCTTTTTCAGGTAACCTCAAATGCACCGCCAGTCCAGTGTACAAAAAACAGTGGAACCAACAATAATGAGAATGTTGTTTTAGTGGTGGATACAAATGTATTCATTCACGAATTAGATTTCATTAAAAATGTTCTTAATTCACATATAAAAGGTAAATTCTTTGATCTATTATTAAAAGTACATATACTATTAAAAGCTGTGCGGTCCCGGCATAGAATAGGCCATCCCTTCCTTTCCCGTGGGTGTTGTAAGAGTCGACTAAGGGAGGGCGAGGGATGGGCAGCAGTGCCCCCCGTTTGATCCACCGACCCATCGACCCTTAATGGGGGTCGAAGTGTGGCTGCCCGAGCCTAGGTTCGAGCCACTAAGGGGCGCACGTCGCAGTCCATTAGAAAGAGCTGACGCCTCTGTCGCTCCCCTCTCGCGGGCTTGAAGTGCCATCTGCACTCGCCCCTGCTTACACTCGTTTGATTTGTTGTAAAGGCCATCGGCGGCCTACAACATCAAACGGTTACCAAAAAAAGGGGTAGCAGTGCCCCTCTTAAAACATCTCCTAAAGCCTTATTGTGATTGCCAATGCGCCTGCCAAGTGTGGCAACTACTAGCAAAACTCCCTTTATTGGGAAGGCTTAGGTTTAGCAGTGGATAGGTAACACCTGAAATAATTATAATAAAAATAATAATATGACATCCACTGAAATCATTCCAATCGTTTTATCGGTGAACGGTCTTATCCCAACTGGTCTGGAACAACATCTCAGACGGTTGGGATTCCGAGGCGGCTCACTCCCGGGAAAGATGCAGAAAGCGGTGCTCTTAGATTCTGTCCGCATTGTACGCCGGTTTCTCTCCCTGGGGCCCTGAACCCTGGTCGACTGTTAGAGATGGGCAATCCACCTGGGTGGGTTTAAAGTCTGGTGGGTAAAAACCGGGTGTTTTGGGTTTATTGGGTTTAAACCCCATAAACACCCAAATTTTTGGGTGTTTATGATTTTGTACTTCATCATCGTCATCTCAGCCGCAAGACGTCCACTATACTGGACATAGACAATATTATTATGCAGCCTACAGAATAAAAAACTTTTAATTTGATTTTGAGTTTATTAAGAAAGAGATGAAAGTAAAATGTAAAACTACAGTCAATCACTGTCAGATTCAGAGTTATTACAAGCGATGAATTGTATAGGTTCGATAGGCTCTATTTCGTCTAAACTGTTATGTTCATTTACTTGCTCAATGAAAGCTTCTAAGGTATTTTCTTCATTAAACTGAATGTCCTCGCATTCAGCTTTATGTTTAAGATTCCAGTTATAACAAATGAATGAAATTTTTTCAGTTCTTTCAGTTGTAAGTCGATTTCTTTTGTTATTATGTATGTAGCCTTGGATACTAAAGGAACGCTCAGTGGCTGCCGAAGTACAGGGAGCTGATAGAATACGAATCGCTACTTTGCTTAACTCAGTGGAACCACAAATACCTTTCCACCATATTAGGGGCTCAATGCTATCTAATGAGCTCCATACAAATCCTCTGGCCCAAAAGTTTTCTTTAGCTTTATAACACGCCAAATCTGCCATTACATTTGACAAACTTAAGTGTTGGCTTAAATTGTAGATAAACTCCATACCCTTAAGTTCTTCCTCTTGAGTAAGTTCGACTCCTAGAGTCCTGGGGTCTAGAATATATGCTGCAAAATGTATTGGCCTCATTGCCATATTGCATCTTGAAGATACTGATGTTAGAATCTGCTGTTTGCTTTCTTCGTTCAATGTCGAAATCTCATTTAATGCAAAACGTATCTTAGCTTGTACATCTCTAAATGTAATGTATGTGCGATGCAAACGATTCTGGTCGCTCTCTAAGTAAAATATGCTTTCAGTGACTGGTTCCAAAATACTTATACATTCCCCTGTCTTCGTCCAGAAATCATCACTTAGAATTAAATCTTTAATATCTCTTGAAATTACCACATCTTCTCTAACTGTTAATATTTGCAAAGCTATCTTATTTGCTTTCAAACTTTTTAACGAAGTAACATGACTTCCCCATCTTGTAGCACAAGGCAATTTTAGTGTTTGTGTAGAATCTTCACCCTGCCTTGATTTTATCAACAAGGAACTTAATCGTTGACTCCTTTTAACAGTTTTTATTATATTTATGGCTTGCATAATAAACACAGTTACTTCTTGTATCTTTACAATATCTTGGCACAACAAGTTAAGGATATGTGCACAGCAACCGAGAGGAACAACATGTGGATATTTGAGTTTTGTTAATTCGAATGCCTTTTGTATATTTCTAGCGTTATCGCCAATAAGTACAAGAAACTTATTTGCTCCATACACTTTCATTACTTTTTCAACTTCTTGGCTAAGGTATTCACTAGTGTGAGGATTACTTTCTGTATTCAAACTTTTAACGTATGCAGGTTGAGGTTTTGATATAAGAAAGTTTATTATTCCTTCATTTCTTAAATTAGACCAGCCATCGCACTGAAGGTGTAAGTAACTACAAGCATTTAGTTCCTCATTTAACTCAAAACGCATTTCTCTATATATTTTATCTAAGTATTTTGTCGCTAAAGCTTTACGTGAAGGTATTTTAAATTTTGGTTGCAATTTTTCGAAAAATTGTATCCATAAAGGATGTTGCACCATCGATAATGGCGTCCCTGTTACAAATATAGCTCTCGCTAATTCTGTTTTTATATGATCATCGGTGTCTTGAAACTCAGCATTTATTGTAGTGTTAGCAGACGACGAGGGGCTTATAAAAGAATCATTTGTCTCTATCTCTGACAGTCCAGACATTTTGGTTTTGGACGAGCTATCTTTTATAAGTTTCATAGAGTCTTTTAATGTTTCTGGAGATTTTGGACAAGTGATAAGATGTTGAAGCATTTTGGCAGCATTACTGAATTTGTAGACCTTATTACAAAGCTTGCAAGAAACAGACTTGTTTGGTAAAGTACGGTAGTGCTCCCATATGCGTAAATCTTTAGGTCTCCCCATTGAACCTAAAAAAATGAACGATGATTAGTTGGTCTGACGAAAATTCAACAATAGAGTGCCTATTTTTTTACAATGATTATTTCTTGTTATTTACAATAAATTTATTAAAAAAATAATAAAATAAATACAAAAAACCTTTGTAAAATTACATCTCCTCGGAGGATTAAACGCAGACGCTAGTTTATTATCGTATTGTTCTGTATTTTTCTCAGCAACTTCTTTAATTCGATTAGGTACTTACGCATATTATGTTAAAAATAAATATCTAGTACACATCTTAGGCTATCCACCATTATTATCCAATGACGACTCTCAGCTAACTATGCACTATCATCCAAAATAAACGTGTATGGAAAATTTTATCCCAGTCGGTTGAGGATTGAGGATAATTGCATCAACATACGAACATACCTACATACTTTTATTTACATAACGCAAGCTAAATAAAAGCTTGTAATAATACATCTAATTTTAAGTTAAAATTGTTAAGTGATCATGATATAATTGTATCATTCAAAAATCCACTTACCTTTAATTATTTCTTGTTAAGTATAAATATTATTTCAAATCTGCTCCCTTAATATGCACTTTTTTACTGCTTTTCCTACCTAACACGTTACCAGGAAGTCACGTTACCAGAGTCAGAGTAATAGTGAACACGTTTGACAGTGATTGTCGTCGCCTCATATTCAGCGTCGACGAATAGGGGAATCCCCAGTCATAATGTATTGCATGCGTGGCGGTCTTACTTCAAATCCATAAACAAAGAGATAATTACAGAACTCGATACTAGATGGCGCTGTTTTTGTTTGAAGAAAGTTTGCGGGCTAAAATACATAGAATTTCATCAATGACTTCCACAAAGAACAACATTTCTGTTTTTTCTAAGTCCGTATCTCTTCCGTATATTTCATAAGATATAAGCTTGGGCTACATTGTTATGCAACGTGATTTTGTCGCTGTCTTGCTAGCAGGGTTGACAGATATACGATTTAAATCGTACTCATACTATTATTTGTCTATTTTTTAATGTACGATCGTAAAGATTATGATCGTAATTCGCACAAAAACATACGACTTTTTGGTTACCTGGCAACATTTTTATTATGAAACGAACATGCTCACATCATCAGTCACATGCAACAATTTATTGGGGATTTCCCCTTCACATCTGGCAGTCCTGCTTGCTAGAATATAGGTAAGTCAGCCACAGTTACTGACGATCGATATTTAAAGGGTATTGTTTTTGTGCTAAATATTTCATAAAAACGTTATTTAATACTTTGTGGATTATTAATTTAGTTGATAATCACTGGAAGTAAAATGGATGCTAATTTGAGAGATCAAGATCTTCGTATAAAACAGTTAATAAAAGAAAATCTACGTAAGTACTCTTTTTATACCTAGGTAGGTAAGGTATAATAAACACAAAAGGTACTTAGATCGCGTGTGTTCGAAGCATTTATTCTAATAAATTTAATTTAAAATTGTAGAAAGAAAAAATGTCTGCCAAATGTAGCCGAAGCCGATCTCCAAATATATTTGGCGATAGTGAGACCCAGTGTCCAGATGATTTACCCAGCGTCGTCGCAACAAAGAAAAAAACGAGGATAAAGTAAAAGAAAATTTACTGAAAGAAGAAACAAACTGTTCTAAATGCTTAATTTATGGAGAAGAGGATAAAAGAAATGAGTATTTCGGACTGTTAGTGGCTCAAGAATTTAAATATATACGGCCATGTGTGCGAACGAGGTGTTATGAAGAAATTTTAAAGTATCTACGGGAAGCAAAAGGCCAACATGTTGATCAACTGCAACATGAAAACACTGAAAATTAATTACTTTCATTTTATTATATATAGATTTTTAAAATTTCCTGAAATATTATTAGTTAACGTTTTATTTAATATTGTAGAATTGATCAATACAATTTATAAAAATAATTTATTGGTATTACTTACATATTTTCAAAAAAATACGTAAAAACCTATTTTTTTGGGTGATTATGGGAGTTTATGGGTGTTTATTGGGTTTTTACCAAAGCACCGGGTTTAAACCCGGTGCTTTGCCCATCTGTATCGACTGTGCTTCTGCCGGGGGTTAGTTTGCCATCTTTTCTCCTTAAGAGGAGGGATGTGAATTTTTGTAGAATTTAAATAATAATTACTAAAATTAATGGATTATCCAAAATTATTATATCAATGTCTAGAAGCATGAAATTTTGTATTGAAATATAATCAACATAATCTTTATATTGAATTGAATATAGCAATAAACTGTTACTTTTACGTTTTGCATCATTTTTTTTTCGCCAGTTTGCATCGCGTTAATGACACTTTTTCGTGAAAAACACAAAGTCTTTCTTTTATTCGCCATGTTTACAATACGAAAATTTGAAAGCAATTAAAAATAACGTAAAGGTAATAGGAAGTACAATAGGTAAACATGTGCTAAACAATTACAATAAACAAATGAACACATTTCTAAGTGCATACGATTTCATGGTGCGTACGTAATATTTACGACTCTCGTTTTGTGTCGAATGTTGTGTTTGAAGGTCAGTGAAACTAATGTTTATTGAGGTCTGAATAACGATGTATTGTTTAGCTATTGAGAGTGGTTGCAATGCTGTAAAGATTGTTTTAATACAATGGTAACAATGTAAACCAAATAAACCTTAGCAATTTTATACATTTTAAGGAGTTATTCGTTAAGTCGAATTGCGTCAGAGGTGTTCTTCTCCAGAAATCTGTCCGATTCTAGAATACTAATACGGCTATGCGACCCCGGCCTCCCGAGCCGCTGCAGTGTCCCGGTGTGTACATTTAGAAGCTTGATTTTTCTTACTGCTTTAAGAGATTGCAGACCTGAGTATATTATATTAATTTCAACTTGATACCACCACGTGTTGCTTAGAAAAAGGGTCTTGACAGACACACGAACGGATAACGAAGTGATCCTATGAGGGTTCCGATTTTTCTATATTAGGTACGGAACCCTAAAAAGGACTCAGCGTTAATACAAAATAAATATAATATAAAGAAAATAAACATATACAAAAATTATTAATTAAAAATTTTTGATTCGAAGAATTTTGTTTGAAGGGTACAGCGAACCTCCCACACTGTTGGTACCGTGGCGGGTGATCAACGAATTGGACCGTCTCAAGGACAACAACAATGGAAACGGCGCCATCTGTAAACGCGCCAAGTCCGCCATGGACTATTTGTACAAGTCACTACCTGAGAATGACAGGATAAAAGGTAACTTATACTGTTTTTTTTTTTAATGAAATTAATATGGCTTACATGTGGACAGTGGTAACTGTCAGCTATAGACATGAACAGTATTCTATGATATCCACGTTATAAAATATAGATAGATACTCTTTATTGTTTCCTCCAAAATATTACAATAATAAACTTATTATAAATATAAACAGTTACAAGAAATACCATAATCACAATGAGAAAACAACGGGCGACCTTATCGTTAAAAGCGATCTCTTCCAGACAACCTTTGGATGGAGAGGAGTAATTATAAACAGTTTGATCGGAGGCACGATGAAAATCCTATTATTTTTATAGATATAATATATTAATATTATACGAATAATCAAAGGGAGACTTTGTACAAAAGTCGGTTGCTTGGCCACCTCTGTCCCATTCGTGTTTCTACCATGAAGCAGTTGTGTTTGCATGGCTGTGTTTCGGTTTGAAGGGTGGGATATGGCAGTGAATTTACAGGGTACAGAGATATAATACCTGAGTCCTCAGGAATGGTAACACATGAGGTAACATGGGCGACACAGTATGCACTTACATCCATGGTACTGTTCACATCTATATCTGATAGTTACCACTCTCCATCAGGTTGACCATCAGTTTGCTTTCCTTAGAATAACTAACTTAGAATAAGTTGCATAAAAAATAGAAGAAAAAAATTAAACCTATTTATTTTTCGTACAGGACAGTCATTGAGGGATGCTAATTCTCATATATACCCGTGTGAGCTGCCTGATGATGAAATACTTAATTGCTGTCTTCAACAGTCGGAGAGAGGCAATTCTGTGGTAAGATATGTGCATGCAACATAACAAACTTACTACTGTTACAAAGATATGTTTTTATCCGATATAGGATGCTTTACAGAATATTACTAACAATCCCTTTCCCCCTACAGGATACGGTTATACCATAATAACATCTGAGTCCTCAGGAATGGCAACGCATGGTACTGCTTATGTTTATAGGCGACAGTTACCGCTTTCCATCAGGTGGGCCGTCAGCTTGTTTGCCACTCTAAGTTGTTTAAAAAAAAATACCACTGCTGAACGTAGGCTCTTTTCATAAGGAGAGTTTTGCTAGTAGTCGACTCGCTTGGCAGGCGGGTTGGTAGCCTTTGGTGATGTTTTAAGAGGGACGCTGTTGCCCATCCCTCGACGATTAAGTTCCCTTACGATATCCATGGAAAAGGAAGGGCAACTTTTGGTTTTATACTAATAACTGAAGAGCACTTAACTTTCTTGCTATTCGATGGAGAAAATTTATTTCGTCCTCTCATCATGTTTCGACAAATTATGAATATGAGAACTGAAAAATGGTCGTCGCTAGCGGTATCAGTGAGATAATCATGAGCAGTACCATTTACATAACAGAGTATATCCTCCTTCTGGTCTCCATCTTTATGTATTAATTTTATTTAAGTTCTATTTGAAGAGTTTCTGCTGCAAATCGCTGCGAGCGCTGTAGCTCCTCGGCTGCGGCATAAGGCTGAGCATACTTCCCGTTCTGTCCGTCAGATCCTGCTGTCCAACGACAAGAACCTGTGCAGCAAGGCGGTGGTGAACGGCGTGAGCAGCGTGCCGCTGGCGGCGCTGCGGCCGCGCCTGGCGCCGCGCGCCGCCGCGCCGCGCGCCGCCCGCGCCGCGCTGCAGCGCCACCGCGCCGCGCTGCACCACCTCCTCGCCAACATACTCGAGGTCCGCCGCCTGCCCGTACCACCTGCACCACCTAGCACCACCTAGCACCACCTAGCACCAGGGGAGGGGGAGAGGGATTGTTTGCAATGGGGCTGTCAAACTCCATTGCTAGCAATCCCTCTATCCAATATGTCCTATTACGAAAACCAAAAACGAACTGACGGGACAGACAGTGGGATGGGTGACGTATAAACATCAACGCCAAAGGATTGTGGTCCAACGACTACCGGAAAACCTATGAGTAAAGGAATTAGGAACTCCTCTAAGAAATAAATAGAACTGACAGGAAATGAAGTATAAACGGAATGAAAGAATGGATGGAAAGAAAGGAAAAATAAAGAAACTAGCTAAATAATTAAAAGTAATAGATGCATAACCTGAAACTTAATATCCTGTAAAAAGCGTGCTCCTAAGGGGGAGCCACAATAAAAAAAAAAAAATATGCCCTATTAGGCGAAACCATCGTGGTTAATTCACTTTGAATTCGTCACGATGGGCTAACTGCCGCCTATTCATCCTCACCAATCATCTGTCACTGGTGCCCCGCTAGTGTATGCCGATAGCGCAAATGGGGTTACCATTCCATTATCACCCATTAAAAAAAGCACCAGGGGAAAACGCATTCTCAGTAATGGGGATCAACAACCCATATTACTAGCAATGCACCCTATCAGACAGACATATAATAAACATTCGCAGTACCATAGACACAACAGAAATATTATACATACTGTTTTGCCCATGATACTTTCCATGCATTGCCATTCTTGAGAACTCAAGTATTTATTCCTTTATACCCTATAAATTCACTGCCATATCCCATCCTTCAAAACTAAACACAGCCATGCAAACACTACTGCCTCACGGTTTCATCGAATGAAACTCACCAATCATTTGTACAAAGTCTCGCTAGTGTATACCGATAACGCGGTGGGGTTAGAAACCATCATTATTGATTCATTAGTAAATTTGTCCATCGAAAAAGTCAGACTTGCTTCATCTCACACGCCAGTGTCAGTGTACACACTACCATTTTATTATCATTCATTGAAAACGCTATCGCCACATACACAGTATTGTATTGTATCAGCCGTGCTATCTTGTCTGGGGTCTCTCTAGGGTCTGGGGTTGTCTCGCTTCTTCCACTGTATCTTCTTCGGGAAGCTATCTCACTCGTAAGGGAAGTTGCCACGCTTAGCAGGCAGGTTGACAACCCCATTTAGACTTTTAGTGATGTATTACGAGAGATGCTGCTGCCCATCCCTCGCCTTCCCTTAGTCACCTCTTACGACACCCACGGGAAAGGAAGGGGTGGTTTATTTTACGCCGGGATCTATAACGCAAATACATAGATATAGTCTCGATTATTCGAATGTAATAAAACCAGAGATATTCCGTATAATCGAAAATCCGGATAATCGATTTACGTGTATACCAAATTTCATAGTAATTACTTAAGTCATTAAGGCACTATCAGGCAACAAACAAATTCACTTTACATTTACAATATGAGTAAGGATTCTTTTGCTTAGTCAAGCAGTTTATTTTTTAATCACCCACTTTTTTTTTTACAGAATGAAATGCGAGCGAAATATAACAATTTATGGCAGCACGTACTGTTCAAAGCTCCACCCTGGACCCTTAGTGACGTGCTGCAGTGCTTACTCAAGCATTGGATAGCTGTGTTCAACGATGTGTTCCCGAGAATAGAGCATCTGATCACAGACTTGAGGAATGCCTTGGTCTCTATAGAGAGTAAAGGTGAGTAAACCTAACTAATATTATAAATGTGAAAGTCCGTTCGTTTGAACCTCCACAATTACGTAGAGATGTAACCTCCCTCAGTGTCTTCTACCGTCTATTCAATGGAGAGTTCTTGGAAAACTTCATTCCTTTATTCCTCCTTCGCCTTTCCGATATCGTACCATGATAAGCCAGCCAACGGCTACATCAATACACGGTCGCCCGTGCTCGTTTACAAATTTGCCAACTCTATACATGAATCGTGCCGTAACAATGTGGAAAGATCTTCCCCGAGACGTGTTTCCTATATCCTATAATCTCGGATCCTTCAAACGTAGCGTGAAAAAACAGTGAGTCGGCATAGTGCGGTCAACCATTGAGAGTAGGGGGAAGGGATTGTTAGTAATGAGGAGGTTAGCTTCCATTGCTATCAATATACCCCATCAGGCCGACCTCCACGTGGTTCCTCTTGGAAACGATCGTAGTTAGTTTTTGATAAATTCATCACGATGGGCAAACTGGGCCTCTAGACAAATGACAAACGAATTCGTCGATGGAATTGACATCGCTAGCGAGTCCGTGAAATAGAATGAGATAGCAACGCCGAATGACTCATTCCATGACGTAATCGCTAGCGATGTCGATTCCATTGACGAATTCGCTTGTCACTAGTCTAGAGGGCCTGACCTGCTTTCATCGTCACTTATCATCCTTCACTGGTACCTCGCCGGTGTATACCGATAGCGCAGACGGGGTTACAATTCTAGTACAATACAATTGAGAATAGTGTATTGTATCCCGATAGCGATGCACTTTGGCTCTAAAATCTCAGGATCTAAGTAGATTCTGAAAAAACAACTATTGAGAGTAAATTTCTAAGGTTATCTCAGAAATTAGTACAGGGTAGTTTCTGAGAGCAAAGTATATCTACTTTAAAGAGAGGAATTAATGATCATTAATAATTTATAGGGATGTTTGGAAATTGCTGATTTAATTTCAGCTAATATAGTTTCCTTTCCCGTGGGTGTCGTAAGAGGCGACTAAGGGAACTTAATAGTCATGGAATAGGCAGCAATGTCTCTCTTATAACATCACTAAATTCTAACTGCGGTTGCCAAGCCACCTGCCAAGTGTGGCAAGTACTGGCAACATTTCCCTTTATAGGGGAGTCTTAAATTCAGCAGTGGACAGAACGATTGGTATTATGATGAATATAGAATGAAAAAAGCCCAATTCATTAAAAATGGTTGAGTAGTTTTGGAGATTTGCGTGAACAAACATCGTGACATGGTTTTTTTTATACCACTGAGGTAGCAAACAAGCATATGGCCCACCTGATAGTAAATGGTTAACGTAGCCTATGAACGCCTGCAATACCTGGGTCATTTGGCGCGCGTTGCTGGCCTTGAAGAAACCTCTTTATCCCTTTTTGGAAGAATCCCATGCTGTAGTCTCTTGGAAAAACTTTGGGGTTTTTATATATTAAGATATCATTTTTGTAGACCCAGAATGCTTAACTCAATCGGAGGTGTCGAACTTCATGGAGCTGTGCGTGGAAGTGGCGAAGAAGTGCCAGATCATCCCTGAGTACATGGATCTCGCCAAGCGTACACTCGAGCGGATGCAGCGTCCACCAACCGAGCCTACTGCCGTGCAGGCCTTTGAGGCGCTATGGTCCGTCTTCTCTGAGTATTGGTCAGTAATTGCTTATCTGTTGTCCCGGGATAGTGTGGTCCCGGGATAGGTGTGGATAATGTGATAGAGGATGGGAGAGTGTAATTGTCTTTTATTCAACTTAGAATGGCAAACAAGCTGGACATTTCGCCCATGATTGCACAAAGTCTACCTCTGGTGTAAACTCTGGTGTGTCACCTGAGTTCTCAGGAATGGCAACGAATTATATGGGGGTATCATAGGCGAAAAAGTATACTCTGTTATGTCCATGGTACTGCTCATGTCTATAGGCGACGGTTACCACTTTCCATCAGGTGGACCGTCAGCCTGTTTGCCATTCTAAGTTGCATAAACAAAAAACTCATATTGCTAGGATACGATGGGGCTGATATATCTAATGAAGGTAAAAGGCCTTATTAAAATAAAAATTTTACTAATATAATAAAATTATTATTAGACGATGTCTGTATGTATATATGTTGGATTTTAATAAGATTGCGGAGTGATCTTCTTGCCGAGCCTTTCTCTAAGAACTATAGCATTGGGTTCTTAAAAAAGGGCGTAATAAGATTTATTAAGGGTCAGCAATGTGCGCGTGACATCCTTAGTGTTACAAGCGTCCGTACACTACGGTAACTCTGTACACCATCAGACGGACCCTATGTTTTCCTAGTAGTATATTTTTTATATTCCTTCTACCCAAAGGTTGTCTGGAAAAGATTGCTTAGCAATAAGACCGCCTTTTATACCACACTATACATATTGAAAATTGTTCAACAAATCCTGTTATGTTGGTGCAATAAAGTGTTAAATAAATAAATATAAAAAAAATCATTTATTTTTAGAAATTTTGTTTACCTATCTGTCTGTTTATTTTTTGCCTGTATGTTTGTTCCGTCATCACGCCAAAACTGCTACATCAAATGGAATGCGGTTTTCACAGCTTGTACTCTTGAAGGTCTAACCTAAAAGTTATTGTTTAATTTTGATACATTACAAGACTAGAAGTGGCTGTTTAACTCCTAATATTCACGTGTACAAAATAGTAGATAGGAAGATAGCGTATTAAAAATTTAAAAACATAAAGGATCATATGATTTTGTGTACAGTTCGAAGCTGTCCCCCGGGCAAGACGCGGCGGAGGGCATGGTGTCGGTGGACCGGCTGCAGTTCGCAGCACGGGCTCGAGCTCTCTCACGCGCCCTTCAAAGGTAATTCTTTTTTTTTTTTTTTTTTTTTTTTTATCAACTTAGAATGACAAACAAGCTGACGGCCCACCTGATGGAAAGTGGTAACCGTCGCCTATAGACATGAGCAGTACCATGGACATAGCAGACTATACTGTTTCACCCATGATACCCCCCATGCGTTGCCATTCCTGAGGACTCAGGTGTTATTCCTCTGTACCCTGTAAATTCACGCCATATCCCACCCTTCAAACCGAAACACAGTCATGCAAACACAACTGCTTCACGGTTGAAACACGAATGGGACAGAGGTACCCAAGCAATCGACTTTTGTACAAAGTCTCCCTCTGGTATTCGCTTAGATTATATAGATAGAGTGTCTCCATACAAATGCTTCGAGAAAAGCGGCTCAACATTTTCATACAATTTTGCATGATGAATATTTATGAGTGATTACTTTATAATTTCTAATCTTTTATTTTTGCATTTTTTAAAGCATAAAAACTAATTTTTTTTATTAAATAGTTAAATATAGATACGTCAAGATACATTACGTGCTTAAGTATATAGAACACTGATGCAAGAAACGAGTCAGCTAATTTGACAAAGCTTTTTTTTTTAGATACCAAAAAGTTGACCCGTTTTTGAGACTCGATACTCTATCTATATAATCTATGGTAATTTGTTACTATTTATTGTATCGTTTATTTATGGTTTTATCTAGGGCTTTAAATTCTTAACCGAGTTCAAAAAGAAGGTTTTTCAATTCGGTTATATTTTTTTATGTTCGTTACCTCATAACTTCGTCAGTTGATTGATTTAGAATATGCTTTTTTTTTTTAACTGAAACGATATACTTACAGTTTGTCCCCGTAGGAATTTTATCAAAATCCGTAGTATAGTTTTTAAAACAAACTAGCTGGTTTTGCCACACTTTTATTACGTCATTTTATAACTTATAACATAAAAAAAAAACATTTAACATAAATGAGTAAATTAATATTGAATTAAAGTAGTTTTTTTTAATACAATCTTAATTATTTACATATTTATTTCGACCAGTCAAGTTTGAGCACATAAGGCCAATAATTGTTGGAAATCACAAGAACACAGTAAGTTCTGTAATTTCCCCTATGTACATAGATATCACATAAGGCCTATAGGTACATACCTTAAATACTAAAATATACAGAATGTAAATAAATAGTACAAAAATTTTAAATTCTTCGATAGTATACAATTTGAAAGTGTACTTTCCCTAGGAAAAATATGTAGGATAATCAAGTAATTTGTGAATCTGAACATCTGATCTTTCTTTAGTAAAAAGGTTTTATTTCCTAAATAATAGTATTTAAGGACTGCTATACCTCTATTTTAATTTGTGGTACATTTGGTGGATTATGGGAATCGGGTTTGTGGGATATAACTGCATACCTTCTTTACACCGTGCACATATTTTTGTCTATGTCAATCAATATATGATTACGTTTATACTTTGAACCTCTTGTGTGCGGTGATATGATGATGATGAATTTCCACTAGGGTGGTGAACACTGACAGCGTCAGTGATGACCAGGTGCTGGAACTGGAGGCTGCCGTTAGGGAAGGCCTGACGCTGATTGGCGTCGACTGTGCTGTCACCGCGGAGGATCTGAGGTCGTTTTGTACCAATTGCGGGTAAGTTTATAGTCCTTCTTAAAAGTCCTGCAACACCACTGCAATTTTTGGCAAACGAAACAAAGCCTTATTTAGCTTTACTGTACCGGGTCTCAGATGGGCTTAGACCGCCACTGATTTTCTCCAAAAAATCTTGGGGCAAAAAATCTTCAATGACAAAAAATGGGACAAAAAATCCTAAATAAATTAACTAACACGGCACGCCTAATTGTGAATTTAGTAAGGGTAGTTCTAATAAAGGGCGAAAAGCCCTTTTTTGTCCATATTTGTTTGGGGAAAATTTAAAAATTTTCTATTATAATTAATTTCTTTGATAATTCTAATTCTTCTTTAAGTGTATAAGTTTAAATCTTTTTATTGTTTATAACTGCCTACCTACAATGTTTTTATTTATACCACTGAGGTGGCAAACAAGCATACGGCCCACCTGATGGTAAGCGGTTATCGTAGCCTATGAACGCCTGCAATACCAAAGGTATTACGCGCGCGTTGTCGACTTTGAAGAGACCTCTTTACCCCCCTTTTGAAGACCTCAACTGTAGTCTCTTGGGAAAACCTCGGCAGAAAGCTCGGAAGAAAGTATGAAGTTCTCAATTCGATTGTATTTTTTATGTTTGTCACCTCATAACTCTGTTAGTTGTAAACCGATTTGGAAAATTCTATTTTTAGCTGAAGGAATATATTTTGAGATTGGTTTCATAGAAATTTTATCAAAATCGGCTCAGTAGCTTAGTTTTTAAATCAAAATAACTGATTTTAGCAAGAGTTTTTGATACAAAAATGTTTACCCACTTGAATTACCTATCGTGTTACAATGTGGCTGTTATCAATAGTCCATGACTTTTTTTTTTATACAGTGACATTTCTTTATTCTTTTTTTTATTATTGACAAGAAATATGAGGACTTATTGTAACATCTAGACATTTTTGATGTACATTTTTGATGTTTTTTTTTTATATAACATTTCGAATTTTAATGACTCATTTAACATTTATTCTTTTTAAGTTTTAATATTTGCATGCCTAATTATGGCGAAATATGAGGACTTATTGTAACATACACACTTATCATGTTTCTATATATATCATATATCATATACACTTATCATGTTTCTTGTAAATAAATAAATAAATTAGAATATATTTTTTTGTGGAACAACCGAAAACAACCAATAAAAATATAATCGATTTTAGAACTTTCTTTTTTTAAAGTCGGTTGATAGAAAACTACAATTGTACGGCACTTTAATTGTTTAAGTTCATATTTTTTTTTATCTAATATTACTCTGTGTTTCAGGAACATGCTCCAAGAAGCGTATACAAAGTTCACACAATTGACTGAAGTATTGGACACATGTCAAAGTAGCATTAGCAATGTTTAAGCTAAACCACAGCACAGTCGTTGTCAAAAGTGTTTACAAATATTGTTTATTTAATTCTTTTCATCGTAATTTAACTTTTTTTTTAATTTATTTTAGAGAATTAACGGCACGTGATTTTAAATAAATGTTACTTTCTTGATTTTTATTCGACAATATTTGACGTCCGAGTCGTCGATAAAAGTCATACAGACAGACAGTTATATATCTCTTGAACTGACATAAAATAGTTGTAGATTTTTTTTCTAACACTTCTAATGTATTAATGTTTTTTTTTTTTTTGGGTAAGACCAGGGTCGATAATTTTTTAGACAAAAAACATAAATTATTCGGATGAAATCCATTGCAAAAGTAGGAGAATATAACAAAAATGAAATGAAAAATAATTTAGGGGTGATCTGAGTTCAGGAAGTTGAAGGGGGGTGTTTTTTAGGGTAAAAAAAACGGTTTGTTTCGATTTCCGACAAAACTACAAGTCCTATGGAAAAATGTTAATTGGCAAAATTGTAGGTAATAAAAAAAATCTAAAACTTTTGTATGTACAGTTTTTCACATAACGTGCAGTCCGGGGATAGAATAGGCCTTCCTTTCTCGTGGATGTTGTAAGAGGCGACTAAGGGACGGCGAGGGATGGGCAGCAGTGACTTTTTTATAACGTTACCAAAGCTCAACTGCGGATATTATATGCGAACTGCGGACACGTGTTTCACCTCTAAACGAGGCATCTGCAGGCAAGTTCAGACATCACTGCTCGGCTCCATAGTGTTTACTGTTGGTCACTCAAAGTGTGAAATCTCATTTGTTTTTTTTTTAAATATAGCTATTTATGATTTTATCTATTGTCATTAAAAAAATCGCGTCGCGTTACTGAGAATTTTAAAATGCATATAAAAAGCGTGAAAATTTACAATTTTTGTGTGCATTTTTCTGTTACTTTAATACGTCTTGTATCAAATATTGTAAACTAGATATACTCCATGATTTTATCTGTGTAAATTAGAAATCCATGATTTTATCTGTGTAAATTAGAAATAAAATATTGTGTATGTTAATCTAGGTGATTGTACATCTGTGTACCATTCAGATTTTACCTTTATTTGTTTAGCCATCTAATCCTGGTCGAGGAACAAACATCTTTATCATCTTTACAAATATTCACAGTTCTATTTTTTGTAATGTGATCATTAAAAAATAAATAAATAGGGTCATCATCATCATCATCCATATCAGCCATTATCTGTCCACTGCTGAACATAGGCTTCCCCTATAGACTGCCATAAGGAACGATCCCAAGCCCTCTTCATCTATCGACTTCCTGCAATGCATTTGAGATTGTCATTCTATCTAATAGACTCGTCCTACACTACGTTTGTCCGTACGAGGTCGTCACTCAAGAACTTTTCCCCATTGGTTGTCGGTTCTTTGAGATATGTGACCAGCCCATTGCCACTTTCGCTTGCTTTTCCTTCGGGCTATGTCGGTTTTTTTGCCGATATCCTCATTTCGGATTCTATCGCGCATAGAAACTCCGAGTATGGTCTTCTCCATAGCTCTCGGAATAACGTGAACCATTGGTAAACGGGTTGTGTAGGACTATGTTTCGATTTCGTAGATCATCATGGGCTATACGCACTGTTTAAAGATCTTTGTCTTCACACTATGAGGTATTTTGAATGAAAAGATGTGGCGTAGTTATCTGATAGGTCCAGCTCAGTAGGTCATCGGTTGACCTCTCGGTCTAAATTTGAACCTGAATTTGAAGACGGAGTTTGAATTCGACAACATAACCTTCAAGAAAAGAGTATATTCCATTTTAAAAGGCCGGCAGCACACCTGCAATGCCGCTGGTGTTGTGGGTGATCATGGGCGGCGGTAGTCACTTACCATCAGGTGAGCTGCATGCTGTGTTGTAAAAAAAAAAAAACCAGTGCGTATAGCCAGTGATGACTTATGGAACCGAAACATAGTCCTACACGATTGCCCGTATGCAAAAGCTACAAGTTACTCAGCGGGGCTTTGGAGATGGCTATGCCCAACGTTTCTTGATGTGACAGAATCCGAAATGAGAGTATCCGCAAAAGAATAAAAATCACCGACATTGGCAACGGACTGGTCACATAATTCGAAGAACCGTCCACCGATGGGGAAGAAAAGTTCTTGAGTGACGACCTCGTACGGGCAAACGCAGTGTAAGACGACCCATCCACTAGATGGAGTGACGACCACAAATGCAGTGCAGGAAGTCAGTGGATGCAGATGGTTCAGGACCGTTCCTTATGGTAGTTTATAGGGTAGGCCTATGTCCAGCAGTGGACAGATAATGGCGGAGATGATGATAATTTATTAACCCATAATTAATAGTGATTATGCACAGCAGTCACTGGGTCAACGTGTCCTTTCGATACAAAGGCCTCCTCCATCGTCTTCCACTTTTTTTTACATGGTACACTTCATACATACCTACAAATGATTAGTAATCGAATCTAATGTACAAATTTTTCTTTATATATTTAGTTTGTATACATTATGAAGTTATAGTAAAAATTTTTTTTTTTTTTATGTAATAAAATAAAACACTTTTGAAAGCGACTGTGCTCACTTCTAGTCGGAATTCTGTACAAAAATGTACCAATTTAGGAAGTTTATAAGAATTGTATCTTTCAATAGTGGAAGTTCCTTTCATACAATTATCAATTGTACATAGTGTATGAATGTTGATTAAAACAGTAGGCTATTTGACATTGTAATAAATAATGCATTGTTTAATGCCATCCGCGTTGACTAGGGGTTTTTAAAAGCGGTATGCATTAATCTGACAAAAATTATATTATTAATTATGCATAAAAAACTAGTTATGTCTAGTACCACGTGATCGAAAACGATCTCGATTGGCTAAATGTATGATGACGTAACATTGAAGTAAACGGCATGTCTGTCAGTGATCTTCGTTTGCGTTGTTGGCAGCGATCCGCGGATTCAAATGATTTTGTTATTCGAATAATTAGTAATTACTAAAGACAAGTTACTAAAAACGTATGACAATATAAAAAATGACAACATTGAATTTGCAAGACCACTTTTTGCGTATTTTAGACTTTTTTGGTACACTAACGGTCGGCATGTACAATAAATAAATAAAAATATTCAATAATAAATCGGTTCAAACTCGTGTATGACACTCTATGATTGTTTACTGTCATGTGACGTCACTGACGCCATATTGCACAAAGTTGCTTATCGATGGCTTTTTTAAACTGTACTTTTTTATGTGCTAATTTTTGAAGAAATACTTATGTAAATTAAAAATAATCGCTTTTTGAGAGCTGTATAGACGCCATTAAAAAGTTTGAGATGTTATCCAGAAACTGGTCAAATAGCCTATTACATGGATTCGGGTAATGGCCCCAAAGACTGACACTCTTATTTGGTTTTTATTTAGTAACTGCTAAGGGTGATATTTGGTTCATTTACTAATTTTGCTGCTATTGAAATCAGTTTTTTTTTTTTTTTTTTTAATAAACTATCTTAAGAGCGTTCATTCTAAATTTTATCGAAATGCAAGAAATTGGAATTTATTATTTAATTTTAGATTGTCAATATTTAAAGACGTCAAGAATATTTTTCATTGATATTTAAAACTACTTTGACAAAAAAAAAATACTTTGACAATCTAAAATGTTAAATAAATGTTAAATACTGCTGACAATTTCGCATCTGCTTCATATCTGGCTAATGAAGTTTTCAAATACCTTTTTAGCGGAAATATTAACATTTTAAAAATTTCATTGCATGATTTAAGTGGTATTTAGTTAATTTATTATTATTTACCTCTCTATCAGAGTACTTTCTAATAACAAATCAAATATATTTAAAAAATGTGCAAAATTGTGTTTAAAAAAATGACATATAATTCCTATGTTGTTACAGTCTGGTGAGTTTCGGTATGAAAATAATATCACTTTATAGTAAAAAAATATAATAGTTTTTTTTTTTTTTTAATTAAATTATAGCCGGTAATCGACTTAACAGGGTTAATTTTTAGAATTTTGTTCTGCAAGTTTTATAGTTTATACAGGGTGTAAGGGGCAGATTGGTAAAAACTGTAACAGTGGTTTCAGACCATTATTTTTTTTCCTTTAAAATAATGATATTATGTAATAAATAAAGAAATAATATTTGGTAGTGATATATTATGAAATATCAGAAAAGAGCAGTGTAATATTCGTATTAAAATCCTCTCGCGACGTGTGGAATCAGCTGTGTAAGGTCAACGACACGAGCGTACGAAAACTACCCACGAAGAAGTACCGTTAACGGCGCGGTGTTTTTTTTTTTTGATGGGTGGAAATGGTATGGTAACCCGAACGAATTAGGTAGTCGCGCCTTTTGGAAATGTTATATTTTAAATACAGCATGGACGCATTACCACCCAGTGGGAACATGTGCGATGGGACCAGAAGGTGATGGGGTTGTGGATAATAAGTTGAGAGTTAGGGGTGTGCAGGGTTTGAGAGTGGTGGACGCCTCAATAATGCCCACCATCGTCAGCGGTAACACTAATGCCCCAGTAATAATGATAGCAGAGAAAGCATCTGATATCATAAAACTTGATCACGGGATAAGTCCAATTTAAAGGTGACAAAATAGTGTAAGAATTGTATACAGTTTTAGTTGTAAATTAAGGGTTTTTTTTTAATGGGTGAAAATGGTATGGTAACCCCGCCCGCGCTAACGGGATACGCTGGCGGAGCACCAGTGAATGGTGATAGATGAGAATGAAAACAGGCCAGTTAGCACATCGTGATGAAGACGGCGCGGTGTTAGGTATCCCGCGTTGCATGGATTACGTCGTAAAATTTTTAAATACATCGCGTGGTGCCACAACTAAGGTTCGTTAATTGTGGGGAAATATCTGCCATTTGATTCAGACCATTTAAATCAGCTGTTTCCGTTGTGGCCAACCTGTCCCTTCCACCCTATATATGGCGAGTCTTCTCGAGACCACGAACAAGAATTGACCACGATGATTTTCATTGGGAACGGTGTGGAGATCGACCTGGCAGGGTATATTGCTAGCAATGGGAACAGTGGTCCCCATTGCTAGCAATACCTTCCTCCTCTAGTAATAAATAATACTGTTACCGCGTTGATTAAACAGCTTGAGTTTTTATTTCACGATTTTCCAGTGTCATTATTTTAAATGTATATTAGAATGTTATAATATTAAAAAAAAAAAAAATGGAAAAAAAAACAAAAAATGCTGTTAAAATTATCCTGATCCATGTACCAAATGTATATAGACATACGGTTCATATTCGTATGGACATTTTTTTTTATGTAAATACTTATTACTCGTCTTCCTGCAATCATAAGGGCATAGTTATTGTTTTAATTGAAATATTTTATTTTAACACAATGCATGTGATTCATAAAAACGTTAAAGTTTCACAGAACAATGTTAATTAGTTAAGGTTATGCTGCAAAAATAATTTTAAAGATTGCTCGTCTTAAATGTTGGGACGGGTTAGGTAGCGTCGTTTCTCTAAAGCTGTTTTTTTAATTTAATAATTGTATATTTTTACGAAATTACAGTTTTATACCGAAATACAGCCATGCAAACAACTGCTTCACGGTCGGAAACGTGAATGGTATAGAGGTACCCAAGCAATGACTTTTGTACAACGTCTCCCACTGTAATTATGTTTCTTTGTAATTTTTAACCGACTTCAAAAACAAATTTGGTTGTTTTTTTTATGTTTGTTACGTAATAACTCCGTCAGTTGTAAATTGATAGCGATTTGGAAAATTCTACTTTTATCTGAAAGGATATACTTACAGATTGGTCTTATAGAAATTTTAGTTTTTAAATATTTTTTTTTGTTGGCCACAATCTTCTATAGCTAGTCGTCTGTGTTTAACTATTGTCTATAGCAAGTTTAAATTAATTGTGGCAATACCGTTGTTTTGTTACATTTGTTTTCTAATAAGTGTTTAGTACGAAAGAGAGAGATAGCTAAAGTAAAATGTACAGGTTTAATGTTTTTATGAATATATGTACAGGGTGAAGTCATTGGCATCCGCTAAAAAGAATATGTATTCATAAATAATAAAAAAATTTGAAGCTCTCGTACTAACAGCGCGCCCAGCTAGTAAGTTAGTATGGGAGGCTCAAATTTTTTCATTTTTTTTTTCATATAAAATATTCGGTATCGGTGTATTTCAGATTACTTTTTGAGAAGTTGGGGGGAGGGGCATGATCTTCTAAAAAAGGCACGCAATGTACTCTCAGACATGTCTATGTTCATATTTAAAAGCTTCGCTAGCATCCTAAGGTGGGTTCGACAATTCTGAGGTGGGCACGGCCCACCCGGCCCCCTCCTAATACGCCTTTAATTAATAATAAAATAATGCAAACGATCACAATTACACCCTGTATATGAAAATTGTTAAAATTATATAGGTATCATTATTTCGAATTCGGTATTTTGAAAACACTGCAGCCGCCATTCTGCCCAAGAAATTTAATCTGCCCTTCATATTACATGTGTACATAATGTATGTAACATAATTATTAATTGTAAATAATCTTACTTAGCGTTATAAGCGAAATTTGTATGTATACTGTGTTCGAAATTAAAAATGAATCTACATGTGTTATTAATAAGGTCCTAATTTATATATATAAAAAAAAAATGAATCTAATGATTTTTTAATGCCTCAATGTTCTTTGTTAATGTTACTTCATAATTGTAATCGGAAATATGTTTAATTATTATTATTTTATTGACTATTTATTTCTAAGAGATTATTTTTAAAAATTCCGTAAGCGTACATTATATTTTAATGCAATAACTACAGGTTTAATTTACGTGTATTTTAGCTCGACTAGTTTCGGGACCATCCGGGACCCTTGATCATGAGCGGCTATGACGCGGCGAATATTGATTACGCGCGACGGTCCGCTGAGTGCGAGCTGTAGGCGCTCGTAGTGCTGTCATAGATGAGAAAGATGGCGTTATTACATTAAAATATGTCTAAGATGTTGGTATTCGCTAAAGGAGATGTTTTAGAACTATTTGGAATTTGGATTTAATCATACAGTATACCTATATATAAAAAAGTTGTACTCTAAAAGAGGGGCAGAAGTGTGTTTCCATCCATTCCATGTATTCTTCTATAATGAAGTATTTACGAAAGAAAATATTATAAATTAGGGCCTTCAAGACCAGTATAAACCAGTGAGTTAATGTATTGTACAGTAGAATCTCGATTATCCGAATCAAATGACACCAGGCGTATAATCGATAATAATATAATCGAAAATCCGGATAATCGATTCCAAATTCAAATCAACAATTCAATTTTAACATTCTTTTATGTGAAATATTTAAATGATTTTAAATACGTTATTTAGACAATACGATACAAAGTTAATAGATTACATAATACCTATTTACCTAATTAATACCATTTCTAAATCGGTTATTAGAGTCTTGTAAAAAAGTCCGGATAATCGAATATTCGGATAATCGATGTTTGGATAATCGTGATTCTACTGTAGTTTGTTTTATTAGAACTCAATGAATAGGTGACCTGATTTTGTTGATCACAGAAATACTCTCTAAATGTTAATAATAAATCGAATCATTCAATAAATGAATCCATTTCGATTATCACTGCTATTGGACATCAGTAGACTTACGCTGGTTATTTCATAAAAACTGAAATTACCTATAAATCATTTTAACTATTATATAGTGTATGCCTCGACATAGAAAGGGCCACTCCTTCTTTTCCCGTGGATGTCGTAAGAGGCGACTAAGGGAGGGCGAGCGATGGGCAACAGCGTCCCTTTTAAAACATCTCTAAAACCTAAACTGCGGTTGCCAATTCGCCTGTCAAGCGTGGGAACTAGTGGCAGAATTCCCCATATGGGAAAGGCTTATGACCAGCAGTGGACCGTTAACGGCTGAAATAATAATAAAATTAAAGTATTTCAGCACTTTTTGTCAAATTATCGACTAGACAGGGGGAGAGTCCCCATTCTTAGGTCTTAGACGTAGCACTTATACACACGAAGCCCTTTGTGTCTTCCTTCATATGTACAGCCAAGGCGAGAAACTCTCTTCCTATCAATCTAAATATAATCTGCGCCAATTTAGGGCAAATATGAATAGGTTATTTTTATGCCCTATCTTAGACCACATCATCGCTTCCCATCAGCTGAGATCGTGTTCACGGGACGCTTCAAATGTAGAAAAAAAAAATTGAGAATTTAGCGCTAAAGAAAACGTCAAACCGTTTCAATAGTTAAAATACGTTTATGGGTCTCTTCACGTTTTTATGAATAAGGCTCTAATAATTTGTTCCAATTTTCATTGAGTTCTATTAAACGGATCATAATGCCGATAGGTGTAGTACTTAGGGTTTTTTTTTTATTGAAAGGGACTTCACTGTCTTCAAAGACTGACTAATTGATATTTTGACGGCTTTGCGTCTTTAAACTTACCGTTTGATTGAGTGGATGATTATGGAAGACGCGCGGTGTGGAAGGATGCCTTTTCCCTACTTAAATTACTAATTTTATACGTACTTACACTCACATCTCCTCACTCTCACGGTTGCATTCTTTCCCTCTCTCTCTGCCGTTGCCAATCGATCAATTTTATCTATACTCTTAATTTCACATCGTAGATTAACTATCCTGACTTCATTTCACGGAGGGGAGGGGAGGGATTGTTAATAATGGGGTCTAACTAACCCATTGCCAGCAATACACCCTATAAGGTCGATCTCCATGCGGTTCCCCCTGGAAACCATCGTGGTTAATTCTAGTGAAATACGTCACACTGGGCTAACTGAACTGCTTTCATCGTCACCTGACATCCCTCACTGGTGCTCCGTTAGTGTATACCGATAGCGCAGGCGGGGTTACCATTCCATTTTCACCTATTAAAAAAACCTGTCTCTATTCACATACATGCGATAGGAGAGATCCTATCATCTAAGTAATCCATTCATAGCCGTAGCGAGGGGGGGGGGGGGGGAAGAAGGGGCATTGAGGGACATGCCGTACCTTAAAAGACTCAATGCTCTACCTTTAAAGGCCCCAAAAAAATTAGACAGATTCATTTTTCGAAGTCAATTATGCCTTCTGCCCTACCAAAAAGTTGTTTTGCCCTACCTGAAACTTGTGTCTGGCTACGGCCCTGAATCCACTCAATAAAACGGTATTACATTTATTAACATTTCTCAGTTAATATGCGTAGAAATATATAAATAGTTGTATGTAAACGGATATTTGGTTATGTATGGAATAGGTGGGTAGATGTTTATGTTAACATACAGTTGCATTATTGTATTTTTTTTTTTATTTTCTCCACAAATAAGTATGTATTATAAGTATGCATTCACAACTTATTGCGATGTTATCGTAATTAAGTTAATTTTACATAACGATATGTGTTTTTTTTTTCTATAAAATATATTCTATGAATAAATGTTTTGTTGATATAAAGGTGTTTTTTTTTTTATAATTATGGTGTTCTACGATACTTATTTAATTCGACCACAGTGTAACGTGAAAAACATATTGAAATTCGTTATGCCGTTACTGAGATTAGCGTGCAGAAACGTTAAGACAAACAGACAGACCAACAGACATAAATTCTAAAAATAATTGTTTTGACTTCTATTGCCTTCATAAAGCTTCCTATATAATATTTTTTCTTATATATCTGACGAACTTATGAACATTATAATTGCGAGACATAGTTCATAAAGTCGTGTCGCCATATAATAGCTCTTTTTTCTTATATATCTTCCATGTACAGACAGCGACCAGTTATGATTTTATTACATATCGTCATAGTATACTGACGGATCTGATAAATATTACATATATAGATCCGTCAGTATTCTACGACTATGTCGATATATGTATTGTATGATAGAGTTCGTCAAATCGAGTATGACTCATGACATTTTTAAATGACTTCAAAAAAGAAAGAGGTTCTCATTTCGGTTGTATTTGCTATTTATGTATATTTGCTACCTCAGAATTCAGTCTTATAAAAGGGATTTGGATTTAATCCGAAAACCGTAAATTTGTAATTATTAAAAAAAAATACTTGATTTTGTACGAAACCCTCGTTGCGCGAGTCCGACTCGCACTTGACCGGCTTTTATTACGTCGGGCGACACGACTAGGGCGTCTTTTTTTTATCAAAATCCAAATCTCTATTCAAATGCTTGATGTATGCAAAACTGATGACGCATAAAAACAAGCTCGGGATAAAGACATAGGTTAGGTGATAGGTCAAAATATACATTTAAACGGTTCTGTCATATTGGGTTACATTCATATTTACACTAAACTTGTGGGTATTGACACTAAATTCTAACCTGTGGGCAGGAGCGCCACAGTACCAATTCCTTCCGTTAGACCGCATTCAAAGTCGGGCGGCTCGAATTGTTGACGATCGGCGCCTTACTGGTGGTCTACCATGAAATGAAATTCCGAAATTTCGGGCTCATTTTCGTGTTTTTGTTCCCACCGAAATCGACCCAGTAAATGGAGCTTAACATTTCGTTCATCATAAATCCTATCCTAATAGTCTAGAGGAACTATATTTTAACATTTTTAATAATTTTAAACGGCATGTATTATGTAATTTTAACATCAAATTTCTGTTTCGTTCGTCTCTGAAATTTCGGAAAATATTTTATGGTAGGCCCTCTGTTTAGAAGGATTCTAGGAAGACACTCATTTTTTTCTATTTAAAATCAATCTGTAAGACAATTTTTAATCCAGCCAGCTCATATAAATAGCACTTTCTATAGCCATATGACATATTTATTACATGTCTTCTATTTGATGTCATTTAATTTTGAGATAAGATTGCCGTGTAGTCCGGGCATAGAATGGGCCTCCTCTTCCATCCATGTGGGTGTCGTATGAGGCGACTAAGGGAACTGGTCGAGGGATGGGTTTTTTTTATACAACTTAGAATGGCAAACAAGCTGACGGCCCACCTAATGGAAAGTGGTAACCGTCGCCTATAGACATGAGCAGTATGTCCATGGACAACAGAATATATTGTTTCGCCCATGATACCCCCCCCCCCATGCGTTGCCATTCCTGAGGAGTCAGGTGTTATTCCTCTGTACCCAGAAAGTTCACGCCATATCCCACCCCTCAAACCGAAACACAGCCATGCAAACACAGCTGCTTCACGGTTGAAACACGAATGGACAGAGCCAAGACAGTACCCAAGCAATCGACTTTAAAACATGACTAAAAGCCTATCAGCGGTTGCCAACGCGCCTGCTAAGTTTAGCAACTACTGGCAAAACCCCCCTTATGGGGGAGGCTATGTTCAGCAGTAAACAGTTAACAGCTGTTATTATGATAATGATAAAATAATACTTTCGTATATAAATATCAGGCACATTTTATAGGCATAAGGAATGATTATTACTTACTTTAGTAAGATTAGTAAGTAAGAAGAAGATTACTCATAATAAGTTTTGTATTTAATTTAACTTAAATTAATTTAACTTCTATTTAACCTAAGTTAACTTTGAGATCAGTAAAATAAAAGAAAAATACAAAATAATAACAATCGATCGAGTAGAACATCTCGAGGTATTATTATTCTTGCATCAAGTAGGCTGTATGCTTTATTGACTTTGCATGCTGTATACTAACCCCTTAATTAAAAAAAAAAGGCGGGAAAGGGATTGCTAGTAATGGAGACTGAGAATCCCATTGCTAGCAATATACCCAACCAGGTCAACCACCTCGCGGTTCCCCTGGAAACTATCATGGTTAATTCCTGATGAATTCATCATGATGGGCTAACTGGCCTGTTTTCATTCTCATCTATCACCCTTCACTGGTGCTCCGCCAGCGTATCCCGTTAGCGCGGGCGGGGTTACCATACCATTTTCACCCATTAAAAAAAAAACCCCTTAATTTACAACTAAAACTGTATACAATTTCTTAAATGTTACACTATTTTGTCACCTTTAAATCGGACTTATCCCGTGATCAAGTTTTATGATATCAGATGCTTTCTCTGCTATCATTATTACTGGGGCATTAGTGTTACCGCTGACGATGGTGGGCATTATTGAGGCGTCCACCACTCGCAAACCCTGCACACCCTCTAACTCTCAACTTATTATCCACAACCCCATCACCTTCTGGTCCCATCGCACATGTTCCCACTGGGTGGTAATGCGTCCATGCTGTATTTAAAATATAACATTTCCAAAAGGCGCGACTACCTAATTCTAAGCCTTTGCATTGCTTTATATTTAAATCTAATATTTTTGAATTGACGCTTCTGTAGTAGTTTGTATTTAGGACTGTAACATAATCTTCTATATATAATGCAAAATCATCCAAATCCTTTTCATTTGAAAAGTAATTTGTCAATATTAATGGTGAATCTAGAGGATTTTTACTTTTCAATCGTATGCTGCCTCTAGATTTTGGATGCAGAAGAGTAATTAATGCAAACAATAGTTCTGTTTTTTTGCTATTATTAGCAAGATCTATGCATGCGTCGTCTTCTAAATCTAACATTTGGGAACACAACGTAGCAGCTAAAACGCTTGCAGTTGGTAAAGGACACACCGTTGTCTGGTAATCAGGATACTTTTGTGTTTTATTTAAGGACACGAATCCTAACATTGTAGCAATAGGAAATTTGTTTAGATTGACCAATGCATCCGCGTTATGAATTATCGAAGTAATATTATTTTTCCCAGTTACTCCTACAGGAACTAAGACATGATCTTGAAGATTTTGACCAACATTCGCTGATGAGTGTACAATCCCAATGTTCATTTCCTGCAAATGTTCTTTAGGTCCTATACCTGACAGCATTAGTATTTTAGGACTGTTTATTGCGCCTGCAGATAAAATTATTTCTTTATTAGCTACAATATTGATAACGCTATTATCTGGAAGACTAATTTCTACGCCTTTTGCTTTCTTGTCTTGGAAAATAATCTTTCTCGTAACACTATTTTTGAGGACGTAGACATTTGGGCGATCTTTAATCGGCTTTAAGTATGCCGCCGCTGTACTCTGTCGAATTCCGTCAGCTATTGAAAACTGCGGTGGTGCGTAGCCCAACTGTTCTTTGCCATTGTAATCTATAAGTATATTGCGTCCATTCTCTTTGAATATTTCGTAGTAACTTTCAGTTCTGTGCTCCCACGGAAATCTTCCTACGCCTAAGTAACCATTTTGTCCACGTAACTTTCCTGAATGCTTCTGTATTACTTCGTCTTCGATACGTTCCATCTTCTTGTAGTAATTCAGGACATTATCCCAATTCCAGCCTGGGTTTCCACGCTCTGCCCAGCCGTCGTAGTCAGCTGGGTTTCCTCTCACGTAGAACATGTAGTTGGATATACTGGAACCTCCGAGCATTTTGCCTGACGTGAGGTGTATGTTTCGTTTCTTGTGAGCTTGACTCGTTCGCTTGTCGTCCACCGTATTGTGACCCCAGTCCGGTAGAGAGGTTCCAGCAAGTGTAGACCAACCAGGACTCTGTAATACAGTGTTCAGATTATAAATTACTAGCTACATGACACGATTTTGTTTGAGTGAATTATAGAATATTAATTTAAGATATGGTATATGTAAGTACTAAATTTCATTCATACTGGATCTGCCTGAGTTTATGTGTGATTGAGTAATAAAGATTAGGGAATGAACTCAAACTCTCCCTTAACGTTAATATACATTATAATTTATATACGAATTTCATGCTTCTACTTAAAATACCCATCAGATTAATTTGCGAATTATGATGTATTAGAGCTATATTGATTATTAGTGTTTTATAAAATTTATATATCAATTATAAGACATTTTTGCCACTTACTGCACTACATTTTGTGACTCTACCATCTAATTTAACAAATAGAAACTGAGAAGAAATAACAAAAAGTTTCGTCTATTGTTTTTTTTTTTAAATAAATTGTTATATTGAGATATTTGTTAATTTGCATTATTTATAGCAATTTTTTATTATTGTTATACAAAGTAGTTACTGGAGTACAAATTTGATGATGTGTTAGTATTATTATTCTTAATAATGTATTGATTTTTAATCTGTTAATTTCTTACAAATAAATAGTTAATGCGCTTTTTATGTAACATTAGGCCTATAACATTAGATTAGATTTGAATTATCCATTCCGTATCGTTTCTTATCAGCTTTATCATGTATTAGTTTCAATTACGTGTATAATATTCTATTACACGCGCTTATTAGGCGTTAGACGATGCTAAAGTCTAATAAAAAACATAACAGTACGTTTGGACTGATAATTAGTCTAAGTAATTATAAGAAATCAAATCCGAAGGGGCGTGGACTTGAGTCCCATCGTTGTTACCATGCAGCGATACGCGAGCAAGTTGGTTGAACATTAATTTATTAATTGACAGATTAAATTAAATTTAGTACGTAGTATGTTATATTATTGAAGTGCGCTCTTGGCATAGAATAGGCCACTTTTTTCCTGTGGGTGTCGAAAGAGGCGACTAAGGAAGGGCGAGAAATGGGCAGCAACGTCCCTCTTAAAACATCTCCAAGTCTAACTACGGTTGCCAATTTACCTGCTAAAGGTGGCGACTATCGGCAAAACCTCCCAAGGGGCCGGCTTTTGTTCAGCTGTGGACATTTAAAGTCTGATATGGCTGAGCTATACTAAATCTATGGAACAAATTGTTAAAAAAATATAAATACTGGCCGTAGGTACTTATATTTTTTACGTGAACATAATGTAGCACAGGTTTCTTCCGCGCGGATTTTTCGCGTCATAAAATCTTAAATATACTTATTAATTATTATTATTACTATTTCAGCCGTTAACTGTATACTGCTAAACATAAGTCTGTCCTATAAGAGGACTTTTGCCAGTAGTTGCCACGCTTGGCAGGTGGGTTGGCAACCACAGTTAGGCTTTCAGAGATGTTTTAAGAGGGACGCTGCTGCCCATCCCTCGCACTCCTCTAGTCGTCTCTTACGACACCCACGGGAAAGGAAGGGGTGGCCTATTCTATGCAGGGACCATTCGGCTATTTGAAGAGATAATGTTGATAAATTCTTTTTATAAAACTTTAAATTATATGGTACGTGATCATAATAAAATCTGGGACTAACATTAACCCTATTCATTACAAAATGCGCCGTCAAAATCTGTAAAGAATTATTAAAAAGTAAAAAAATATTGTTATTTATCAAGTTATTTTTTTTTTTCTGTAACTTGGAGTGACAAACAAGCTGACGGTCTACATGGTATAAGTGGTAACAGTCGCCAAATATATGTAAACAATACTAAAGACATCAGCAGACATTTCCGTGTGGTCCTTACACAGAATGGGTTAACTCTTCCTTTCCTTTATTTAAAAAAAAAAAACAGAGTCCATAAGCAACATGATATTAGGTAATTCATTCTATTCGGATGTATTACCTAAATTCAAAAAAATATGCCAATTCTAATGGAAAGAATATTTTGATAAGGTATTTGGTATAAGACAATTCAATGTGAGCCTCTTCTGATACCTTGGTTTTTAAATAGAAATAAAATTAAGTTAATTTTAAGAATCAGATCTGGTCACTATCCATCAAGAAAGTTTGCATATTTAATGAAAAAAGAAAATTCACCAAATTGTATTGTCTGTGGAAAAGTTGAAGATGTACAGCATCTATTGATGGAATGTGATAGCAACCGAAGGGGAAGGGAAACATTTTTAAAAACATTTAATATTAATAAATATGATGTGGGGATTGTTCAGAGCATAATGCATGCTCCTACTACCAAAATTGCTTTGTGCTTAAGTGAATTAATAAGTAGCATTGTTTAGTTATATTTATAATAGTAGATAACTTGTTTATATTTTATGGGATTGACATGCTAAAAAACAAAAATCCCAATTTAAACGTAGATTAAAAAAAAAAGTATCTCCTTTTATAAAATAGGTTACTAACATCGGCAAGAGCTGGTGGATCATCACCAGCTTCTATGAGCAGCACGGTCCAATCAGAGATTTCTGTGAGCCTGTTAGCCAGCACGCAGCCTGCTGTACCACCTCCCACCACAATGAAGTCAAAACTCTGGCCATCTGGAAGTATATTAATTTTAGTGAGATAAATATTCAATCAATCAAGGTCGTCTGTAAGGAGTGGAGTAATGGCGGACCCCTATGCCCTGGCTTCCACTCTGGAGGCGACTACCCCCGGGTCTCTGGATTGGAGCTCTTCCCTACTTTTTTTTTAATGGATGAGCGTATACCAATGACGCCGGCGTTATTGATATACGCTGTCGGGGCACCAGTGAGGGATGATAGATGACGATGAAAGCAGGTCAGTTAGCCCATCATGACGAATTCCACTAGAATTAATCATGATGGTTTCCAGGGGGAACCACGTGAAAGTCGACCTGATAAGGTGTGTTGCTAGCAATGGGCAGTCAGACCCCGTTACTAACAATTCCTTTTCCCCCAGATCTTCTCTACTAGGTGAGGCGTGGTCATATTAGCCTGGCATAGAATAGGCCATTTCTTTCTTTCCCGTGGTGTCGTAAAAGCCGACTAAGGGAAAGCGAGGAATGGGCTGCAGCGTCGTTCTTAAAACATCACCAAAAGCTAAACTTCAGTTGCTAACCCACTTGCCAAGCGTGGTAACTACTGGCAGCCAGCGTATACCGTTAGCGCAGACGGGGTTACCATTCCATTATCATCCCGTAAAAACCGCTTTCCATCAGATGGGCCGTATGCTCGTATGCTACCTTAGTTGTATAAAGATTCATGAAAAAAAAACTTTGTTCATTCATAACAAAACTCTTGTAAAAACAGATTAAATAATATAAAATTAATTTACTCCATATCAAATTTGTTGGAGTATTAGGTGTGTTTCACTAAAGGTCCAAAAATATTATTAATATTATTTATAGGTGGCAACTCTTGTATTATTTTTTTTATGATAGTGTGCGCTCTCTTGTCTGTGGTTCTCCCTTGTCCAACAGAAACTATATAATGTACAAGTGAGTTAAGAGAAAAATTAAATATTATAAAAATGTTGTCCGCTGCTTTTTATAAAAAAAAAAAAAAACCATCAAAATTTCACTACTTATTTATTCCCAGTATTGTAATTGATAACTTCATTGCAAAGTATCATATTTTTAAATAATCAAATACACAGGCAACTTTTATATTACCACCATAAAGTTGGTAAACAAGCACACAGCCCATCGTGAAGCAAACGAATCACTGTAGCCTATGTTATTATGTATATTGTTACAACTCCGTCGGTCATAAACCGATTTGGAAAATTATTTATTTATTTAAAATGTAATTAATGTGGCAAGGCCACTCAGGGTTTGTTGGAAGAGAACTCTCACAGAGTTTTTTTTTTTGATGGGTGAAAATGATATGGTAACCCCGCCTGCGCCAACGGGATACGCCGGCGGAGCACCAGTGAAGGGTGATAGATGAGAATGAAAACAGGCCAGTTAGCCCATCATGATGAATTCATCAGAAATTAACCATGATAGTTTCCAGGGGGAACCGCGAGGAGGTCGACCTGGTTGGGTATATTGCTAGCAATGGGATTCTCAGTCTCCATTACTAACAATCCCTTTCCCCCCACTCTCACAGAGTTAAGCTCGCCTGTTGTACATCTTTATTTAATTTATATGTTTGTAACTGTTTTTGTGTACAATAAAGTATAAATAAATAAATATTAGATTAGTCGCATAGAGATTTTATCAAATTTCAGTAGTTTAGTTGTTAAATTAAAATATCTGGTTTGTGGCAAACAAATGAAGTCGGTTTTTTGTGTAATACACTCTTAAATTAATATTATAAAGGTACGTAATAAATTAAGCATCTACCTACCAAGTTTCTCTCTAGTTTCAAATAAGAAAAAACAAACTGTTTGTAATTTTAGTAAATAAATTTTATGAAATTAATAAGGGAGTAAAACATAAATAAAATAATAAAATAACGTATAACATATGAACAAAATAAAACAAAAAATATCTTTTTGTAGCCTTTCAAAATTGGTTGCGAATATTCAAAACTTATAAATCAATTTGTAATCAACTATGGCTGTACGATTAGAGATGAATTAACTTACTGTGGACAGTAGCATGTTGTGGATAATCATTGTAACCTAGCGGCAAACTCGATACCAATATCAGGCCATATTGAAACAGTGTAATAACTGGCACTAACAACTTAATTTCTATATATGAAATAACGTATGTCGCAGTTTCTAAGAACATTATAATCTTTAGACAACTCGTTCCACGCAAACGTTTCTTTTGACTGTCGATCTGCTTCTGAATAAAAACTTATATCTACTCACATTTAGGGTTCCGCGTCGTGTGACAAAGGAGCGAGTTCGTGATAGGTTTTAATTTTTTTTTTAATAGAGTTCTAAAATAAAGAAGTACTCAATTTTATTTTTAATTTAATTTTAATAGTGAGACATACATTTCCTAAAGCATATAAATAATACATAAAACATATAAAACAGCCATAACATAAATCAGTGAAGTTATTATATATATATATATATATATATATATATATATATATATATATATATATATATATATATATATATATTGTTTGAAAAATGGTATAAAGGACGGTATATAATATTTATTTAAATATGGTTCACATTTTTCACCAGAATCTGGTTCATTCATACAAATTCATACAAAATTTATTTATTTGTGCTACTATAGTATCCTAATACTATTTTACTTATATCGTCATATTATATAAATGTCAACATATTTACGTATTAATAATAAATTATACAGGTTACAAATTACAATCATTTTACAAATTACAAATTACATTAATTGAGTCACATATTTAAGCTTTAAAATATTCAAAATATTCATTAACCGAGTAAAAACATTTTTCTATCAGCCATCTTTTTAGTTTTTTTTTAAATATATTCAAGGGTAGTGTTTTCATTTCGTCCGTTAATTTATTATAAATGCTTATTGTCATACAGTAGGCTATTCTGCTATACAAAGTTGTAGTTTTATAAGGTAGTACTAAGTTTTGAGGATTTCTTGTGTTAACATTACATAGATCACTTTTCTTTTTGAAATAAATGTAAATGTGTTTTCGCGAATATGCATACTTCATATATATATTTACATGGGACAGTAAGTATATTTAGTTCCTTGAATAATGATCGACAAGATGTACGCGAGTCAACGTTACAGATCGCCCTGATGCATTGTTTCTGTGATATGAGGGCACGGCTTGCATAATACGAGTTACCCCAAAGAAGTATAGCATATCTCCAAAATAGAGCTGACATAACCATGGTATGCCTGTAAAGCTGTTTCTTTATTGCTAATCCTTCTTAGTCGTCAGAGAGCAAACGTAAAAATTAATTTATTTTATTGCATAGTTTATCAATATGATCAGCCCAGGAACATTTATCACCCAATGAGACACCTAAAAAAGTTGTTTGTGAACTTTCTTTAATTGTATTGCCTGCAAAAGTTATATTCAGCGGTTGTTTTGTCCCGTTTTTATTAATAAATTGAGTCCAAAATATATATATATATATATATATATATATATATATATATATATATATATATATATATATATATATTTTTTTATTGACTTAAACAATATATGCGACGATTAGTTTAACAACTTGTTAGCAAGGGAGGACTTATCTCTGAAAGAGATCTCTAATTAGAAGATCTCTCTAGTTAGAGAGAAAATAATTTAATTTGGGTAATCCAGTGCAGGAAAGGTACCAGTGAAAATAATGTAAATACAACAAACACTATGTACACAATAAATAAATAAATACGTAAATAAGTAAATAGATAAATATATATGCATATGTATAAGTGCATAGAATTATCATGTACAATTGACTAAAAGATGTAGTTTTATTATAGATAATGTTTAAATTATTACTCTTTAGCCATTTTATTATTTTACTAATTGTTTCATTTATTTCATTATTATATGTTTCAGTATCATTCAAATTCAAATTCAAATTCAAAATTTGAATTTTGAATTTGAATTTGAATTTGAATCATTGCATGGTATCACAACGGACACGTCATCAGCAAACAGTGTACAGTCATACTGTGTAACATGGGGCAAATCGTTAACGTAAAGCAGGAATAACAAGGGTCCTAGAACACTACCTTGTGGTACGCCATTTTTGTTAAATTTTATGGATGATTTATTGATGTACCTGCTAATTTCCATGCTTGAGTCAAGTTTCGATATTTCTACGTATTGTTTTCTATTGGATAGATAACTGTTTATCCATTCCTTGACCAAAACTTATTCCATACATGTGATACAGACTAATTTTTTGTGGGACACTAATACATATATAATACATATACTAATACTAATGCATACAGGGACACATAATCCTCACAAAATTCTTTCAAAAAAGTTGATTCTTGTGTCGAAATATGACAAGAATACAATATACCTACAGACTCCACCTCTTTTTTGATGGTTTCTCGAATGTGACGTTTGAAAACGATATCCTGCAATATTTATATTACCTTCACTACCTTGTTTAATGAAAGTTTCACTAAAACATAATATATCGAACTCTTTATTCTTTTCTGATAATTCTACTTTTTAACTTTATTTTTTAATTTTTTAATGTAATTTCTATTAGTTCTTTTTTTGGCAAGTATTCCAGCGATGTTTTGATGAAAGACTCTCTCTCACACACACATGTTTACGTATTATTTAGTTTCTTTTGTTGTAACATATATATGAACGTAATATGTACACTGTGGTATGTGTGCTCCTGTATGTGTGCGTGCGTGCGTGCGTGCGTGCGTGCGTGTGTGTGTGTGTGTGTGTGTGTGTGTGTTTGTGTGTATGTGTGTATATATATATATATGTATGTATGTATATAAAATATGTATGTATATATATATATATATATATATATATATATATATATATATATATATATATATATATATATATATATATATATATATATATGTATATGATTATCCATGTGTTTGTATATTTACCTTTATAATTGTTAGCGTATAAGTTAAATAATTTTTTGTTGTATAAATTATATTGTGTTTACAAATTTGTTTAGCTGTGTGTTTATGTTTTGATCATGCTGTGTATGCCCATTTTTGGAGGGTTAGGGTTATAAATAAATATATAAAATTTCTATCATAATAATTGATGTCATATAAATCCAAAAAAAAAAATACAATTATCAAAATTCTTGCAACACATATTTATTAATTAATTAACTTTATTTTCATTCAAATGTATATTATTTTTTATGCCCAGTGCAATTACAGTTGCATTATTATGAACTTTTAGGAAGTAACTTAATTCCGCAAACAATTTACTGGGATTAGTATCACACTCTCCAATATTAACAATAATTTTATCATTTTTATTAGCATTCAATGTCTCAGTGGTTTTTAATATATCTTCACAACGTGCATTAGGCTTGATAAAAGAAATTATTTTGTAATTTTCGTATTTAGTGAATTTCCTAGAGCGGTATAGTGCTGATGCCATGATGAACAGATAACACCTTTATGTCCTCCGTTAAGAAGAACAGTGTTAGGAGCCAACTCGCCTGTACCCAGATTGTGTAGGATTCTGAATGCTCACAGCGATCAAATTGACATCAATTTTGGACCCACCAACAGCAGATATAGCTTATTGCGGAAAATCTTAGACATAAGTTCTTAATCTACTTATTATTCAGATAATCTTATTGTTATTGTTAATGATTTCTTAAATATTATAATAGTGCACGTGGTGTTCGCGTATAAAAGATTTTTACATTAGGCAAAGTTATTTTTTGTGTTATTAAGTTGCATGTAAAATCTAAAAGTTGTATGTGAACCTTATTAAATAAATAAATAAATGCCATTCCGCGACACTGTTGTCCCCCAATTATATATAATCTTATTTAATTCACGTTTAATATCTATATTTTCATGTGTGCTCGTTTTCTCATTTTGTATCTCTTCCTGTAACTTATTGTCATCTACTGAGTATTGTTCTACTTGTATATTTTTTTGAGTCTCGAACGTTTCTTGATAGTTATTCACAACTTCGTAATTTATTTTCTTTCTCTTATCTCTTTCTCTTATCGTGGATTTTGGTGTAGGTGTAATTCGACATATATTTCAAATCAAATCAAATCATTTATTGCACGAATATGGGTACATACATTAGATGAAAATAATAATTACATGCCCATTATTCCATATATATATATATATACAATATATATATATATATATATATATATATATATATATATATATATATATATATATATATAATATATCTCTGTGGATGGTTTTTTATAATAACTTATATAACAATAAAAATAATAATAATAAAATGTAAAAAATGACAATAAAAATAATTAAATTGCATGTCTAATATTTATCACTGTAATAGTCATGCAACGTATAGTAACATTTGGCTGTCAAATATTCTTTTGCTTTTTTCTTAAATACATTCAAACAGTTTATTTCCTTAAATGCTTTCGGGAATTTATTATATATTTTAGAGATATTTTGTAGATGTTTTAATTGATAAACATTTTCCGCTAATTGTTCTTTTAAAGTACTGTTCTCTAGTGACATATTTTCTATTTCAATATTAGCGCTTTCAAGTTTCAGTCCCAGGGTTTCTATTCGAAGTTTCAGGTCCTCTAATTCATACTTCATATTTACATTAAGTTCTGGACAGCTTCTGTTTAAAGTATAGCTAGAGATGGGCAATCCACCTGGGTGGGTTTAAAGTCTGGTGGGTAAAAACCGGGTGTTTTGGGTTTATTGGGTTTAAACCCCATAAACACCCAAATTTTTGGGTGTTTATGATTTTGTACTTCATCATCGTCATCTCAGCCGCAAGACGTCCACTATACTGGACATAGACAATATTATTATGCAGCCTACAGAATAAAAAACTTTTAATTTGATTTTGAGTTTATTAAGAAAGAGATGAAAGTAAAATGTAAAACTACAGTCAATCACTGTCAGATTCAGAGTTATTACAAGCGATGAATTGTATAGGTTCGATAGGCTCTATTTCGTCTAAACTGTTATGTTCATTTACTTGCTCAATGAAAGCTTCTAAGGTATTTTCTTCATTAAACTGAATGTCCTCGCATTCAGCTTTATGTTTAAGATTCCAGTTATAACAAATGAATGAAATTTTTTCAGTTCTTTCAGTTGTAAGTCGATTTCTTTTGTTATTATGTATGTAGCCTTGGATACTAAAGGAACGCTCAGTGGCTGCCGAAGTACAGGGAGCTGATAGAATACGAATCGCTACTTTGCTTAACTCAGTGGAACCACAAATACCTTTCCACCATATTAGGGGCTCAATGCTATCTAATGAGCTCCATACAAATCCTCTGGCCCAAAAGTTTTCTTTAGCTTTATAACACGCCAAATCTGCCATTACATTTGACAAACTTAAGTGTTGGCTTAAATTGTAGATAAATTCCATACCCTTAAGTTCTTCCTCTTGAGTAAGTTCGACTCCTAGAGTCCTGGGGTCTAGAATATATGCTGCAAAATGTATTGGCCTCATTGCCATATTGCATCTTGAAGATACTGATGTTAGAATCTGCTGTTTGCTTTCTTCGCTCAATGTCGAAATCTCATTTAATGCAAAACGTATCTTAGCTTGTACATCTCTAAATGTAATGTATGTGCGATGCAAACGATTCTGGTCGCTCTCTAAGTAAAATATGCTTTCAGTGACTGGTTCCAAAATACTTATACATTCCCCTGTCTTCGTCCAGAAATCATCACTTAGAATTAAATCTTTAATATCTCTTGAAATTACCACATCTTCTCTAACTGTTAATATTTGCAAAGCTATCTTATTTGCTTTCAAACTTTTTAACGAAGTAACATGACTTCCCCATCTTGTAGCACAAGGCAATTTTAGTGTTTGTGTAGAATCTTCACCCTGCCTTGATTTTATCAACAAGGAACTTAATCGTTGACTCCTTTTAACAGTTTTTATTATATTTATGGCTTGCATAATAAACACAGTTACTTCTTGTATCTTTACAATATCTTGGCACAACAAGTTAAGGATATGTGCACAGCAACCGAGAGGAACAACATGTGGATATTTGAGTTTTGTTAATTCGAATGCCTTTTGTATATTTCTAGCGTTATCGCCAATAAGTACAAGAAACTTATTTGCTCCATACACTTTCATTACTTTTTCAACTTCTTGGCTAAGGTATTCACTAGTGTGAGGATTACTTTCTGTATTCAAACTTTTAACGTATGCAGGTTGAGGTTTTGATATAAGAAAGTTTATTATTCCTTCATTTCTTAAATTAGACCAGCCATCGCACTGAAGGTGTAAGTAACTACAAGCATTTAGTTCCTCATTTAACTCAAAACGCATTTCTCTATATATTTTATCTAAGTATTTTGTCGCTAAAGCTTTACGTGAAGGTATTTTAAATTTTGGTTGCAATTTTTCGAAAAATTGTATCCATAAAGGATGTTGCACCATCGATAATGGCGTCCCTGTTACAAATATAGCTCTCGCTAATTCTGTTTTTATATGATCATCGGTGTCTTGAAACTCAGCATTTATTGTAGTGTTAGCAGACGACGAGGGGCTTATAAAAGAATCATTTGTCTCTATCTCTGACAGTCCAGACATTTTGGTTTTGGACGAGCTATCTTTTATAAGTTTCATAGAGTCTTTTAATGTTTCTGGAGATTTTGGACAAGTGATAAGATGTTGAAGCATTTTGGCAGCATTACTGAATTTGTAGACCTTATTACAAAGCTTGCAAGAAACAGACTTGTTTGGTAAAGTACGGTAGTGCTCCCATATGCGTAAATCTTTAGGTCTCCCCATTGAACCTAAAAAAATGAACGATGATTAGTTGGTCTGACGAAAATTCAACAATAGAGTGCCTATTTTTTTACAATGATTATTTCTTGTTATTTACAATAAATTTATTAAAAAAATAATAAAATAAATACAAAAAACCTTTGTAAAATTACATCTCCTCGGAGGATTAAACGCAGACGCTAGTTTATTATCGTATTGTTCTGTATTTTTCTCAGCAACTTCTTTAATTCGATTAGGTACTTACGCATATTATGTTAAAAATAAATATCTAGTACACATCTTAGGCTATCCACCATTATTATCCAATGACGACTCTCAGCTAACTATGCACTATCATCCAAAATAAACGTGTATGGAAAATTTTATCCCAGTCGGTTGAGGATTGAGGATAATTGCATCAACATACGAACATACCTACATACTTTTATTTACATAACGCAAGCTAAATAAAAGCTTGTAATAATACATCTAATTTTAAGTTAAAATTGTTAAGTGATCATGATATAATTGTATCATTCAAAAATCCACTTACCTTTAATTATTTCTTGTTAAGTATAAATATTATTTCAAATCTGCTCCCTTAATATGCACTTTTTTACTGCTTTTCCTACCTAACACGTTACCAGGAAGTCACGTTACCAGAGTCAGAGTAATAGTGAACACGTTTGACAGTGATTGTCGTCGCCTCATATTCAGCGTCGACGAATAGGGGAATCCCCAGTCATAATGTATTGCATGCGTGGCGGTCTTACTTCAAATCCATAAACAAAGAGATAATTACAGAACTCGATACTAGATGGCGCTGTTTTTGTTTGAAGAAAGTTTGCGGGCTAAAATACATAGAATTTCATCAATGACTTCCACAAAGAACAACATTTCTGTTTTTTCTAAGTCCGTATCTCTTCCGTATATTTCATAAGATATAAGCTTGGGCTACATTGTTATGCAACGTGATTTTGTCGCTGTCTTGCTAGCAGGGTTGACAGATATACGATTTAAATCGTACTCATACTATTATTTGTCTATTTTTTAATGTACGATCGTAAAGATTATGATCGTAATTCGCACAAAAACATACGACTTTTTGGTTACCTGGCAACATTTTTATTATGAAACGAACATGCTCACATCATCAGTCACATGCAACAATTTATTGGGGATTTCCCCTTCACATCTGGCAGTCCTGCTTGCTAGAATATAGGTAAGTCAGCCACAGTTACTGACGATCGATATTTAAAGGGTATTGTTTTTGTGCTAAATATTTCATAAAAACGTTATTTAATACTTTGTGGATTATTAATTTAGTTGATAATCACTGGAAGTAAAATGGATGCTAATTTGAGAGATCAAGATCTTCGTATAAAACAGTTAATAAAAGAAAATCTACGTAAGTACTCTTTTTATACCTAGGTAGGTAAGGTATAATAAACACAAAAGGTACTTAGATCGCGTGTGTTCGAAGCATTTATTCTAATAAATTTAATTTAAAATTGTAGAAAGAAAAAAATGTCTGCCAAGCCGTAGCCGAAGCCGATCTCCAAATATATTTGGCGATAGTGAGACCCAGTGTCCAGATGATTTACCCAGCGTCGTCGCAACAAAGAAAAAAACGAGGATAAAGTAAAAGAAAATTTACTGAAAGAAGAAACAAACTGTTCTAAATGCTTAATTTATGGAGAAGAGGATAAAAGAAATGAGTATTTCGGACTGTTAGTGGCTCAAGAATTTAAATATATACGGCCATGTGTGCGAACGAGGTGTTATGAAGAAATTTTAAAGTATCTACGGGAAGCAAAAGGCCAACATGTTGATCAACTGCAACATGAAAACACTGAAAATTAATTACTTTCATTTTATTATATATAGATTTTTAAAATTTCCTGAAATATTATTAGTTAACGTTTTATTTAATATTGTAGAATTGATCAATACAATTTATAAAAATAATTTATTGGTATTACTTACATATTTTCAAAAAAATACGTAAAAACCTATTTTTTTGGGTGATTATGGGAGTTTATGGGTGTTTATTGGGTTTTTACCAAAGCACCGGGTTTAAACCCGGTGCTTTGCCCATCTGTAAGTATAGCTCCTATAATTAGATCAATCTGTTCGAACGTCGACCTGATAGCGTATATTGCTAGCAATAGGGCTGTTAAGTCCCCATTACTAATAATCTCTTCTCCCCGAATGCGACCGTTTAGGTTCCAGCGTGTGAGGATGAATTTTTATTTAAAAAAGTAGTAATTTAGCTTTATATATTTAATGGCTAGGGTAGAAAAAAAACCTATGTTCTTCTCAATTCCATATAGTACACGGATACCTTTCATAGTGACTAGTGATGCCGTTGATTAGAAGACATTAGATCCTACCAAGCGGTAACCAACTTTGTTGGAGTGTTTTTAGAGAGTAAATTATTTATGATGTATTTGAAAAAAAAAAAATTAACCCTGTTATTGCAGGCGTATGTAGACTAGTGTAATGGCTCACTATCTCCTATTTCTAGCGATATATTCTGTCAGGTCGACGTCCACGTGGGCACCCCTGGAAGCCATTTTGGATTATCATATCACATCGCAATGTATTAGTGAAAACTGCGTTCAAATCGGTTAAGCCATTTCTGAACATTTTAGAACTGTTTAGAAATTTGAACATAGATTAGCGTGAACAAACGTACAGACAAGCAGAAAAAAATTCTAAAAATCATTGTTTATATCATCATCCAATCATGGGTTCTATTGCGTTCATAAAGCTCACCCTGGAATATTTTTTCTTATATATCTTCCCTGTACAGACAGCGATCAGTTACGATTTTATTGTATGTATTGATTGATAACACAAGTGCTCTAATGAAAGATGCGTGATGGAGCAAATTTGTTTTAGCCTCAGGTACTGCAAATAACACGTGACCTCTAGCACGAGTATATTTGTCTGGAGCAAAAAAGTTTACGTTAACTAATATAGCAGAATTTTCAATCATCTAATTGAACATACAAGCAATTCGTCATAATCATTTCGGCCATTATACGTCCACTGCTGGACATGGGCCTCCCTCATAGACCGCTACAAAGAACGGTCCTGAGCCACTTGCATTCACTGACTCCATGCAATGCATTTGAGGTCGTCACTCCATCTAGCGGAGGTTTTTTTTTATATACAACTTAGAATGGCAAACAAACTGACGGCCCACCTGATGGAAAGTGGTAACCGTCGCCTATAGACATGAGCAGTATTATGGACATAACAGAGTATACTGTTTCCCCCATGATACCCCCCATGCGTTTCCATTCCTGAGGACTCAGATGTTATTCCTCTGTACCCTGTAAATTCACGCCATATCCCACCCTTCAAATCGAAACACAGCCATGCAAACACAACTGCTTCACGGTAGAAACACGAATGGGAAAGAGGTACCCAAGCAAACGACTTTTGTACAAAGTCTCCCTCTGGTAAATTTCACCACAAAATCGAAAACGTAACGTAACTCTGCTTCTACTAAAGAAATACAGATTCGGTTACTTTCCTTGCTCCATCATGCTGAATACGCGCTCGCGTAAAGCATTAGAGACAGGAATGGAAAGAACAAACGTGACTATATTTTCTAATTCAGGGCAGGGTTACAGTGTGTATTATTGTTACGGTATTTCAAACTGTATTCAAAATGTATTGCACTTAATTAATAGTCGTATTCCTGAAAGTCGGACTCTAAATTTATTTTATTTAGTTACGTCATCTAGAAGTATTGTTTTTTTTTTTATTTCGAAATCCATGCGTATATAATCGCGGACATACGCTATTATCAAATCAGAAACAATTTAAATGCAAATAGGCTTAAATATTTTATTTAATAAAACCATTTAATAATGATAATTTCAATTAAAGAGGGGCAAAGTGGCGCAAATTAAATATAATTAGGGTTATATCTCATAAAAATATAATATATTTTACATAAATAATATTTCTTGGTATATATCGTCACGTTATATGTTAATTATAAGATTGAAATAAAATTATGTACTTACATTAACCTCTTTGTTACGTCAAACATTTAATAAACCTATTATGAAATGACAAAATACACTACCGGTGCAGTAATTGATGAAGGATTATTCGTCATCGTCATTTCAGCCTTTAACTTTTACCAGAGGGAGACTTTGTACAATAGTCGATTGCTTGGGTACATCTATCCCATTCGTGTTTCAACCGTGAAGCAGTTGTGTTTGCATAGCTGTGTTTCGGTTTGAAGGGTGGGATATGGCGTGAATTTACTGGGTACAGAGGAATAACACCTGAGTCCTCAGGAATGGCAACGCATGGGGGTATCATGGGCGAAACAGTATACTCTGTTATGTCCATGGTACTGCTCATGTCTATAGGCGACGGTTACCACTTTCCATCAGGTGGGCCCTCAGCTTGTTTGCCATTCTAAGTTGTATAAAAAAAAAGCCTTTAACTGTCCACTGCTGAACATAAGCCTCTCCCTAGAGGGGTTTTGCCAGTAGTTGCCACGCTTGGTAGGCGGATTGGCAATCGCAATTAGACTTTAGAGTTGTTTAAGGAGGGACGCTGCTGCCCATCCCTCGCACTCCCTTAGTCCTCCCTTCCAGAGAACTCAACTGAATGAATTATTTACATTACCGAAAAATGTTTTAATGTAAATTATATGGAGTCTTCTCTAACACTGGCATTGGCAAAAAATCACCGCTGTCACTTCGGTGGCAGCCATTAAAAAAAAAGGAGAAAAGAAAGATAGGGAAAAACAGAATTTTCATCGTGCCTCCGATCAAACTGTTTATAATTACTCCTCTTCATACAAACGTTGCCTGCAAGAGACCGCTTTAAACGATAAGACCGTCCAATGTTTTATCACTATGGTCATTTCTTGTAACTGTTTGTATCTATAATAAGTTTACTGTTGTAATCTTTTGGAGGAAACAATAAAGAGTATCTATCTATCTATGAAATCTAATTTGCTAGAGAAGGCTATAGGCTATTTTTAAACGATTACGAGGACGAAGTCGTCGGTAAAAGCTAGTCTCAGTATAAGTAACAGTACTGTTGTGAAACATCTTTATATTTCAATATTTTTCTGTCAATGACGAATATTTTTAATTTTTCTTGATGTTCTTTGTTAAGGCATTGAATTAAGTTATTAAAAAAAATACTGAATTTACCACCTACTATTTTTCTTCACTGTTTGCTTTGAAACCTAATTTTTATTTTATTTCTATTAATCGGATTACTCACAAATACTATTTAATTGATTAGATATATCAAGTGCAATTATATGCGCGCTTATGTAAGTAACGGATGGCCCTAAGGAATTATCAATAATTTTTTTAATAATTAATATGACATATTACTGATATTTGTTTTTTATTAACATCTTAGATTGTTACAATGTTGCAATAGAATTTATCAGTTAAGTACACTTATTTGTTATATGTCATATGTAAAAAGTTGATAAGTAATCAATGGCTTAGATAAATAATTGATATTAATGAGGATGTTGGTGGAGTTTTTAATTTTTTTTTTAAATATTTTATTTAAAACCTATTTGTACCTATAGAAATAGTTTGCCTATGTTCTATAAAAAAACTGACTTCAATCGTGGTAAAACCTTTGATACTAATCCGTGGTATTTTGATTTACCAGTTCCTTCACGGTTGCGCGTAATGCCCCTGGCTTTCCGTCACGGGGGGGCTGTAGGCTTGCTTGTTACCTTAGTGGTATAAAAAAAAAACTACAGGACCGATTTGAATAAAATTTCTATGGCACCAATCTGTAAGCATATATTTTCAGATAAAAAAATTCAAACCGGTTTATAAATTAAGAATTTGTGAGATAACAAGCATAAATAATATAATCGAATAGAGAACCTCTTCTTTTTTTAATATAAAAAAAAAAGAAACGGGACCAGAGGTATTGGAAAAGTACAGGGGTATTGAATAATAGTGATTCATCTAAGGCAGATTATCTTTAATCTATGTTACGTAAGCCTGTATCCTTGGCACTGATTTTTTTATAGGATTAAAATGAAATAGTAATCTCGCCAGCGCCATCAGTATCTACGTATAATTTAAGAAAAAGAAATTACAAAAACCTTTCTCAAGCTAACAAATACAAAAAGATTTCTATCAAATCCGTCTGGAAATTTCAGAGATTACTTCGTTCAAACAGTCTTCGGCTTTATTACATTAGTACCTTATTAATAGGTATAGATAACGTAGGCAGTTTATTAGGTACACAAAATAACAGGGAATGTAGGTTAAGGTTTCTTATTTGTTTGTTTTGTGTCTATAATTATATATTTGTTCTAGTATTAGGTACATATTTAATATATATGTTTGTGTTTATATATACGGCATTCAAAATGTGGACATGGAGGAGAATGGAAAGGATAAGTTGGACAGAAAAGTAGCGAATTAGGAAGTCCTGAAAGGTGTAAATGAGAAAATAACAATAAAAACAATAGAGAATAGGAGAGGTAAAATGCTGGACCACCTTATACGACATGACGATTTTTAATGAGCGTAGTAGAAGAAAAAATAGAGGGTAAAAGAGGAAGGGCAAGATCGAGGAATAACTATACGGGACAGATAAAAAAACACTAGGTGTCTTATCGTATAGGGAGGTCAAAGATATGGCCTGGAAATAAAATGCATGAATTTGTTGCACCAACAAGAGGAACTGAAAAGAAGAGGAGGAGGTTTATATGTATATATAGTTAATAATTTTGTTTTTAAATTTATTTTATTTATTTATTTCTATTTATAATTATTTTACTTAAAGTCTTACGCACTTATTCTAAAGTTGTTTAATTATACAATATCATCATACCCATTTGTATAACAATTAAGTTTAAAGTTGTCTTGAAATGATTGCACTTAGCAATACAACTGCCTTACTGTACTCATACAACTGTATCGTTGTATTTATTGCATATTCCCTATATTGTATAATGCAAATAGATAAAATATACCCATGAATTTATTCATTAACGTTGCAGGTAGATTGGCAACCGCAGTTTGGCTTTAGAGACGTTTTAAGAGGGACGCTGCTGCCCATCCCTCGCCCTCCTTAGTCGCCTCTTACGACACCCACGAGAAAAGTAGGGGTGACCCATTCTATGCCGGGACCACACGGCTATAAAGGCTTGTTTGTCACCTTTGTGGTATAAAAAACGGAAACGCATATATAGATACGGATATATTGCTAGCAATGACGCTGTTAGACTTCATTACTAACAATCCCTTTCTCCCTTACTTGCTGTGATTGGTACCTACTAAGGGTATCAAATAATTTAAGATTTTTCTTTAACTTTATATGCAACTTAGAATATCAAAAAAGTTAATGGCTAATGATATTAAGATATGAAATCTCTTTTCATTAAATTTATGGAAATATTTACAAATCCGAACAAATTTATTTAAAATCGAAATAATTCATACTATATTATGAATGGAATAGTCACAGCATAGAAAGAAAATGCCCGGTACTATGCTTTATCTATGAATCATTTGTCTGATCATTTGTATAATTCATCAATTAAATTTTACCGTTTTGGTGAACATAATAGGTACTAGATATATCTATTTTTGTCGTGCATATTAAAATCAGCATTGGCAATAATTTAAATAAATAAAGATTTTTTTGTATATGGAAATTTAAATTGACAAAAAATTTGTGACGCTGGCCAAATTCAAAATCACGACTAAGAGTATGGTATTCAATATCAATACGCAGTCCCTTTATCGGTGACCAATTTATCTATTATAGTAAAATAACTAGTGTCTCACAATTTTGTTATAAATTTAACTTCGTCTTCATTGGAGCCCATGTGTGAGGCTAGGTTTATAATAATTTTGACTTTTGATTTTCTAATAGATTTCTATTAGAAAAATTGTTCATATTCGTTCTTACAATAAAGATTTTGTTGTAACATGAAATTGAAGTTTTAATCTATTCCATTGTTGTATACGGCGACTATAACAATAATAGAATTATGCATGTAACGGAATAACTCACACTCTGACAGTTGTCAGTGTTACAGTTTAAAAACATATTTCCATTAAATTCAGGATAATTATATTTAGTGTCGTTTAGAACGAGTACTCAGTATATAATTTTAATCATATTATTAGATTCAATTAAATTTAATGAAAAATGTGTTCAGTTATGTAGTCAATCTCTTTGAAAAATAGAAATAATAATTAATTTATTATCTATTAAAATAATAAGTATTTATATAATACCTATTTTTTTGATAGATGATAATTGTAGAAAGATATTATTTTTTATTAAGTATGCTATATAGTCAACATTATTAAAAAAATGGTCTCGTCATTCGAGTGATCGGCTCGAATCACCTACGTATGTGTTGACTCATACATGAAAAACTCCCAATGAAAAATTTTTGTGATAAATAGAAGTAGTAAAGTGAATAAGTATAATCAGTAGTCGAACGATTTTTGAATAATTCGAATGAAAAGCTCAGTCGAATAATTAGTAGTTGTATTAGTAAATTTGCGCATTGCTAGCTGATACTCATTCGGTCTTCTCTACTATCATAAACATTCATGAGAACATCTAAGCTTTAATAAAATAACATAGGTTACATATATTATGTAGGGCTCCTGCCCTACCTACGTTGATTTACCTTCATTGGCGCCTAGGGCTCTTGGTTTATAAATATAAAAATATATTAGGGTAAATTAATACTGCGGATAAGGTAAAGTAAAATTAATCTGACAACACTGACAGGCCCAATAAACAATATGACTGATCTGTGATTGAATGGCTCATTCTCATCTCAAATTATTTTGTTGTTTAAAAATTCTTTGAAAATATGGTGTAAATCCGAATACTTTTTACGACACCTACCCTCCATTTTCACATTTTGAGAGTATCGCATATTGCTCGCAGTGAAAAGATGTCGTCGAGTTCTGTGGAGGAAATTACGGACCAATCCAATGTGAGTATATTTAATTGTTTGCTTTGTTGTCTTTATTCTTCTTTTCGTAGTTGCATTATCCAGTGATCCAATATTCGATGAATGGTTATTTTTTGGATTTTCGTACTTGCTTTAAATTTAATTCTAATAGTTATCGTCTGTTCAACAATGTAAATATTGTTTACTAATTGCGTCATAATTCTATTGCTTTGAACTAACTAGAGCTTCGCATGGCATTATTAGTAAACATATATTTAGATGTAGGTTCTCTTTATCTGTTAGCCATAAAATAATTATGTATTTTTTTTAAGTAGGTACATTGAGATTCCTTTATTAATGTATACAGATATACAGTCACCAATGCGAATTAATGGTTCCAAATTCGAAAATAATCAAGAAATGTTTTTTTTTTATGTTTCTTTGTTGTGAATGTAGTTTAAATAGGTTTTTTTTTTTTTTTTTTTTTTTAATATTATTCTACTGTGATTTGGGTACTGTATTATTATAACTATTTTTTACTTCTATACTGTTTGCTTAACTTCCCAGGATCTATTCACACAAGATGGTGTACTGCTCAAAGCCTGCAGCGGCCGACCAGTCAATGAACTCAACTCTATCGGTATGCTGTGCATTGTGCAGAACTCAGATGGCACTAAGAGCATTGAGTGGCGGCCAAGTGATATAATCACAGTGTGTGCTGTCCAGGAGCAAGATTGGGCGCTTGTTAATGCCATTGGTAAGTTATAAGGTTTGTTTGTTCGTAACTTTGTTCATCTAGGATATGTTCACTGACTGAGGTAAAAAGTAGTAGATTTGCAAAATTGTTTTTTTATCTGAAAAGATATACTTACAGATTAATTCCATAGAAATTTTTATTAAAATCCATTCACAGTTAGTTTAGATTTTAAATCAAAATGACTGGTGATGGGACAATTGAAGATGATGTTTTTTTTGTGGAGTACAATCTTAAATAATTATTTTTTAATCTATTTCTTATCTTATTTCTATTCCTTGGACCGGTAGGACGTCGTCAACGAACATTCAGTGGAAACTTAACAGCGGACTATGCTACGGCTAGAGCGCGCATCATCAGAATGCCATTGAATGAACTTAAAATCTTCCGTGTCACTAACAGAAACCAACAGATGAGTTTCTCTAACAAAGTCGGTGTGTGGCAGTCGACATTCTTCTTCCAACATGGAAACGCGGAAGTGTTTATAGCATATCTGAAAAGTCATGTGAAAACGGCCAAATCGAGCCGTGATAGGAACACATATTTGGTTGTGGAGCCCACAGATGAGACACGTGCATTGAATCGTTCGTTCACCGAATTGGATATATTTCAAGAGAATACAACAGACGTGGTCTGGAATATAGTGAGCAATCTTAAGGAGAGACCATACGAGACTACAATGGAGGCGTTTTCGAAACTCTCAAGCATTGGTATGTCTAGTTATCCTTTTTTTCTTGTCATTTACTCCTTGGCTTTGTGCTGGAGAATTTCAGTACCTCATTATCTGTAATAAGCTGCTGTGTGGTCCCGGCATAGAATAGACCACCCCTTCCTTTCTCGTGGGTGTCTTAAAAGGCGATTAATGGAACTTAATGGTCCAGGATTGGGCAGCAGCGTCCCTCTTAGAACATCACCAGACCCTAACTGCGGTTCCCATTGCGCCTGTCAAACGGGAGATTTTTTTTAATGGATGATATGGTAACCCCACCCGCGCTATCGGTATATACCGGCGGGGTACCAGTGAAGGATCATAGGTGAGGATGAAGTAGGTCAGCTAGCCCATAGTGACGAATTCAACAAGAAGTGTTCACGATGGTTTCCAGGGGGAATCCATGTCGACCTAATAAGGCGTATTGCTAGCAATGGTCCTGTTAAACTTTATTGCTAGCAGTGCTGGTCCTCAGGGACCGACGCTGGCCACACGGAAAGTTCGCTGCCGGTCCCCAGGGACCGGTGCCGGGCCCAACGTGTTAATAGTGATATTAGAACTGTATTTCTTTAATGTGTGAGAATGGAGTAACCCCGTCTGTGTTATCGGTATACGCTGGCGGAGCATCAGCGAGGGGTAGTTGATAGGTGAGGATGAAAACAGTCAGGGTCACGTAGCCCATCGTGACGAATTCCATAAGAATTAACCACGATGTATTCCCGGGGTAACCGCATGGAGGTCGACCTGATAGGGTATATTGGTAGCAGTGGGGCTGTTAGACCCCATTATTAACAATGTCTTTTCCCACTGTAGGACTGGATTACAACTCGGGATCGCAACTTTGTAAGTAGATAGCGCTTCGTTATAAAACGATTTATTGCTTCACGAACAAAAATGGCAGTTTTGTTTTTAAAAGTTGAATAAGCACACATTTTATTTTAATGTAAAAGTTACCGTTTGTAAATTGATTGAGAAAGCTCGATTAGTTTCGGGACCAGTTTGTGACCCTTAATCATGAGCGGCTGTGATGCGAGCGCGAGCCTAACTGCGCGTCTCGGCCCGAAACTAGTCGAGTTTTCTCGATCTATTTACACTTTAATTTAATTAAAACCGGTAATTGTTGCATTGAAAATGGCAAATAAGAAATTATTTTGGGACCAATACAGCAATCCTACAGATTATAAGCACAATGGTGCGAGCTTGAATTGTATATTTATTTGCGTTACATATTCACAAAAACAATTTTGCTACATTCTGAATTCTAAAATTTGAAAGTCATTTATAAAAATTTTTTATTTATTAAATAGGGACATAATTAAATTATTGCCGTGTGGTCCCGGCGTAGAATGGGCCACATCTTTCTTTCTCTTTCCCTTGGGCGTCGTAAGAGGCGACTAAGGGAACTTATTGGTCGAGGGATAGGCAGCAGCGTCCTTTAAACATAACCAAAGCCTAAATTCGGCGGGTTGGTACTGCTTGCCAAGCGTGGCAACTACTAGCAAAACCCCCCTTATGAGAGAGGGCTATGTTTAGAAGTGGACAGTTAATGGGAGATATAATAGTAATGTACATATAGTTAGATTAATTGATTTAAAATTTTAAACGTGATTAATTAACGTAGAAGCTTGCTTTTATTGTATTATTTTAAACTAGCGGCCCGTCCCGGCTTCGTACATGTGGACATTTCTACAATTTAAAAAGTGGCCATTAAGGCTGCACACGCAATGGATGCTTAAAAATGGAGTAACTTCTCCCGTTTTCCCAACATTTTCCTTTACTGCTCTTCTCCTATTGATAGTAGCGTGATGAAAAGTATACTGTAACCTGCCCTGAAGAATAATTGTACCAAGTTTCGTTAAAATCCGTCGAGTAATTTTTGTTTCTATAACGAACATACAGACAGACAGACAGACAAAAATTTTACTAATTGCATTTTTGGCAACAGTGTCGATCACTAATTTCTCCATTCACGCCATATCCCACTCTTCAAACCGAAACACAGCCATGCAAACACAACTGCTTCACAGTAGAAACACGAATGGGACAGAGGTACTCAAGCAATCGACTTTTGTACAAAGTCTCTCTCTGGTCTGATCTCTCCCGCCTGCAACACCAGGGGTGTCGCGTGCGCGTTGTCGACCCCGAAGGAATCTTAACATACACTTTGTGAAGAACCCCACACAGTAGTGTCTAGGGAAAACCTAGTTTAGTTTTGAAATAAAAATAACTTGTTTTCCCACCATCGAATTTAATTTTTTTTGCGAAACAATCTTAAATGATTGATGAAAGGTTCTTGAGTCGTCCTCGTACTGGCAAACGCAGTGTAAGACGACTTCCTACTAAATGGAACGACGATCTCATACACATTGCAGGGAATCAGTGGATACAGGTGGCTCATAACCTTTCCTTATGGTGGTTTATGGTGGCTTAATAGATTTAAGCAGATAACGGCTGATGTGATGATGAATCGTTGGTCATTCATTCAAGATCATTGGCATTAAATTATTCAGTGTACTACGGCAATGAGGCGTCGAGCAAACGCGACGTGTCCGAGGAGGTGGCTGATTTGCTCACGAAGAGCATGGTCGCGGCGGAGGAGGCGCACTCGGTGACCAAGAGCGATGAGTACGAAGTCATCAGCATGAAGCCCACGCTGCCACCGAGACCCAGTATACCCAGGTAAGATTTGTTAATTTTTTTAAGTCCGAGGTAAACGAGCATATTACCAGAGGGAGACTTTGTGCAAAAGTCGATTGCTTGAGTACCTCTGTCCCATTCGTGTTTCAACCGTGAAGCAGTTGTGTTTGCATGGCTGTGTTTCGGTTTGAAGGGTGGATATGGCGTGAATTTACTGGGTACAGAGGAATAACACCTGAGTCCCCAGGAATGGCAACGCATGGGGGGTACCATGAGCGAAACAGTATACTCTGTTATGTCCATGGTACTGCTCATGTCTATAAGCGACGATTACCACTTTCCATCAGGTGGGCCGTCAGTTTGTTTGTAATTCTAAGTTTGTATAAAAAAAATATTGCTCACCTGACGGTAAGTAAGTATCGCCGCCCATGATCACCCACAACACCAGAGGTGTGCAGGTGTGCTGCCGGCATTTTGTAAAGAATTATTAAAAAGTAAAAAAGTAGATTATAGTTATTATTTAACTCTTTATTGTACTATAAACAAAAATATACAACACCAGAGGCATTTGCACCTGGATACCAGCTTGGTCCTCTTGACTCGACTCAAAGAGGGGTTATGAGAATTGTTGGCGATCCCAAACTCACGAGGCTGTATCGAGCTCTTAAGTCTAAGGCGAGACTTTGCCTCCTTTTGTGTGTTCTACCGCTTGTATAACGGATTGTGTTCTGAGGAATTGTCTGAAATGATGCCTACAGCCACCTTTTATCATCGCACCGCTCGCCATCGACAGGGAATTCATCCTCACACGCTTGAGCCTAAATGGTCACGTACAGTGCAGATTTAGAGAAATTTTCTCCTGCGAACGTTCAGACTGTGGAACGAGCTCCTTGCCGACGTTTTCCCTAGAGACTACGGTATGGGGTTCTTCAAAAAGGATATATTAAAGTTGCTTCACGGTTGGCAATGCGCACGTGACACCCCTGTAGGCGGGGGTAAGGGATTGTTAGTAATGGAGATTGAGAATCCCATTGCTAGCAATATACCCAACCAGGTCGCCCTCCTCGCGGTTGACCCCTGGAAACTATCATGGTTAATTCCTGATGAATTCATCATGATGGGCTAACTGGCCTGTTTATGAAATCATCCCATGGTGATGATCACCCTTCACTGGTGGGGCACCAGTGAAGGGTGAGGGCCAGCGTATCTCGTTAGCGCAGGCGCGGTTACTATTCCATTTTCTACCAATAAAAAAAAAACCCTGTAGGCGTCCATAGGTTACAATTAAATAGAGTAATACTCTTTGTTGTTTCCTTCATAAGATTACAATAGTAAACTTATTATAAATACAAACAATTACAAGAAATAATCACAATGTGAAAACAATGGGCGTCCTTATCGCTAAGAGCAATCTCTTCCAAGCGACCTTTGGATGGAGATGAGTAATTATAAACTGTTTGATTGGAAAAATTCTTTTTTTTATCTGAAAGGATACTCTTACAGAATGGTTTTTTTGAAATTTAATCAAAATCGGTTCAGCAGTTTAATTTTTAGATCAAAATAACTGATTTTGTTATAATTGAAGTTAGTTTTTGTTATGGGATGCAACCTTTAATTATTGGGGGGAAAGGAATTGTTAGTAATGGGGTCTAATTTGCCCATTACTAGTACACCTTATCAGGTCGACCACCACGCGGTGCCCCCTGGAAACTATCGTGGTTAATTCTAGTGGAATTCATCACGATGGGCTAACGGACCTGCTTTCATCCTCACCTATCTTCGCTCACTGGTGCCTCGTCAGCGTATACTGGCAGGTGGGGATACCATTTTATTGTAACCCTTAAAAAAAACTTTAATTATTCATATGCCTGTTATTAGTCAATATAAGAGTAAATAATAGAAGATAATCACATATTACCAGAGGGAGACTTTGTACAAAAGTCGATTGCTTGGATACCTCTGTCCCATTCGTGTTTCAATCGTGAAGCAGTTGTGTTTGCATGGCTGTGTTTCGGTTTGAAGGGTGGGATATGGCGTGAATTTACTGGATACAGAGGAATAACATCTGAGTCCTCAGGAATGGCAACGCATGGGGGATATTATGGGCGAAGTATACTCTGTTATGTCCATGGTACTGCTCATGTCTATAGGCGACAGTTACCACTTTCCATCCGGTGGGCCGTCAGCTTGTTTGCCATTCTAAGTTGTATAAAAAAAAACTGATATTATGGTGGATTTAGAAATAATGCTCCCCATCAAATTTGGTCTCGTTTGTGTTGACAAAAGCTGTTCACAGTCTTATAGAGCCTGATGCCCATAACAAGGTCTTACATATAAAAGCTTTGTCTGTTACAGAAGCACACCATTGTCTCAGGAAAAGTGGGAAGGTTTGCAGGACACGTTGGGTCGCGTCACAGAGATGGATGGCGTCAAGCAACTCATCTTTAGAGGGGTAAGTCAAGAATCTTTATAAACATACTAGCTTTTGACCGAGACAGAAACCTATATCTTTTTCCATCCACTGTACTATGTAAATCAAATTTTATAGTGATTGGTTAAGCGTTAAGGTGCTATATGGTCACAGGTCTGTGTTTAGGTATGAACGGTGGGATATGGCAGTGAATTTACAGGGTACAGAGGAATAACACCTGGAGTCCTCAAGAATGGCAACGTATAGGGGGTACCATGGGGAAAACAGTATACTCTGTTATGTCCATGGTACTGTCCATGTCTATAGGCGACGGCTACCGTTTTCCATCAGATGGGCTGTCAGTTTGTTTGCCATTCTAAGTTGCATAAAAAAATAAAATAAACTAAACTCACTTTCACATTTATAATATTAGGATGAAGCAGGCAGAGAGTATACTGGAAAACATGTTAAAATTATACTCAAATATTTCAGGGAGTAGCACATTCCATTAGAAAGCAAGTATGGAAATATCTTCTAGATTATTATCCGTGGCACATGACCCATGCTGAGTTGAAGGCCCTCCAGAAGAAGAGAACAGACGAGTATTACTGTATGAAGCTGCAGTGGAGGTCGATGACGGAAGGCCAAGAGAGCAGATTCACAGAGTACAGGGACAGGAAGAGTTTGGTAGAAAAGGATGTGAATAGAACGGACAGGACACACCCGTTCTTTGCCGGTGACAATAACCCAAACCTGGAGACCTTACAGGACATACTGATGACGTATGTCATGTACAACTTCGACCTGGGTTACGTACAAGGAATGAGTGATATATTAGCGCCATTGCTGTTGCTTATGGGCAACGAGGTGGATACTTTTTGGTGTTTTGTTGGATTCATGGAGAGGATCGTAAGTACTGCTTTTTAAACTTTAATTATTTTTAATACCATATCAGCTGTTAACTTTCCACTGCTGAATATAGGTCTCCCCCATAAGGGTTTTTTGTCAGTAGTTGCCACTCTTGGCAACCGCAGTTATGCTTCGGTGATGCTTTAAGAGAGCCACTGCTGCTCATCCCTCAACCATAAACTTTTCTTATTCATCTTTTACAATACCAACGGTAAAGGAATGGGTGGCCCATTCTATGGCAGAGCCATACGGCGAATTCCATTATTATTAAATTAATTTATATTAATTAAATGCAGGTGTATTCATCACGATGGGCTAACTGACCTGCTCTTTTATTCTCACCTATCATCCTTCACTGGTGCCCCGTTAGCGTATACCGTTACCGCAGACGGGGTTACCATTCTATTATCAATGTTAAAAGAAATCTGGTTCCCACCTTCCATGAGGTGGACTGCCAGTTTGTATGTACCCACCCTTAGTTATATAAAGTGCAATGTTGCACAGGCATCGAACTTCGATATGGACCAGGCAGGCATGAAGCACCAGCTACTGCAGTTGCAGCAACTGGTCATGTTCGCGAGCCCCGAGCTGGCGCAGCACCTCGCGCTCAAGGACTCCGGCAACATGTACTTCTGCTTCCGGTGGCTACTCGTCTGGTTCAAGCGGGAGTTCTCGCTTATTGATATTATGAGGTAAAGCAATTTTTTTTATATATATATATTTTTATATATATATTATTATAAATATTCAAAACTACAGAAAACAAGTTCTATTAGTGTTCAGAAACCACATAAACATATGTGGTTTCATTTCGGTATTAATGCTAAATATGTTGAGACTATTCAACTTGGATTTGATAAAAAAGAGAATTTTGAGAAAGAAAGAGTGAGTGAGAGTGAGAAAGAAGAGAGAGAGAGATAAAGAGGAGAGTGACAAAGAAGGGAGAGAGAGATAGAGAGAAAGAAGAGAGAGATAAAGAGGAGAGTGACAAAGGGAGAGAGAGATAGAGAGAAAGAAGAGAGAGATAAAGAGGAGAGTGACAAAGAAGGGAGAGAGAGATAGAGAGAAAGAAGAGAGAGATAAAGAGGAGGGTGACAAAGAAGGGAGAGAGAGAGAGAAAGAAAGAATGTATTCAAAGAATCGTGCGACTCACCAAATAACAAATATGTTTAATAACAAATATGGTAAATGATATCTGTTGTACCAGCCATTAACTGTCCACTGCTGGACATAAGCCTCCCCCATAAGGGAGGTTTTGCCAGTAGTTGCCACGCTTGGCAGACGGCGATCTGTTGGCGGCAACCGCAATTTGGCTTTTGGTGATGGTTTAAGAGGGAGACTGTTGCCCATCCCTCTACCATAGTTCCCTTAGTTGCCTCTTATGACACCCACGGGAAAGGAAGGGGTGGCCCATTCTATCACGGTGCTGACACGGGGCAGCAATAACTAGTTATAGTAAGAACTAAATTAATAAACTGATTTTAATATATTTTAAAAATGAAAATATGTTATGTATATAAAATATGTTATATTAAAAATGATAATTTTTTTTTTTTATATATAATAGTTTTATCATTTATATATTTATATAACATTTTAAGTATTTTCTTTATTTTATGTGTTTGCTTTTAATGTATTACTCAAGCTGTGCACATAATGTGATTGGATTGTAACCTAGCCGAATCACAAGTGTAATTATATATTTATGTTTTTTATGGTTGTGATCTGTTTTATGTGCCAATAAAATAAAATTAAAAAATAAAATCTACTCATATTTGTTGGCAGGCTGTGGGAGGTGCTATGGACAGGGTTGCCGTGTGCTAACTTCCATTTGTTAATCTGTGTTGCTATACTCGAAGCAGAGAAGGAGGTCCTCATCAGCGGAGACTATGGTTTCACTGAAATTTTAAAAGTGAGTACAATAATAAATTTTATTAATATAATAAAATTGTACATCGACGACGTCTGTATATGGGGGATATTTAAATAAAATAATGTGAGTATCTCAAAAAGATCAATATTTATTTATTTATATTACATTTTTCTTCAAAAGAACCAAAATAACCGACATAGCCCGAAGGATAAGCAAGCTGAAGTGGCAATGGGCTGGTTACATAGCTCGAAGAACCGACAACCGATGGGAAAGAAAGATCCTTGAGTGGCGATCATGTATGGGTAAACGCAGTATAGGACGACTCCCCTACGACGACGACTAGATGAAGTGACGACCTGAAATCTATTGCAGGGAGTCATTGGATGCTGGTGGCTTAGGACCTTAATATCTTGATTCTATCAGATAAATTAGTCGATGGTCTTCACGGGGAACCACGTGGAGGTCGACCTGATAGGGTATATTGATAGCAATCTCCCCAATATTAACAATCCCTTTCCCACAGTAAGCCAATATTAAGACGTAATTAAAATGCACTCCAACAATTTCAGCATGTGAACGAGCTGTCAATGCGGATAGAAGTGAACAAAGTATTAAGCTCAGCAGAGGGTATATACCATCAGATCATATCCGCCCCCCACCTCACCGACCAGATCCGAATAATACTCGGCCTCACTCCATTGGGGACGTCGGCCCCCACGGAAGATGATGACGCACCTGAAGCTACGGGTACGAACTGTAAAGACAACGATGCCGCTGCCAATGTCAGTACCAGTGGAACGGATATGGAAGAAGTTATGTATCAGATAGGACTAGATATGAATTTCTAAGCACGGTGATTACATTTTCCATAATACTATGTTCCTTACTAACTTTTTTTTTTCCACTGTTTTGTGTCGCAATGTTTGTTTAAATGGAATTTGTTCTATTTTGGTCCATTTACTGTACAACGATCGCCGTGTCGTCCCGGCGTAGAATGGGCCACACCCTCCTTTCCCTTGGCTGTCGTGAGAGGCGACTAAAAGAACTTAAAATGGTCGAGGGATGGGCAGCAGTGTCCCTCTTAAAACATCTCCAAAGTCTTCTCCGTAAGGGCTGTTTTGCCCATAGTTGTCACACTTGGCAGCCGCAGTTAAGCTTCTAGAGATGTTTTAAGAGGGACGCTGCTGTCCATCTCTCCACTAGAAGTTCCTTCCGTTGCCTCTTACGACACCAACGGGAAAGGAAAGAGTGGCTTATTCTATGCTGGGACCACATGGACATTATACATGTAATAATAAAATGAATGGCAACGCATGGGGGGTATCATGTGCGAAACAGTACACTCTGTTATGTCCATGGTACTGCTCATGTCTATAGGCGACGGTTACCACTTTCCATCAGGTGGGCTGTTAGCTTGTTTGCCATTCTAGCTGTCACTTTTACCCCGTTACGTCTATATTGAATGGACAAAATAGAATATTTATAAAAAATATTTAAACTTGAAAGAAATCATTTTAAAATCCCATTACTAACATTGTCACAGTTATGGATTAATTCATTGCATGACAGTAAATTTGCAATACATTACCTCATTTTATAGTACAACACCCATAAAACCATTGATTCTTATAACCGTGTGCTTAAATTTCATGTCTTAATTGTACATTGTTTTTCTTGCCTTTCAGTTTTAGATAATAAACTCTTGTCCATTGTAAATATAATAAAATGTAGCAAAAAGAGCAATATGTATAAGGATTCTATTTTTTGAAACTTTAAATTTTTAATATATATTTTTACAAGAGACTTGTGTGTAAAATTAGAAGAAAATAGTTTTAAATAAAAAGAGGGCTTAAAAATTGGTTTATTAACGATTACTAGTATATTGGATAACAAACAAAATAATATGTTTGAATTTAGAATCTCTTTTTTTTTATCGATTGATTAGTAGTTCAGTACCTCCTTACTAATATGATAAAATTAATTTTTTCATTGTTAAACAATTCGTGAGCCATTTTTAACGTTTATTTGAATGCTATTATAATTTATACTTACTTTTTCAGGCTGTACTCGAATATGATGGAATAGAAATATCGATAGTAACACAAACCGTGTGGGCTCTACTCGCCTAGTGGCGCCCTCTGTACATAAAATGAACACATAGACTGGATGCGAAGTGATAGTTTTATATTTTTATATATATATTATGCACTTTAAGAAGTCGATTGCATCCTATATGAAAATCAATTATTATTGTTAACAATTATATTAAAATATGACAATCATAAATTGATTTATGTGACTGTTTTGACAAGACTACAATAATAATAATAATAAATAATAAAGATTCTGCCCGCATTGTACGCCCCGGTTTCTCTCCCTGGGGCCCTGAACCCCGGCCGACTGTGCTTCTGCCGGAGGTTAGTTGCCATCTCCTCTCCTTAAGAGGGGAGATGAGAATTATAGTAAAATTTTTAATCTTTATTTACTACTCACAAGGAACTGTTTAGACTGTGACTGTGTGTGACTAATTAGTATTTTAAATTAAAATTTTAAAATACTAAGTAGTCTAGACAATATTATATAAATATAAAAGTAAGGGTGACAACCCTACTCAAACCCGCCGATTTTATTATCGTATTTTTATTAATTGGTTATACAAAGTTATAACAAAAATATATATTTTCATATATATATATATATACATACATATACATACTACACTACATATCCCACCTTCGTAACTGAAACACAGCCATGCAAACAACTGCTTCAAGGTAGAAACATTAATGGGATAGAGTTACTCAAGCAAACGATTTTTGTATAGTCTCCCTCTGTTTTTTTTGGCAGTATTTTTACATGTTTACCATTGAAATTTGGTGTCTTGGCAATAATATAATATTTAATAGCAACTATTTTTCTATTTATATCATTGAAAATTACAATAGCTTTTCACAGTAGGTGAGCTATTATCGCTGATAAAACATGAATAGTTCTATAGCAAACTGACAAGGTCAGCATCCATATATTATGGGCGTTGTCCTGTATCAATTATTTTTTCTCAAACATGCTTGGAAATGTGAGCATTATTTTGACAATCTTCTTAGAGATAAATCAAAATAGCCATACTGGCCAGATACTTGCGGGCAGCGGCCGGCAAAAGTTGTATGAAAATCCATATCTGTCGTGTTTTGCGGCCAGATAAACTACTATGTAAACTCATATCTGTCCTGTAATTTAAAACTGGAATGTCCTTTTACTTCGAAACATGGCTACCAAGCAGGTAACTTATAAAAGGTTTTATTTAAATTTCGAACTGGCTTGCAAATAGAAAGCTGTTTATTGAAAAAAAAAAACAAAGGAACATCATGGCGCTTGAAAAATTATTATTGTTCGTTATTCGTCATTGAACTTACAAAGTAAAATTGTGTTTTTGATTTCCGCGCATTGTTTGAGAAAAGTACTTGGCCACCACTAGGCAATGATGAACTTACGTATGTGTACCTCGGCTTCGCCTCGGCCCACATTTACACGTTCGTCCATCAATGCATCAGTTGCTGGCCGCTGCAGTAATGTACTATTAATCTCACATCGACTCTAAGAAGATAGTACAATAATGTATTTATTAATACGGTGCTTCTATAAACCAATAAGATTTTTCTATAGGATCTAATCGACTTAAAAATATGTTAACAAAATCAATATATTTTTAATATGACATGTCAATTTTAGATATTATCATTTAATTGTAAGTTCGTATTATGGTTTGTGATTAAGTTGTGTTATTATTATTAATTTGATCATTTGTATAATGATAGTTATTAAATTATAATTAAAACAACAGAAGAGGCGTTATTGTTTTAAATAATACGATATATTTGAAGTGGACAGTTGTTGTTCATGAACGTTTGAAGGGAAAAGAACTTTGCTAATTGGTCGGTTTTTTTAGTTTAATAATCTCATGTACAGAATGTATGAAGGAGGATTGTAGTGATATATTGGTAACTTTCTATTTAAAGCAAGAATTTGTTTTCTTTGCACTATATGATATTCTCTCTAAGATGCACTAAAAGATTTTGTTCTAACAATGTTTATATTTTCATACACCAAAGACAATATTTCTTTTTTTTTTTTATTATTATTTTTATTAAGGAATTTCGCTACTGACCCTTGGTCACAATAGAATATCAGTGTTTTGCTCTTTTGAGGGCAAAACGATAAATTGAACTGTGACCATTTTGTGTTACTGTGGTACGCACGCATAAAAAAATAGAAAAAAAATTGTTACTTGTATTTTTATGCTTTTATTTTTTTTTGTATATGCATTCTTTTATCTCTTACTGTGTTGTTAGTAATGCAAATCTTTCTATTTCCAATATTATGAGAGAATATCGAAAGAAAAACTTGCCAATTTATGAATTTAGCACAAATATTTGTTATTACAACGAGCAATGCGTAATAAGTTTATTTTAGTGACCTATTGTATTGAAATGATTGATTGTATTGAAATGACAAATTTATCCATAGTAAGTTTTATTTTTTGTTATTATCATTGTATCAGAATTGGTTAACTAAGATTATATGACAATTTTATAATTAACTAACGTATGTCTTTTACTGTGCAATGTGTGGATTTTTTTTTTATATACAACTTAGAATGGCAAACAAGCTGACGGCCCACCTGATGGAAAGTGGTAACCGTCGCCTATAGACATGAGCAGTTACATGGACATAACAGAGTATACTGTTTCGCCCATGATACCCCCCACGCGTTGCCATTCCTGAGGACTCGGGTGTTATTCCTCCGTACCCAGTAAATTCACGCCATATACTGCATGCACGCATGCAATACTGCATATGGATACTGCAATTGTTATGTAATATATATTTATATAAATTTGGCCATGACGTGGTTGGGGGGTCTTGAGTAAGTCATGTTCACTGAAATGTCCAGACAGATGGTGGCGTGGTAGGCTGGGTTTTTTTTAATGGCTGATAATGGAATGGTAACCCCGCCTGCGTTATCGCTATACGCTGTCGGGGCACCAGTGAGGCATGAAAGCATGAAAGCAGGTCAGTTAGCCTATCATGACGAATTCCACTAGAATTAATCATGATGGTTTTCAGGGGGAACCATGTGGAGGTCGACCTGATAGGGTGTATTGCTAGCAATGAGTCAATTAGATTTTATAGTCATTACTAACAATCCCCTTCCCCCCTGGTGCGCTGGGTTATTGAGTTCCCTAAAATATGGTTGAGCGCAATGATGGCTGGCTCACCCGTCATACTCGTGAACGGGTGCTGCCTGATTGGTCTGCTCTGGTCATTGCAACCGATTATTTTTATTGTTTTAATTATATATTATATATGTATTTTAAATTTTATGATCTGATACTGCTTACTAGTTTGTATTCACACAAATTCATTACTTACATAGTTAAATTTTTTTTTAAAAAAGCAACATCTGATTTTCTCGCCCGTTCTTCTAGAAAAATGACTATTCAAAAATGCTTAAATCTAAGTTTACTCGAATAAAATTATTTCTTTTTCTTTCTTTAAGGATTTATATTAAATTATATAAATCTAAATTTTAGGTCACTAAAGTAACCAATTCTCTTTATTGTTCCACTAATTTTTAAGTGTTATTTTAAACATAAATTTCTATTGTAAACATAAGCCTCGCGTGTTTTAATATTGTGCCTATACATTATTCTTTCAACTGTATTAAATTTCTTTGTACCTGCATTGTGTTTTTCTTCCAATAACCAATGTTTAGTAAGTTTTTTTCTCAAACATGCTTGGAAATGTGAGCATTATTTTGACAATCTTCTTAGAGATAAATCAAAATTGCCATACTGGCCAGATACATGCGGGCAGCGGCCGGCAAAAGTCGCATGAAAATCCACAGCTGTCCTGTAATTTAATAATGGAATGACTTTTTACTTCGAAACATGGCTACCAAGGAGGTAACTAAACGGTTTAATTTAAATTTCGAACTGGCTTGCAAATAGAAAGCTGTTTATTGAAAAAAAAAACAAAGGAATATTATGGCGCGTGAAAAAATATTATTGTTCGTTATTCGTCATTGAATTTAAAAAGTAAAATTGTGTTTTTGATTTTCGCGCATTGTTTAAAAAAAGTACTATACAAGCCTTGGCCTAGCCTAGCCTAGGCATTAATAGATTCGCGTATGTGTACCTCGGCTACGCCTTGGCCCACATTTGCACGTTCGTCCATCAATGCCTCGGTTGCTGGCCGCTGCAGTAATGTACTATTAAGGAAGAAAAGCCAGTTTTTTTAATGGACGATAATCTAATGGTCACTCAGCCTGCATTAACGGTATATGCTAGTGGGGCACCAGTGAGAGATGATAGGTGAGAATGAAAAAGCAGGTCAGTTAGCCCATCGTGATGAATACAGCTGGAATTCAGCAGAATGATTTCCAGGGCAGACCACGTGAAAGTCCACCTGACAGGGTATATTGCTACCAATGGAATTGGTAGCCCGCAAGGGATTGTTTATAACAATTCCTTACCACTCAGGATTCCCAGTAATTGCCACTTGGTAGGTGGTTTGGCAATCGCAGTTAGTTAGCTTCTTAGTAATACATGAGTAGACTTGAATAATAGACGAAATACGCATTTTTTTAGCATAAAATAAATGGATTTTGGCACTAAATAATTAAAGGTTATTTAATAGGCAATTTAATAATAAGTGTAATTACTTTAATAAATTAAAAAAAAAACATGTATTTAAAAATTAAAAATAAATAAAAATGAGATCAAATAATTTAAGTAGTTATCATACTACAAGTTTAGAATATTCATAGATATTTGCGAATGTGACTTCAAGTGTACGTTCAGTCCGTAACGAGTCTGATATGACTTGTCACAGAGGTGGCAGTGGAAGTTCTTCACTCCGGTGTGCGTCAATGAATGTCGTTGCAACTCAGATTTGGAGAAGAATCTTTTTCCGCAACTATCGCAACTGTACTTCTTCTCTTTCAAATGATTCTTCCTTATGTGCGAACTCCGCGAACTGGACGATATGAATGTTGCATTGCACACCTCGCATTTGTGGTTCCTTGTCCTCTTGTGATTCCAGAGTATATGGGAATGTAAGCCACCAGGTACTTTGAACTTTTTTGGGCAGAATTTACAGCTGTACGGACGATCATTGCTGTGTGTCAGCATATGTATTCTGATATAGCCAGTAGGATATGATTTACCGCATTGGTCACATTGACGTAACACCTTCTCCGACTTGCCTTTGTCTTTCCCATCAATATTTGGCTGACAAGAGTGCGAATTTAATTGGTCCGTACTATAGAAACCTTCCCAGCAGTTCTCACATATGTACGGCTTCAAATGAAGTTTCCTATGGAGTACAAGTGAACGGAAATCATCGAATTTCTCATTGCAATACTCACAGTCTCTGCCAATAGAGGATTTTACTGGATGGTTCTTTGAGCAGTGCTCATTAAGAGATTTAGCCGAATTGAATTCCGTTTTACATTCGACACAGAATAAAGGTTGTATTTCGGGATCGGAATTCAATTTTGTTTTTAGTCTATTCACTACTTTCCTCTTGTCGTACCTCTTGATTTTGCAGTCTTGTCTGTGATCATCAGACTCGAAACAGCAGTCATACTGATCACTGGAGTCTAACAAGTTTGAGTTGTCGGCTAAGGTTTTAGCATTTCTATGAATTAGTATTTTGAATGAGTATGTTATAGTTAGTTGATGAACACAGTTGATGCAAATATACTCTGGGTAGATGTTGTCTTTAGGTAAAATCTGAAATTGTATAAAATATATAATTTTAATGTTTTACTTCCATATAATAGACGAAAATACTTTGAAATAATATTTATTTACAGAAATGATTTTCATTGAAAGTACTGAAAATCCTATTTTTCATGGGCAGCGAAACAGAAGGCAAGGGGATGTATTTGCACCTAATTGTAAAGTATGAAAACACAAGAAGAATAAGATTTTTTTCTTCCAAATTCCCAGGTCAGCAGTGTTAACAATCTCATCCCTGCCACAAGTATATTTGTCTCACTTATTTCTGGTCATATTTGTAAGACTGTAAGATTATAGGTATGATAGTGAAATGGCAGAGTGTGGAGCATTTTAGTTCACAGGATGGCAATTCATGAGGGGCACCATGACCGGTAAAGTGCATTCTGCGACGATAACAACTATAGAGGACCGCTGCCACTTTCCAGGTATTAGCTTTTTTGCCATTTTCGATTTGCATGTGCAGGTACTATATCACATTGTATTTGGATTTGAGAATAGAATAATATACCTCGTAACTGTAGAATGTTTGCAAGATATCTGAGAGGCGCACGTTATCTCCGGCAATAGAAATATTCGTATGTATGTGGCGCATTTCTTTGCTAGTGGCAAGGCAGGTACGGCAACAATTTTTGTAATTCATATTCGTTCAATTTACTTTATCGAGAGAGCTAGTAAATTATTTTTACACACAAGTAAAATATATTTTAGCTAATTCACATTTTATTTATTTATATTACAAGCTATTTTACAAAAGTATTCTCAAACTAGTCATTAATGTTGTGACAGTGACAGTGACTACTGACAGTCAGTGACTGTAATGATTACTGAGTAAGTAATCACCAGCAAATCACCAGTAGAACTACTATAGCTAATATAAGAAGTCATACTGACAGTGACTGACAGATTGACGCTGATGCTGACAAATGTATTGTTTAAAATATGTTCTTTGTTGTCAAAAAAAAGTAAAGGTCTTCAATTAAAATGTTTAAGCATTTTCTTGACGAGAATCCTCATAAAAATAACAGATTATCCACTAAAAAGCGTCACAAACGAAAGAGAAAGATTAATCAGAATAAACAAATAGGCGCTAAGAAAGACAGAAAGAGGCATAACAAGTTGAGCTTTGCTATGTCGGATTGGGCCGAGAACTTCGCATCTGCAGCAAATTGGCAATTGAAACATCAGCTCGCTTATTGGAAAGCACGTGCGAAGAGCCTCGAATATGAGAACAAAGTGCTACACGATATAATAAGAAAGAAATATTACGTTGCAACGACGTCTGAGCGCAGTGCGCGAGCTGAAACCGAATCTGAAGAGGATAAATCAGATGACACAGAAGATATAGGAGACGAAGACGAAGATTTCGAGGTTAGTGAAGAGTTCATACAGTTTTTAACGGCAAACGCGAAGTACAAAGAAGAGGCGCGACTCGAAAAAGAACGTTTGAAAGTCGCCAATGAAGCTAAGGAAAATTTTGATGCAATGATGGAAGAAGCCGCCGTTGAAACTGCGGAGCAAAGGCAAGAAAGGCTAAAGGAGTTGTATGGGAGTGACTGGCAAAGGATATCGGCGTTAGAAGCTGCATTAAATTCGAAATATATTGATGAGAGTGATAGATTGAAACCTGTATATTGGCCACATTTGCCATTTAATTTGAACTATAGTTGATTATGTGATGTATGTAACTATAGTTGATGATGTGTTATTTGTTTGTATGATGTTTTGTTATGTGTAAAAAATATGTGTACATGTTTTGATAATCATAATTCCTCCCCGGAGGGGAAGCCCTTGACTGCTCGACTCGGATTTGCATCTGTATAATATTTTGCTTAGTTCATTCATTAATATTTTCAACATATATATTTAATAATATGATAATTTTGATATATTCTGTTTTCTATTTATATTACTTTACTGTAAAATGTAATAAGAAATTAAATAAATGGATGAACATATGTACAAACAAAGGTTCTCTGTGTGATAAATCCAATTAGGTTGTTTGGGGGGAAAGGGCTTGTTAGTAATGAGGTCTGAAGGTCCTATTGCTACCAATCAAGTAACCTCCATGTGGTTTCCCATGGAAACCTTTTTTGTTGAACTTGTCGCTATAGGCCTGACTTGCTCACCTATCTTCTCTCACTGGTACAGAAGGTACCTTCTAATATGAATTTCTATTTATTTCTCTTTAAATTGTAATGAATTTAAATGTTTATTATTATTATAGATTGATTATATATAAAACAATAATTTGATTAAAATTTCTTTCATATAAGACTTGTTTATTTCTTATAACTTGATGTTTTCTATTTTTGTTATGTTGTACTAGTAAACCAAGAGCTAGTGACTACCAGTTTATCATTATAAAAAACCAGCTCTAGTTACAGGTTACTCAATAGTTATTATATCTCATAATGCTTATTGTTGTTTTAATTTATGTATATGTATGTATATATATATATGTATATATTTCTTATGTATTAGTTTATTCATATATATTAAAAGTAATGTTTATGTATTATATGTGCATTTCTTATGTGTATAATTTATTTATATTGTGTATTGCCTTAATGTGTCACATATTTTTCACCACATCTGCCCTTCATGTTTTTACCTAACGGTTAGCTGGTAGAGAATGCCATGTGGCATTAAGCTCGCCATTTGTACAAAATTTTATTGTGCAATAAAGAATAAATAAATAAAAGAAAGTTTTTTAGTGCATGCTTTTAAATTATGCATTTTAAATTATGTATATAGTCTATAGATTGGCAATGTGAAAGAGAGAAAAGATAATTATCCATATGTTAGAGCGAGGAGGTAGACAATAAAACAATAATTTGCAGAATATATGCTTGAAGTTGATTTAAGGGGAGTATGAACAAATAATTAGTAATTAATTTTACAGTTTAGTGTAATCACTTTTAAGTGAATGTAGTTTGTTAGAAATAAATGTGCTGTACCTGAAAATAATAGTAATGAGGGAAATAAACAATAAAATTGCACATTTTCATACAATTACACTGTAATTATTTATACCTAATATATAACCTAAAATATTTATATATATATATATATATATATATATATATATATATATATATATATATATATATATATATATATATATATATATATATATATATATATATATATATATATATATATATATTCTGCAAAGCGCCATAGCTGAAGCTGAAGAGGACATCCAGATGAAGTGTTTTTAATAGACGATAATGGAATGGTAAGGAATAATAGGTGAGAATGAGAGAAAGCATGAAAACACCTTCAGGAATTCAACACAATAATATACATATTAAATAAAAGTGAACACAATGATGACAGTCTTCTAATCAGTAATATTTAAACAAAATTAAAAAGATAGAATGATTGTAATCTTTTCTTGAAGGAACTGCTAGACGGGTTATTCTGAATACCCACGGGAAGTTTATTCCACAACTGTGCAGCAATGCAAATGAATTACCCATAAAATTTACAGTACAGTATTTTGGGGAGGAAAGGGATTGTTAGTAATGGAGACTAAGAATCCTATTGCTAGCAATATACCCAACCAGGTCGACCTCCTCGCGGTTCCCCCTGGAAACTATCATGGTTAATTCCTGATGAATTCATCATGATAGGCTAACTGACCTGTTTTCATTCTTATCTATCACCCTTCACTGGTGCTCCGCCAGCGTATCCCGTTAGCACAGGCGGAGTTACCATACCATTATCACTCATAAAAAAAAGTACAGTATTTTGTGCGAAGATTAGTATAAAAATATCTAATTTAATCCAAATGAAGTCCTAAATGTCTCCAAATAGAAATTAAAATTATAACAAATATAAAAATTTTGCTATATTTGCAACTTCACAATCATACAAATTGGGGGGAAAGGGGTTGTTAGCAATGGAGTTTGACAGCCCCATTGCTAGCAATATGCCCTATCAGGTCGACCTCTACGTGGTTCCCCCTGGAAACCATCGTGAACAATTGTTATATTTGTCACGATGGGCTAACTGGCCTGCTTCATCCTCACCTATCATCCTTCACTGGTGCCGCGCTAGTGTATACCGATAGTGCAGGTGGGGTTACCATTCCATTATGACTCATAAAAAAAAATCATACAAATTCAAATGTCACGTGTTGAATTGTAGATCTGTTCATCATGATGGACTAATTGACCTGCCTTTTCATTTCCGCTTATCATCTCTCACTGGTGAGCGTGTATCGTTAGTGCAGGCGGGGATACCATACCTTTTTAATCCATTAAAAAAATCGGCGTTTTTGCTCAGATCGGATAAAACGTTACTAATGTCCTTTTACTTTATCATCACTACATAGTATAAAACAAAGCCTATCTCCGTCTGTCTGTCCCCATGTATGCTTAGATTTTTAAAACTACGCAACGGATTTTGATGTGTTTTTTTAATAGAATTCAAGAGGAAGGTTTATATGTATAATACATACATAATATAGTAGAGAAACACTGATAATTTTATAGGTTTCTGATGTGATGTCGTAATGTAAAAGGGGGGCCGGCGACGCTATTTAGTAACAGTATTGCACCCATACGAAGTCGGGGCGGGTCGCTAGTTTCAAATAATACGTGTATACCAAATTTCATGACGTCAAGTTATTGATTTAAATAAACACATTTAACATAATATTATAAATAGGAGGTAATGTAATGTAAATAGGACTCCATTTTCCGCACTTAGCCTCTCATTTGGGCCGTTGTGCGAATGAGTCGTGGCTAGTACAGCTAACCTAGTTCCGCCCAGAAGCGCAGAAGCCTCCTGGGATCTTTACAGGCCTCACCGTTCCGAGGATTTTTAAACGTTGATGGGCTACAGCTTCACATTCCAGGATTACGTGAGCAGCCGTTTCTTCGGCGTCGAAACAGCCTCGACATAGAGGGCTGTCTGTGGCTCCTATTGTGTATAAATGTTTATTTAATGGACAATGGCCCGTTATTGTCCCTATCATTATTTTGAGGTTTTTTCTATCTAAATGTGATAAACGTTTCGATAGTCATTAATTCAACGTAGGTACGGCCAATTTTGATTGTCTGCAATCAGTAGCCTGCATTCGAAATTGCGAGAACGGAAGAGGAAGAAATGGATACGGGCCTACCACCTTCGTTCGTGAACCTCTTCTGGCTAGTTCGTCTGTGGCAATAGGAGGATAGATTTGATTTTTCAATCGACTTCAAAATTAGATTCTAAATTCGATTTTTTTTTATATTTCTGACCTCGTAACTCCGCCAGGTATAAACCGATATGGGAAATTCTTTAAAATTTGAAAATATATATATATATATATATATATATATATGTTACCGATTTAATATCTTCTTTTATCTATAGAAAGCTACATTATCAGCAAGTAATATAGGCTGTATTTTATAAAAAGAAAACGCGTGCAAAGTCGTGGCGGATTGCTAGTACGTGTACTAGTAAGAAATAGTTGAGATTTTTTTACCAGAGGGAGACTTTGTACAAAAGTCGTTTGCTTGGGCATTTCTGTCCCATTCGTGTTTCAACCGTAAAACAGTTGTGTTTGCGTGGCTGTGTTTCGGTTTGAAGGGTGGGATATGGCGTGGATTTACAGGGTACAGAGGAATAACACCTGAGTCCTCAGGAATGGCAACGCATGGGGGGTATCATGGGCGAAACAGTATACTCTGTTATGTCCATGGTACTGCTCATGTCTATAGGCGACGGTTACCACTTTCCATCAAGTGGACCGTCAGCTTGTTTGCCATTCTAAGTTGCATAAAAAAAGACTCGGAATTTATTAAGGTCGTAGAAGCCAAATGCGCGTGTTTCGTTGATGTCTTTTGATAGAGTGAACTTATTATGAACTCTCCGAACAAAGATGGCTGTTCGCGACATCGCTCGCGCGTAAAATATTTGTATTTTTTCATTAGTTTCAGACATTTTACTTTGATAAAAAATATCCTATATTCTGTATTAGTTACTAAGCTATCATCATAATGAATTACATCGAAATCTTTGCAGTATTTTTTGTGTGGTAGGTTTTTTAAATTTTTAATAAAATTAAGAAAAAAAAAGAAGTGTAGTTGTTTTTGGGCGAGGGGAAAGGGATTGTTAGCAATGAAGTTTGACAACCCCATTGCTAGCAATATTAGGTCGATCTCCACGTGGTCCCCCTGGAAATCATCGTGAACAAAATAAATAAAAAAATAAAACATTTATGTTAAATTCATCACGATGGGCTAACTGACCTGCTTCATCTTCACCTATCATCCTTCACTGGTGCCCCGCCGGTGTATACCGATAGCGCGGGTGGGGTTACCATTCCATTATTATCCATGAAACAAAAGTTGTTTTTGGGCAAACTCTAAATCCTTATTAATTTTAAATGTGAAAGTTATTTTGTATGTTTGTCACCTTACAGCACCGGAACGGCTTAACCGATCACTATAAAATTTAGTATACATGTACTATATGAGTTGAAGAAGGGTATAAACTATTTTTTTTTCTGGTCATGCGGACAGAGTCGCGAAATGAAGCTAGTATAACAAGAAATACATTAATAAAAGTGTACAAAGTAATAAATGCTAGAATTCTTGTTAGCAATCAATATTGTAGAATTTAAATCCTAAATACGATCCTCGTAAATGTGCACATGAATTGTGAAACAATTTCTGACTAAAGCTGTGTACACATTGGTGTATAAAAAGGTGAACAATATTGCTGGTTTATTATGATCATCATCACTTTATGATGATGATTATACTAAACTACAATAAGAACCAATTTTTAATCGTTAACTATATTCCGCGGCTTTGTTTGCAGGATTATATTTATTTTACTTTTATGTAATATGAAATAGTGGGGGGAAAGGGATTGTTAGTAAGGGAGACTAAAAATCCCATTGCTAGCAATATACTCAACCAGGTCGACCTCCTCGCGGTTCCCCCTGGAAACTATCATGGTTAATTCCTGATGAATTCATCATGATGGCCTAACAGGCCTGTTTTCATTCTCATCTATCACCCTTCACTGGTGCCCCGCCAGCGTATCCCGTTAGCGCAGGCGGGGTTACCATACCATTTTCAGCCATAAAAAAAGGAAAAAAAATGAAATAGTTAAATATGTTGATACCTTATCTGATGGAGGTGGTAACCAATGTCTATAGCAATCTATAGATAAGAATTAGCACTACAGGTTTAGTTTAATATCATCATCATCACCATCATCATATTAGCCGTATTGTTCACTGCTGAACATAGGCCTCCCCAAAAGGAG